TGGTTGGTTGGTTCGGTTTGTCCGGGTGTTGTTTGGGTTTCTGCCGGGCTCTTCACGGACCGCGTGGCGGCTCTTTGCTGTCTTGGTTGGTTGGTTCGGTTTGTCCGGGTGTTGTTTGGGTTTCTGCCGGGCTCTTCACGGACCGCGTGGCGGCTCTTTGCTGTCTTGGTTGGTTGGTTCGGTTTGTCCGGGTGTTGTTTGGGTTTCTGCCGGGCTCTTCACGGACCGCGTGGCGGCTCTTTGCTGTCTTGGTTGGTTGGTTCGGTTTGTCCGGGTGTTGTTTGGGTTTCTGCCGGGCTCTTCACGGACCGCGTGGCGGCTCTTTGCTGTCTTGGTTGGTTGGTTCGGTTTGTCCGGGTGTTGTTTGGGTTTCTGCCGGGCTCTTCACGGACCGCGTGGCGGCTCTTTGCTGTCTTGGTTGGTTGGTTCGGTTTGTCCGGGTGTTGTTTGGGTTTCTGCCGGGCTCTTCACGGACCGCGTGGCGGCGTTTTGCTGTCTTGGTTGCTTGGTTCAGTCCTTTCGGGTGTTGTTTGGGTTTCTGCCGGGCTTTTCACGGACCGCGCGGCGGCTCTTTGCGTGCTGTTTTGGTTGGTTGCTTCGCTCCTTCGGTTTTGTTCGTTTTCGGGCTTCGTTTGTGTCTATCGCTTCCACTTTGCCCGCAGCCAAGCGAGATAAACATAAAAGGTTCATCTCGTGGCGCGATCGGGTAGTCAGTCAAGATCAGGTAGTGGCGTCCATTGATTGCGGTATCCAGCCCCAGCGGCGGTAGGGGATGTGTGTAGCGTGACCTGCCAATGCCCATATCACGTCTGCCGTTTTGAAATTTTGATTTGTCTGTCATTCATCTCGCAGTCGCAATATGGCGACATTCGTTCCAGCGTCCCTCGCTAGCGAACAGAGAGAGGTATGTAAAGATCTTTGCGCCTGAGCCTGTCCACTCCCACATGTCCTCACCGTCGTGTGAAATGTATGAGAGTTTGGTGTCATCGGTGATATTTCAATCTTCCTCTCCATCAGTCTGTCATGCCAGGAGAAGTCGTTTCGGTGTCGTTGTGTCGAAAGTTTTCGTTTGTACGTCATAGAGGGTTGCCTGAGTCTCTTCGGCATATGACTGTGAGAGTGGTCGTAAATCGTTTCAATTGTATTGTCGGTTTCACAAGTACTATTTTCCCATTCACTAGCCGCATTTGCAAACTCAAATACGTAGATTTTTTTGAGGTCACTCGGTCGTACAGCAATAAAATGTTGAAAATCATCTTCTCGCTGTTCGTGGCAGGAGTCACGGCTGTTCCGTTTTCTCTGCCGCAAGAGCTCGTCATGGACCTCAACAAGCCTGCGCAGAATACGATCAACATCATTGCAGATGCAGCATCTTTTCTGAGGTCTCCGATTGAGGCGAGCGTGAAAGCCGTGCATGCTCAGGAATCCGATGCTATGATCAAAGATACTGTTTCGCGCGCGTGGAAAGCCGCTGCGGTTGCCGAAGGACTGCCGGCAGATGAGTTTGCGTGCTTTCGTGACTATTCAGGAGCCCCTGCCGGCTGTGGCGACTTCAGTGGAATGACGCCGGCTGAGAAAGCCACTGCAGCCGCTGCGTGTGGAGCTAAGTTTCCGTGCGCCTAAAAAAGGGCTCAGGCAGCCGAGATTTACAAAAATAATGTTGTATCTTTTCATCTGCTCCGCGAGTAAAGGGCTCTTATAATTGACTTTGATATGTGAGGTATACATTCGTGTTCGATCGGTCTCTCGACAGAGGAAAGTGAGTATAGTCGCGTTAGTTTGGCATTGACACTCCATCGCAGAGTACCATCTCGAGATTTGAACTTTTTCTCGTGTCGCGACATCATGAGACTAATCTGAATGGCGTCAAACAAAGTAACTCTTCTATATTATCCTTTCTAGTCCACACTTTACTTTTTTTGCGAACGAACTGCGAGACCATGCGAGTGTCAAGCATCTTCCTGGCTTGCGCTGTCGGCGTGTCTGCCGAGTTGCAAAAGAGCGATGCCGAGGCCGCTCTTGAGCAGGCATACTCTGGGTTGATTTCGTCCTTCAACACGGAGGACTATGCTACCCAAGCACAGGCGATCTCCTTTTTAGCCCGCTCTCCGGCTTTCCAGGCTAAAATGGCTGCCATGCCTCAGTGCGATTTTGGTGCGGCTGAAGGCGCTGCTGCGAAGAAAGGCGTGTCTGCGTACCCAGGTGGCATCGTCGCCCGTTTGTTTGGCTCAGATCTCAGCTCCTTGGTTGCCAAGATGGCTCCGCAGGGTCGCGGTGCCGCGGAGGTCTTGGCCGCCAACGGCCTGGCCACTGGCGCAGGCCTCGTTCAAAGCGCTATGTCAGCCCTGCTCAACGTTGCTCCTCCGCTCATTGGTGCACCGGTGTGGATCAATCAGCCGCTTCCATGCATGCCTTTGGCAACGGCCTCGAACTGTGGAGGAAGCGTTCTGTACCCGATCACTGCCAGCGACTTCGCTATGGCAGATGTTACGGATAGACAGTTGGATGGTACCATTGCTGATTTTCCTCGATTTTACCGCAGCACTGTCGGTAAGACCAGCGACGCTGCCTACAAGGCCTGCTTTGCAGCTTACATGGGAATGCAGTGCGCTTCCGTCTTCCCGCGTTGTGCAGTGCCGATGGCACGCGAAGAGCCAAGTCCAATGGGAAGACTGCCATTGTGCTTCACCAGCTGCTTGCTGACGATGACGGCGTGCCCAGGAATGTGGATTTCGGATATGAAGGACGAATGCAGCATGGTCAGCGCTCCGCCGGCGTGCTCCATGGCAATTTTTCACAACTTCCAGTTGCTCCCGCCGCAGTACGAGTCCTTCGAGGAAACGATCGGTGCCCCGACCGAGTGCCCTCAAATGCCGGCCGTTGCGTCTCAGTTGGGTCTTGGAGCAGACAGTGACGTGTACACGCTTGGTGGTGCCTCGTCTGGTGCTTACAGCACTGGAGGAGCTTTGCCGCATGCCTAATCCTTTTGGGAGCCTGTGACTTTTTGAATCCCGTTGTCAGCTTGTTTGAGTATCTGCAACAGTAGACCTTCCATTCTCACTAATCGTTCTTGGGAAAGTGATAGAGGTGTTCCTAATCTCGCTCGGGCGTAAAGCTACTCGGGCGAATAATCTCATCGTGCGGTTGATTTCGGTTTTGTTTTGGTATGAAATAGAAATTGTCCATGATAATCTTCTGCTGAATACTATTTTTATCGTAAAATTTCAACACAGTCAGTCTTTTTTTGCATCCTACAGCATCAACAATGCGCGTCTACTTGTATTCCGCTCTTGTTGGCGCGGCAGCTGCGAACGGAGCTAGCGATGCCGTTCTCGCAATCGTAAACTCCCTTTCTAGAGGATCTCAAGCTCCTGCTGCTGCAGTAGCGCCTCCTACTAACGAAAAAGTGATAGAAATCCAGAAGGCCTTGACAGAGGGCGCCATGGCTTTTGCGCAGGCATCTGCCTTTGCGCAATCTGCTGGTCTTAGTGAAGGAGCTGCGGCTGCGTCGGGACTGGGTGGAGCGCCGGTTTCCGGATCGAGTACGGGGGCAGCATCGTTTCTTTCTCGAGGCTTGGACTCTACGCAGATGATGGCGATTGCTAGCAACGTTATGGGCTCGGTTAAGGTGAAGTCTGCTCGTTCTTGCGGCACTGGAATCCCGAGTGGTGCTTGCCCTAAGTCTTGGTCGGCAGGCGCAAACGGAGTCTGCACACCGACGGCAGGCGGATCTTACACAGGCTACTGCGCTGGAATTCCAATGGGCCTCTCCGCTGTCGAAGCTGAAGAAATGGAAATCTTCTGTGGCGTTTGCTATATGTAGCTGCATTGATATCCAACGCGACTGGAGGATACTGATCTGTCAATGTCCTGCAAGTTTGAAGAGTCATTCTTTCATCATCGTAACTAGCAATTTGCTGGGTTGGAGGACTCGAGCGTCTGCCTGTTTGTGGTTTTTAATTAAGTCAATCGATCGTACAAATCCAATGACGTTATCACTTTACCTATGTCTTCGCTTCTGATCATGTGCGACTCGTTCAATATTTCTCCTTTCAATCCCAATATCCACAGCTTTTTTTCTTCTATTCTTAACAAGATGCAGCGTGTTGGATCTCTGCTTGTGACCCTCTTCGCGGTCACCGATGCTGCGGCACCCCTTCGGGTAAAGGTAGCTGGTGCAAATCATTATGCCGCAGGTGCGAAGGATATCGCTGCGCTGGAGAGCCGCGTGGCAAACTTCATGGCCGCTACCATGAGCAAGGGCAGCTTTCTTCAGGGCAAAGGCGGCATGGCTACACCGGGTAGCGGCGTGAAGCACGCGCTTTTTCTGACGCAGCCAATGAGGTCTCCCAGTGGAGTGAAAATCAACGTTGTGGAGAAAAAGCCGGAAGCTACTGCATCGGCAGCTGCCGACGCACAACAGGCAGCATTCAATATGGAAGCCTTTGTCGCTGGACTGTCTGACCTTGCGGGTTCCGGTCGAGCATCCTTTGTCGCTTCCGACTCTCTTGAGGGACTGGTTAACCGGGGTACTATGGCGCGAGTTGCAACGCTGGGTGCGTATCAAACGATTTCGATGCCCGTCCATGTGCTGGCGGCGGTCGTGAAGAGCGCGTGCGGATGCGTGGATGTGTACACCGAATCCAAGTGCCTGTTGGCAGCTAATCCAGTGTGCCCCCCGTTGCACAGCCTTTTGCAGCGTGCTTTCGCAATGCAGGAGCAGGTGTGGAATGGCGTCAAGTTTACGACTGATAAGGCAGGCAAGGTTGTTGGAAGCCCCCTCATTGCCAGCCCCCCGTAATTGATCACGGATGAAAGCAAAAGACACTCTGCAGCTTGGTGTAGTGTAAACGCATGAATCGTAAAGTTCCGTTGCTTTCGGCTGAGCTGAGAAAAGCAAATGTTCTCTAATAGACTTTCGCTTTCGGTAGATCGATGGGTGAATTGATACGTTATAATATCGACGCATATTGATACTTAAGTACCGAAGGAAGGGAAGTATGGTGTATGAAAATAATTGGCATGTTCTGTCTTATGAAAAACAGTCAAGTTTTTTATCTCACTACCTCGTTCAAAAAATGAAGTATTTCGCTGTTGCAGTGTGCGCGATTGTCGGCGCGGAAGCCGCAAAGCCAAGCTTCGCCACAGGGCAGGCATTGGGCGCTGCTCTTTCGGAAGCGATTTCTTCGGGCGAAGGATCGAAAATTTCTGCTGCGCTGCTCGCCGGCCAGAGTTTTCTCAAGCGCCCCTCTACGCTCAACTTGCATGTTGGAGAGACCGCGCAGACTAGCTCGTCCGACCGCGCTGCAACGGCGTCGGCGCTAATGGCGCTGGAGTCAGGCGAGGCCCGTCTTTTGGAGACTCTCAGTCAAAAGAGCTCTTTCATCCAATCGCCCCTGAGTGATTTACAGCGATTGGGAGCAGAGGCCGCTGTGTTCAAAGACGCTCTCACTTACTACGGCGGACTCGTGGACGCTGGCGACCGCCGGGGCCTTGTCGGTCTTTTGCAATTGGCCAGTTTGCCGAACGCACGCGTTCCCATGGCGACAGTTCTCTTCAAATGCACTCAGTTCGCGAAGAAAGAAAGCACGTCTGACGCCGATCGTGAACTTGCTGGCTCTATCATCACTTACCTGACCAACATGCCGGTGGCTTTCCAGTCCAGTGATGCAGCGTCCGGTTCGTACGGCCATACCAACATCGTGCTACCAGCTCCAAGCCGCGTCTATGGCCACTAAGTGGTGAAGCTCTGACGCGACCACAGAAAGCAGTATGAGATCCTAACGACAATTCGGAGATCCTGCGTCATAATTAGCTTGAAATAAAGAATTTGAATTTCAATTTCTCGCCGTGCTGTTTCTGTTCTAAGGTTTGAGCCTGTTTCGTCATCGTCTCTCTAGAATCGTCGTATGGAAAGCTGCGAGCGCGTGATGAGCTTTTCTTTACCGGGTACGCCTATGAATCAAAAGAACTGACTCTTGCATCAATTCATGTTTGGCATTCTAAATAGACCTCACTAGCCTTTTTTTTTCAACGTGTACAAACGCAAAGATGATGCGAAGTAGCTTGCTGCTCTTCGTGCTGGGCTTGATCATGCCTGCAGTGGCTTTCAAAGACATCAGCAGCCACTCCGGTGCTGGCCCTGTCGAGGTCATCACCGTCGCGACAGAAAGTGGCGTTCCCGATGCTCTTGCTGCGCGAAGATATGCCGAAGCTCGCCGAGCCGAATCAGCCGCATTGGCCGCTGTGGCAAATACTCGCTCGAGGGCTTACCGCAACCTGGAGCAAATGCTGACCACAGAGCGTCTCTCTGCGGCACAGCTTGGCTGATCCCATGAGCCGGAGACACATTCATAGCTACTATGGTCTTTCCGTCGACAACAACGAGATGAAGTAAAAATAGGCGAAGCTAGAGGATTACCAATTTCGTTTTTTCTCTTCGAGTGTTCAACTGATTGAAGAGTCGTGTCGTCTTCGATTTCAACTTAATAGCGGCTTTCCTTGGTTTTGCAGTCATGACTCCAAGAAGCGCGGTCTTACATCAAACCTAGTTTTTCTTTTTTTTAACACCCAACGAAAATGGCTTTGAAGTCACTGTGCGTCATCGCCTTGGGCTCTTACGCCGTGGCTGAAGGTGCCAAGCCGGTCGTCGAATTGTCGATTGCCTCCGCCTCGACCCCCTTCCCAGCTGTTTCCGATGCTATCGCTAGCGCGGAGTCCTCGCGTGCAGCTGCCCTTCGACAGGCGTCGGCTGAGGTCGATCAGGCATACAAGGAGACCCTTGCGCAGGCCTCGGTAACGCTTGGCAACACGATTGCGAAAGCGCTGGGGCGAACGTCATTCGCAAATATTGCTGAGCCAACTATCTCGGTGTCTCTTGCCAAATCTGCTTCCGATGAAGCTGCAGGCGCCGCGGCTGTGAAAAGTGTGGAGGGAAAGCGCGCGGGTGCTGCGGCTGCTCTTGTCGCGTCCGCAAAGAAGGAGTTCCAGGAGGTCGCGAAGGTTGTGATTGCAGAGTTCGAACGCCAGGTCAAAGGGAAGGCGAGCTTTCTGCGATTTTCCCGTGAGATTAACGTCCGCGCAGTCGCTGATCCGAGTTATGCGACAATTTCGGGTTTGATCCAGGGAATGGAATCACGCCGAGATTCCGAGGAAGCTCGCCTGCGCAGTCAAATTCTTCTTCGCGAGCTCGACTTGGTCCGCGCGCTCAACCGAGTTGGCGCTTCCGCCTTGTCTAAGTAATCGGCCAGCTCGACGGGGTCATGAAATGAAAAGCGATTGTGTAGTGATGAAAATCGAGCGTTAAGAAGAAAATAGATGGCCTTGGTGATTTGGGCAAATTGTGGTCGCTGTTCGTATTGAGACTGACTCGTGAGGAAATAATGATAATATCGTTCATGATATCCATATGGAATGCATCAATCTGAACTAGAAATCGTCGAGGCTTGTCAATCAATGAAATTGATGGAATTTTTTCTTTTCGAGTAGAGGAAAGTTTTTGTTTGTCATCTGCAAAACCAAAAGTATGTTCGTTCGTGTAGCGACCTGTGCTGCTCTCCTCGGAGCACATGGCGTTTTCGCTGATTCAGAGCCCCTGATTGAGGTGGCGTTGGCTCCACCGGTGGGAGGCTCCGCAGGCTTTGCAAACTTCGCAAAGCAAGAAGCATCGATGGAGGCATCGGCCCTGCAGTCGCTGTCGGGTGCATACCAGAGCGCGATCGCCTCTGCCAAACAGCAGATCGATGCTGCAGTCAAGGGCTCTTTTCTGCAGAAGAGGTCCGATGAGATCTTCGTGCGTGTGCTTGATGCCCCGGCACCTGCAAGTCTTGGACGAGCAGAGGCGATGGAGGGAATGCGCCAGAAGATGGAAAGCGCCTCTATCGCACAGGCTATGAGCGAATTCGATAGCTTAACGAAGGTGGTCGTTGGCGAGTTGCACAACGCTCTCCACAGCAGCTTCTTGCGTGGAGGTCAGATTGGCGTCAAAGTCAAGGCATCGGACATTCCCTTCGCCAGCACCCTGGACTTGCTGCGAGCACAGGAGACTGGCCGCGATATGTCTGAGGAGAAGCTGCAGTCGAAGGTCCTAGACATGCAGATCGCGTTTGTGAAGACGCTCAACGGCATGATTGCAGCTGCTCTCGCGTAATTCTCGCAAGGACAGATGATGGGACCATGATGGATTCTATGACCGATAGTATGAGGCTCTGGACAATCGATAATGAGAGACTCTGGCTCTAACTGCAGCATGAGCTAAGTCGCGCGTATGCTTTGTCATGTTCGTCGGTGTTTTTCAAGTGTCTGTAAACCCGTTCAAACGTCGCTATATTTTATGAAAGAATGACAAATATTCGAAGGTTACAAACAAAATATTCTGCAAATAAATCTGACTAGTATTTTTTCTTGCATTAATTCACAGACAAGATGTTCCTGCGAGCATTGGTTGCAATGATCGGAGCCGTGCTCCTCATGGGTGTGAATGCCCAGAGGGATCCCACACTTGACGATATTGCTACTGCAGCTGCGGCATACCGCCAGGCCGGACAGGCATATTTGCAAGCGAGCAAGAGCGCTGCAGAAGCTGCTGCCGCGGGGGCGGGTTGCGTAAGAGATGAGACAACTGGAGCCTGCACGTCTTTCCTCAAGTCCCGTTCTCCTATTGCCGGCGGCGTGATGCGTGGACTCATCGCGCGAGTCATGGGGGCTGATGCTGCTGATACCCCTGAGCGTCTGACGCAATCTCCGATCGTGCAGATGCACTTGCACGCTTGATAGGTGCATTGCCGAATCGGGTCTAGTGACATCCGTTGATATCTCGTAGTTGCCGCTGCCGAGCGTTTGTTGCAATAAGGATTGATATGTCGAGAGTATCACCATAATGATGCATGCTCTGTGAGAATGTCGTGTTCTAATGCTACGCTTATAGTCATTGAAGACCGAGTAAAGCGTGAGATCCCACGTACTTCGCATCGTTTCGTAATTGGCGGTTAGTCGAGTGAGTTTCAATCTTCAACCTTATGCTGAATGACAAATTTCTAGCTAATCTGTTTTTCAAAACACGAAAAAATGATGCGCATCTTGGGACTCTGCTGCCTTTTTGGAAGCGCTGCAGCTTCAGTTTATCCAGGGAATGCGGCTGCTGCGGCAGGTGTTATCACCAGTGCATTAAAGAATGCTGCGTCAGCCTCCGCTGGCAACGGTGCGGCTGCCGAAGCGAAAATGATTGCCGCGTCAAGTCAGGCACTTGCGGAGTCCGTTTCTTCCGCTATGAGCCTCGACGCCCTCAAAAAGGACGCCTTTATCATGGCCCATATTTCAGCACGCAAGTTTCTCGCTACCGGTGGCTGTGCGCGGGACTTCTCCGGGTGCCCCGCAGGATTCGTTGCGGACGCCGGTAGCTGTGCCCCGGGTATGTACGACGGACCGTGTGGCGCTTTTAGCGCATCTATGGATGCCGCGGCAAAGGGGGAATGGAGCTGGAAGTGTGGCGCCAGCTGGCCTTGTGCCTAATTTGTCTGGTGGCCAGACAATTGCGATGTTTAAACTAGTATATTGAAGTCCTCACTCACAAATGCTCCGCCTGATTTAAGTAATTTCTAACGCCTCTCGGACTTAGCTGTTCTCCCACGATTGACTGCATGATCGATTCGTCGTTTCGCTCATGGTAGTCTCATAATTTTCGATCCATAAAAGTGCATCATCATCAAATCACATACGTATGTCTATCAAAAGATTAGGTTTTTTTCGAAACTCAGTAACAAGAATGGGTGTCCGAGCTTTCTCTGCGTTCGTTGCTCTGGCGCTAGGCGCGCGCCACGCCGCTGCGTACACAGCGAGTAACTCTCCCTACATGCCTGGTAACTGGAATCTTCCGGCCGCAGGCACTGAGGTATTCGGCGCTGATGTTGCGAAATCGCTTCCGGAAATCTATGTTCGTTTTCAGCTTCCAGAAGTGTCGGCGCAAGCGCTTGCCGCCGATGTCGAAAGCACTAGTGAGATTGACTCGCGGATCCATGCGATCGCCCAGGAGCTCGCAGCAGACAAGAATTTGATTGGTATGATGGCACCGTCTTCATTTTTGCGTAAGGGTGACGCCGATATTTTTGCAGCTTTGAACTCCGTTAAAGGAGGATCCGGCTCGGCCGGCTTTCCTGGCATGGAAGCTTGGAGCGAGTTCATGGAAGGTGTAGCGCATTCCCCCCGGCCGCATGTATCTCAAGCGGCTACCGCCTCCGGCTGCTGTTAAAAACCTTCATTGAGGCACTTTTGAGTTTGTGACAACGCACTTGTAGTAGCGCACTGTCTTAATCTATGAAAAGATTTTGTATGGTTTTGCAGGCTTGAAGAAATTGTGTTTCGAGCTACAGGGCCAACCCTATTCGTTAGTAGTCGAAGTAGATCCCTATTGATCACTCGTTCACGAAGATCAGTATCGAGACTAAAAAGAATGCTCTTCCTTGGGTTCTATTATACTAACTCTTCTTTACCATGAATACTAGTGACTCTCTTTGTTTCTTTCGTCGCTGTCAATCTTTCCAGAAAGATGTTGTCCTCTCGTCTTTTCGTCGCTGCCTGCTTGGCATCGTCCGCGCAGGCGGTTCGCATGAACGCTATCCCAGATCCTCTCTCTATCTTGCCCCCGGGAGTTGCGGGAGGTATTGCTGCGGCAGTTTCGGACGAAACCCCGTATGTTTTAAATTTGATGCCTCCGACGGAAGACGGAGCGGCCATGAACGGCCTCATAGACTCTTTTGCGGGTATCGAGAAATCTCACGAGCAAGCTATTGAAGCGGAGGCAGTTGCAGACAAGCAGCGCCTTCTCGCTGCTGAATTGCAGAAAGTGAGAAGCATCGTCGCAGCAAAGCACTCTGCTTTCCTCATGACTCCCCTTGCGCCGAAGGCTGACCACGCCTTTGTGTTGCATGCTCCCTCAGAATCGGCCTCTGACATTTCTGGTGCGGTTAACTCGATCATGATAGTCGAGACGGCGATTGCGCAGCAAGCGGATAGTGGTGCCGCTGCCATGAAGAAAGCGCTGCTTGCTCACGAAATCGCAGCTATCGGCTCGATCGTGCGTGGGGCCGCTCATTAGATATGTGAACATCACACACTGACTCGTATGCGTGAATGAAGTTCAGGAATTATCGGCTTTTATCGAGAGGTAAGAAAAATCACGATATACTTCTGGTCACGTGTTCTACTCGCCATCGTTGTGACATTATCTTTCTATTTTAGTCGTTTGATCTCTACTGTTTTGCGCTTCATGCTAGTAATCTTCCACAATTGCAACAACGAAACTTGCAGACTCTCAGATTTTTTTTTCGTCAACTGACGCTTAAAACCCGAAATAAGATGTCGTGCAAAGCTGTTATCATCTCCCTGGTCGCAGGTGTCGCGGCTCTCGAGCCTTTCGTCCCGCCGATCGCCGTCCAAGATGTCATGCAGGCCAGCCTTCCTGGAGTGATCGATATTCATTACGATGTCCCAGCCGGCTTTGAGGCGAGCAAGGGCGCATCAGACGCCCGATCTACATTGTACGGACGCACGTCGTTCTTGAAGAAAGGCACGACTGATGTATACTTCGAGAAGCCAGCGTCCGCCGCGACGCTTGAGCAGAGTTACCAAGCCTTGCTCTCTCAGGTGAAGTCCAATATCAAAGCGAAGTTCGACGCTATGACTGGTGCGTCATTCTTAGCAACCTCTCCGTCTGTCAATGTGTTTGTGGGAGAAGGAAAGGGCATGAATGTCGACATGGCACGATTGACCATGGATGCCTACGCATATGCTGGTGAGCTTATGGCCGGTGCGCGGGCAAGTTTTTTGGCCGGTGACGACGTGCCGCATTCTCTTCCGGTGCTGAACATTGACGTGACAACGCCGGCTTTTGTTTCGTCTGAGGCGACGACACTGTCGCAGGCACAGGCTGCAGCGGTTGCCAAGCTGCAAAGTGAGCTGACTGGCTTGACCCACTAGACAGATTTACTGAGGGTTTTTTCTACTGCTGACTGAAAGATGTGATAGCTCCGAGCTTGATAAGAAATTGAAACAAATACTCTGTGCCTCGAAAGCGAGCCTTTCGTGGTGAAAGCCCGACGTGTTCGTGCTCCTTGCTTGCGCTTGCACGCGACTGATCGGTGACGGCTTTTGTACTACTTAGATCCTTGAGCTTGATCCTAGCTTTCAAATGTTGTCACCGTGCAGATCAAAAATACGAGTGCAACTTGTCGTGTGTGGTGAATGTCATGATGTTGGATTGTTCATCACGAAATACCGGTTTTTATGCTAACTATCTTTGTGGTGGTTGGACTTGGAATGTAGTTCGGATCTATGGAGCTTCCCAATTCTGGTTGGACCTACTGTATATTTCGGTGCTTGTGCATCAATAAATATATTATGATGAGGATCAATGAACTCTAATTTCGATTGATCAGCTTCACATTGAGACTGCGCGCTAAATCTGAGTAAACTTCTCATTGTTAATATTACCGTTCTCTTGGATCACACTAGACTAGCCAGAACAGTGAGTCCAGGTAAGATAGCATTGCGGTGTTGATATCCATTTGTAGCTGGATGTACAGAACATCGGTGTGCCTTCTCTACCTCAACCCCATGGTCGTTTCTACGAGCGACGAAGAGAGCATAGAAGAGGAAGACCGATTCTATGATGCGTTTTCACTTTTCGCTTTGTCTACTTCTATAGCTACATCATGATCCAAGTTAGGGTATCCGACCTGTGACTTGTAACGGTACCTCTCCAGGATGTCCAAGTAGGCTTTTCATCGTTTTTATTACTTCGAGAAATGCACGAACGCTGTCGCTTCTCATCACTTTAGTTGAGTGATCATTTCAGTTGTGAGATCACAAGGATGACGTCGCTGGATGATGGTGGTGCGACGCCAGTTGGTTTTGCACACGAATTCCGGGACGCACTAGACAAGGCCTGCCGTGTTGACGGACGAACACAGACGCGCGAAGCGTACTCAACGCTCATCCGTGAGAACACAAGGCTGTTTGAGAAGGATCTCACGGAAGGTATGAAAACGTTTTGATCAATTTGGAAGACGGTGGAAGACTTGTCCTGATGGGATTGATATTTTTATTGCAGGCTCAGTTGCAATGTTATTGGATACAGATTGCTTGAAAAGAAGGGGTGGGCTCAATTTATTAGGATTTTTCTCTGTGGCAATCTTTTATTGAATGCAACAAACTCAGTATGCGACGATATGCACGAGTGGCTCTCTGGTCCGGTGCGAGAAGAGCGCGAGTACGTGGATCAGCATAAGAAAAGGAGAGAGGGTGGGCTCCTTACTCTAATTCCTCTTCTTCATATCGTCGATAGCGCCATGAAGAAAGCGGTAGCGCGAAGTCAAGCCGAAGGCAGACGCACAGCCGAAACAATCTCTCATCACGTGCCGAAATGGGTCACTGCTGCAATAAAGTTCACGCCAGAGAAGCAGTTCTCCGACCGCATAGTCTCGCTTGTCTCCAAGTGGTTGAAGCAGAACTGGTAGTCTCTCTTTTTTTTTATGTTTGAGTAGCAGAAGCTTCTTTCCATTCTGCAATCTTTGATCTTTGATTTAGATTTTTCTTTTGTTGAAAGAAGCTCTCTCAAAATCTGCCACTTCGACGGAAATGCCATGTCTATCCGATTCACACCACCATGTCCGCACTACTGCAGGTTCATGCACGATGCGAAAAAACTAGTGCAAGTGGTAAAATTGTGCACGCCGGAAAAGACGGACCTAAGCCACTGCGTGCACGAAAAAGTTCTCGCGATGACGAGTGTGGAAGTTGTGGGCGCAGAGGAGCATGCGCCTGCGCTGGCCGCAAATACGGCAACGGCAGCGGCGGACCAAGGTCCTGGCGGAGGAGGGGGAGGAGTAGTCATTGCAACCGGCAATCTCATAGCGGAAGCACAAAATGCGGAAGAGCTGCGCTTGATGCGGGAAGAGATCTCGAGACTGCGCGCGGAGATGCAGCACCAGCAGCGTCCGCGCAGTCGCTCACGACGCGGCTCTCCCAGGAGGGCAGGGGGGCGCGATCGCGACAGCCGCGGACGTGGAGGTGGTGGCCGGAGACGATCTCCTCGAGGGGATAGCCGAGATCGGAATAGACAGAAGACTAGAGATCGGGATGACAAGCTGCATGATAGCCGCGTTCTGGAAACAGGTCGAGACGCCATGAGAAAGGGCGAAAGTGATAGCGCGAACAAACCGTCCTTATTCACAACCGCGCCTGCAGCGACAGCCACAGGCACAAAGCGGCTTATTCTTCCGGCTAAAGCTCCAAGCGCTGCTGCGTTGTTGGCCGGACGCAAGGTCTATCCCAGTGCGCAGGATGGTGTTAGTGCGAACGTTAATGTTCGTAGAGGCTCTGGTGATGGACAGTGGGCATGGGAACAACCACCGCCCGCGACGGCAGGCGCTTGGTCCGATGTCCCTGAGGGTACACTCTTGACGGCGAGGAAGGAGGATGCAGAAGGAGAAGAGGCGATGGATCTCGGTGGCGTGGAGATGGACATAGTACCGCCACCAAGTCACGTTAGACCTCCGACTGCTGCGCCGCTAGCTGCAGTGCAGTCGGCATATGCGGCGAGTAAAGGACTGACACCACAATTGGTGAGTTCGACATCGAGTAGTAGTTTTAGTGCCCCGAAAGGCAGCCTCGGCACGCAGCTACCAGGAAACTTTGGGGGAGCTGATAGCATGGGCGCACTGGGAGCGGGAAAGGGCGCAGGCATGGCAGCGGGCAATGTCGGAAAAGGGGTTGTAAACAACTTTTTCAACAAGAACAGCAACAGCTTGATGAATCTCAACACAGCAAACAACATGATGGTTACCAATAGCATGATGCCCAACACAAACATGACGATGAACAACATGAGTACAACTTCTACGCAGAGTGCTTTGCCGTATGGCGCGACACCTTATCCTGGTGGGGGACATACCTCTGGCTCCGGTTTTCAGCAGTTTGGTCAACCATCATATCTCAACAGCAAAGGATCGAACATCAACATGTCATTTCCATCATACCCGAGTCCCAGTCAATCCTATTCCGGTGCGCCAGGCATTAACAACACATGGCCGGCGATCGGCACGCAGCAGGGACCTTACAATTCCACAGCATCGTACGCTTCTGGTTATAACAATTTTCTACCGCAGCCACCCAATACGAGTCATTTGAATTACCATCTGGCGCGAGTGCCGCAAGTGATTGGTCCTCCGAGCAGCCTTGGGACAACTAACAATCTGTCCGGAGATAGCAGCAGTAGTGCATCGGCCGTAGCGGCGGCGATAGGTATGAGTCAGAGAAGCGGGCTGCCACCGTGTACCGCCAAAGCCGTTCCTAAAGCAGCCGTCTCGCCGCGCACAGGTGTGCTCGTGGTTGCAGCAAAATCCAAATCCACGTACTATTTCTCAATGAAAATTTCTCTTGAGTGAGTACTTCTTGAAACGTGTGCACAACAGATTACATCTTCATTATCACGGATGAAATTCAGTTTTGAGTAAATTTTTGATCATCCAGAATCCTCTCTTTAAGCTTGACAAGATGCGTCGATATTCGTAATCGAAGATGATCACGTACATACTTATTAAATGAGCTGCGAAAGGAACTTCCGTCCTCCATTTCTAATCGATATGCTAATTTCCTCTTCTTACAACAACTGCTTCCTCCATTTGTAATCGATATGTTATAATTCCCTCTTCTTACAGGAGTTTTGGTGGATTGACACAAGCGCCAGCGAAGTCGCCGGCTGGCCCTGCGATTTCGCGAATCCGTCCACCGTTGGCCGCGGACGAACCTGAGCGATGGCTTTGTTCTGCTTGTGGCTTTAGCAATATCGCTGAGGTGGCGACGACGCACTGTAAGAAATGTGAGCAGCGCCGCGCTTTGGTCGAGCTGAAAGACCCGAAAGCCGGAGTGGATGTGCCGCGTGCTACCTTTGAAGGCGGAGATGCGGAGGATGTCCGGAAAGAGGTAGACGAAGAGATGGAGTACTTGATGATCCAAGAGCACCAGAAGAGGTTGGAGGAAGAAGCGGAGGCCAAGGTAGCTGCCGACATTTAAGGCTAGTTTTTCACTATCCCATTAAAGTATCCTAAGTGGAGTCCCCCTTGATTTGAAGGAGAAAACAGGAGGGGGGAAAGGGGAAGCCACTCAAAAAAGGAATATTGACGAACTAGTTCTAAGAAATGCAACGTATCGAGGAAGAAGGCCGTCAACAGCAGAGCACAACTATCCATGATGAGCAGGGTGAGGCCAACATGGAAATTGACGTAGAAAACGAGGACGTTATCGTAAGACCTTCTGCTGTCACTGGTGGTGGACACTACAACCTCCAGACAACTGGATATCAACAATATAACGACGTCTACAACTATAATTCCGGAAATGGCAGTAGTATGACTTCCAACTATAACAACAACATGCGAGGACAGCATCAATCCGGAGCAGGTGGGAGCTGGGTTCCGCCGCAGGGACGTCCTTCGCCGCCGCCGCCACCTCCGCCACCAGGATCCTCAGATCCTTGGCAGCTTGGCTCTCGTGCTCCTGTGCGTGCAGCTGCTGATGGGTGGAGCACGTCCTCTGGAGGCGCTCGAGCTGCTGTAGGATTGCCTGTAGGATTGCCGTTGCCAAGTGGAGACAAAGTAGACCTTCTCTCGTCCAGCAAGAATGAGCCAGCATCAAGCAGTAGTAGTACAACAAATATTAAACCTCGAGGGACTCCGACTGCCGACGGCCGCATTATCCTACCGCCGAAGGCGGGAAGCGGTCGCAAACCAACAACTGCACCGGACACCTATATTTACCGGAGTCCGCGACCGGGACGAGCCGATGACCGAGATCGCGAACGTGATCGTGCGCAGGAACGAGACCGTCCTCAGCGAAGCAGAGAGCGTGATCGAGATCATCGCAGCCGAGAAAGAAATCGAGAACGCGAGCGGGACCGTGAAAAAGCAGCTGCTGGTGTAGATCGTGATCGCGAAAAAGGAACTGATCGTGACCGTGAAAGAGGAAATGACCGTGAAAGAGGAGGTGATCGCGACCGTGAAAGAGGAACTGATCGTGACCGTGAAAAAGAGCGGGAAACAAGGGAGAAAAACCGAGATCGGGAACGCGACGCACCTCGTGATCGCACTAGAAATAGAAGTCGCGAGCGCGGCAAGACCTCTCGCGAAGATGAAGTTGTTGACCGAGACGAGCGCCCGCGTGAACGCGATAGAGAACGACACAATGTTGACCAAGAAAAGCGATCACGTGAGGAACATCCCCGCTCAGCAGTGCATTCGGATGACCCTGCTCCGATTACTAGTTCCAAAGAAGATGCGCCGATCAGGAGCACCAAGGACCGCAGCAAGAAGGACAAGGACGCAGAACAAGGCAACAAGCAGAGGATTGAAATGCGTCAAATAGAAGTACGTCCTGTTGGAAGTGGAGACGAGCGCGTCATGGAGAGGGTGGACAGCAGGCACAAACAACCGAAGTCTAGTGTAGCGCGTGCTAGTCCAGTGAGGTCGACGTCGAAGGACGACCCAGGGGTATCTGGCAAAGTAGTTGTAGCTAACGGTAGTCCTCAAGTCAGTCCTGAAATCACAAGTGCGAGATCGGTGGATATTAAAGGTCAGAAAGTATTCGATCCAGCACCAGCTGCGCCACCTGTTGTGGTTGTTGCAGCACACAACTCGAGTTCCCCAGCTTCTCATCCTTCACCGCAAACCGCTGTTGCAACCAGTAAACACAAGACTAGTAGTACAAATATCGCAGACCTGACAGTTGAGTCGCGTACTTCCTCTAACAAGTCATCTGCAGCTGTAGCAGCACACGTTCAAGCAAGCTCTTCACCCAATCACTCTGCCTTACCATCACCGAATAAATTGCCAGCTGTTTATCAGATCTTTTCATCGACATCAACATCTTCGAAGAACAACAACTCTAGTACCAAGACCTCCAACTCTACCAAGCGGCCGAAAGAGAAGCCTTCCAATGATTTTGACATGTTTCAACTTGACGATCACGCCACAAATAAATCAGGGACGAGTAACTGCGCTGTGTCATCGTCCGGTAGCTCTGCTAAGGTGGTAAAGCATAGCAACAGTCACGGCATAGAACATTCATCTTCATCCGGCACCCTTGGTCATGGTCAGGATAAACTACAAGCAAAAGTAGAGATGAAAGAATCTACTTCCTTAAGGGACAATGGAGGAGGTAGAGACAGTGGAGGAGGTAATGCGGACAAGAAAGGCGCAACAACTACTACTTCTAAATCCGTGAAGCGTCATCACGAGGTGGACCCTCAGCGTGTACTCAAAGGCGTGACCGAAAAGGTGAGCAAATCTCACCGTGACCACAGAGGACGAACATCTTCGCGAACTGACGACCGTGACTATGTTTACGACAACGGATCGTTGGAGGAGCACAACAACAAGCAGTGCTCCCGACAGCCTAGCACGACGACCATGATTGTAACTATGGCCAAGATGGAAGATAAACTTCGGGAGTCGTCCGTGAACGAGGAGCAGGCACACCGTGAAGCCGAGGCCTACTTGGAAAGGAGGAAACGACAGCGTGAAGTTAAGAGTTTCCAAATTCGATTCTCCACGAACATCTTCCTTGACCTATCTTCTACCTAGAAGTAGGGCAAACCAAGGTCCAGGATGTTGCTCGAGAATGTGTACTTTTTTTTTTCTAACGAAGAGCAGGAGAAGCGAGCACGAGCTATGTCACTGGCAAGCGAAGGTGACGCTGGCGATGTCGCGCCAAAAGCGAACTCGTCAAACCCGCCTCCCCGTTTTAAGATCGAAGATCTCGAGGAGAACTTCCCGACTGGTGATGAAAAGAGGCAAAATACTAGATCGTCTGACCGAGGAGGTGGCGCTTCTAGAAGACGGCACAAACACAATAGATCTTCTGACCGAGATCGGCGAGACGACATGATGAGGAGTCCCAATAAAGCAGGTGGTGGACGGGAGAAGAAAAGTAGTAGGGAGAACAAAAGCCGTGGAGACCGAGACCGCGATCGCGACCGCCATATTGTAGCAGAAGAAGACGATAGAAATTATGGCAATGACAGTCTTGCTCGCCGAGACAGGACACGAAATAGGGACCGCGACAGAACACGACGAGAAATAGATGACGACGTTCCACCAAGCACTGACAATATAGTTCGTGTCACCATGGCTGACAGTCGACGACGCGTCGACGAGCATGGTACGCGAAAACCAGCAGCGAGATGGCAGCCTTCCGATGACGATGATGATGAATATGTATGTAATGCTGACGGTCAACATAGCACCAAAGCATCTAAAACTCGCAGAATTCAACGTCGCCCTAGTCCAGCCCAATCCTCTGTGCCCTCATTTGACGAAGCATCTGAGCCTAAGAGCAGTCCTGTATTGGATAGTCCTGCATTGGTAGATCTCGAACTACAAGCACGTGGGAGAGACCGCGACTTCAGAGGACATGAGCGTGCTCCTTCTGCCTCTGCCTCCGACGATCGTCATGTTCCTCAGCAGGGTTCTTCGGGATCGGGTCGCGGAGGTAATCTCGAGTACATCAGCAGTGTTGACCTCGATTTAAGGACGCGTCGCGAAGCAAAGCATGACAGAGACCACGACAGACAGTCCTACGACGTCAGAGACGACATCAAGCAGTCTTCCAAAGCAGTGTCTTCTAATTCTTCAAATGCCAACAGTACCAATGGCACAGGTGTGAAGCTCACCCGACGCAAGCAGAAGAGACCAAAATCTTCAGCGGACCAAAATCTTCATGATGAAGCTGACGCTGAAAAAAGTCGCTCAGAAGGGGAGTCACAAGAGCTCTTTATCACAGGAACCTCTGCTCGTGGACAACAACGTCGGGCATCGCCCCCTCCTAGAAGGTCTCCGCGAAGAGGATCGCCACGACGTGCTTCGCCGCCTAGAAACTCCCCTCCTAGAAACTCTCCTCGTAGGAACTCCAGACCTAGAAAGTCTCCACCGAGAGAATCACCATCTAGAACTGTCGTCAATCTCGTCAGCCGAAGGGAAAAAGAAATTAGAAAACAGGTACCAATATAGTATAAGATGATGCTTACACAACTTACTAAAAAGATTAGGATGATGTTATGATACGATATTCGCAGCCAGAACTAGAAGTTTAATCATAAACTACTAGTCTAAGGCCGTCTAAATTGGTTTTGCTGCCGACTACTACTTTAATTATGCTCAAATTCATGTGGTCCCAGTACTCACTTCATTCTGAGAGAAAATATAATGTCATTTCAACTACATCTATCTGTTCAGAATCTCGGCCGCGAGGCGAGACCGAAGGCGCCGGCTTTGCTGCCCCCACAGGGAAGTTCTACTTCTGACTCCGAAGAGGCCTCAGACGCACCACCAGAACGCAAAGACATCCAAAGTATCGTGGACTACGGTGACTTGTGAGGAAGTAGAGGCATTGACACGGCGTGAAGGGTGGTTGGCTGCTGTGACGTGATTTGTGCGGCTTCTTTGATGGCGTTTTCGAATTCCAGCTAGAGGCGGAAGTTCTTTCGAAGCCGCTTTTGTACAATTATATACAGAACCAAGTTGTGGTGTCCTCTTTGCTAAGCCCATCTTTAAAGGAAGCGGATGCCCATCTTTAAAATCCCAAGAGCACCGACTCCCAAGAGCACTGACTCTTTGAGTTGTGATATCCACCATATGATCCTCTTCCCCGAAACTACGAGAATCGTAGTTCTTGTAGAGGGTCCTTGTAGAAGAAGTGCCCAACCCCACTACCTCTACCTCATATTGACTTTTTACGAAGCAGGGTTCTTGTGGTCAACAAAAACCCTTTTACACTCACGCATCGGCATAATTTGCAGAAGTGTGATGATGTCAATTATCTTCTATAAACCCAGTATCACAACAAGAATGTTGAATAAACAACCCGCTAGTTGTAATGGCAACACAACTTGCGATCAGCTGAGAATTTTCCAATGACGTGGTCCGCCGTATTTCCATTCTCCATCGCGCTCGAACCACTTTAACGCTGTCCGCGAATTGGCGCAGGTCTTTGCTGCTATTGATGTATTGTACGTTTTCGTCTTTACCATACACGAAATATCGGTGTCTTGAGAGAAATGAGTCCATAATTGAAAGAGTGCACCAAAGAGAGATGCTGAGAGATGACGAAACGACGCGTCTATGCTGTGCTAGAAAAATAGAAGATGTTTGAAATTAAAGCGGTATTTATACAGAGTTTTGATCACACTGCCCAAATAATCTCTGGGGGAAGAGAAAAATGAAGCCAAGAACCTCTTAGTACAAAGCAACTTTAAAAAGTGAGGAATCCGATAGATACCAACTAATGAGCATTGGCTAGCTGGTGCTTGTAAAGAAACACGAAAAGGAAAGTAAAAGTTGTCAATAAGACAGAGGAAAGAAAGAACTACTCGTATCTATAAGGTCTTGTGATCCACCATCTGCAAATTCGAATCACGATAAGAATGCCCTCAGATGAAAAGCAGAATGGTCGTTTCCGCTAACTCCGTCTTTGTACGCATCCGACCACCTCAAGAAGATGCACGGCCCTCCGACGATCCAGACGATGACGCTATAGCTTGTTGGTGCTCGGCACCGAAAGGAGGTACTTACGCAATATTGTGAGCAAGAGACGATAGTGGAAGCAAGTGAAAAGTAATGAACGTCAATGCGGATCATGACCAGCCTAGCAGTTTATCCTTCGTGCTTGCTTTCTCATCCTCAAGATAGTTCGTCCTTCGATTCTTCTTTCTTACTACCTTTCTTCAGGCATATCAATCAATCAATCAATTTCCCATTAATAGTCAAGTGTGGTTGATATGAATGATCATGCACCGTCTTCTCTGATCGTGGTGCTTTCCAGCAGGTCGACTCTTTTTTGATCGCGGTGCAGTTTTAGAGGAGTACGAATTTCCATGCGTATTGGGTCCCACCGAAGACAACGTCATTTTATTCGACACGCTGAACAATGCTGGGATTTGCAAAAGCGTTTTTTATGGACAAGAGATCCAGGGCTATAGATGATTATTTTGAACCTACAGAGTTGGTTCTACTAGGTTTCTGGCCTGCATCCAAATGAAGGTTCTTCATCCGTGGTGTAGCCGTACTAGTCGTATGGCTCTAAATCTCCGATGGCGTGAACGAAACACTGTTTTGTTACGGCCAGACGGGTTCCGGCAAAACGCATGCCGTGTTTGGATCAGACACGGAACCAGGACTCGCACATCATTTCGTTCGAGCACTTTTTAATCTGCGTGAAAAATGGAGAAGAATAAAAGGTGCTGGAGGAGAAGTGTTTGGTACAGCAGACGGGAAGAGCACTACCACACTTGTGGTCGATGCAGAAAATGCAGGTGATTGCAGTTATCCCTCAGGAAAAGACGAGCCTGCTACTGCTTCATCCTCGTCTAGGAGCAAAGAAGTTGTCATTTACGACAATGACACCGATACAAGCGTCAAGGCAGGAGACGATGATAGTTTCACGAGTGAAGAAACGAGCGGCTCAGAGAATCAGTCTGAGGATGGAGAACAAGAAGATGCTCGTGAAGCTCGTGATGAAGAAGGTGCTGCTGCATCAGAAAGTGTGCATTTGGATTCGCCTACAAAACGACGTCGCACTAGAAATCCACCTTCACGACGAGATCAACATCACCGAACTAGAGGACACGCGAACGGTAAACATGCCTCCTCCAGAACAGCGCACCAGCGATATTTGCATGTCCCACCACCAAGGATCGAAGTGCGATGTTTTGAGATATTTGGGGACGTGCTCACTGATCTCCTCGACGTCGACGAAATCGACGAAACACAGGTGCGAACGGAGACGATCTTCCTGAAGACGCAAAGGTTTCTTATGAATATGATTCCTTGCTGTGGGCTGTTGCTGTTTATCTTCCTAAATCGAAGTTGGTAGATTTTTCCCTTGGTATTAAATTCATGAATATGCTTTATTGGTTCAATGATAATCTAGTCATGCTCTTCATGGTAAGCAGACCCACTCCAAAAGTAACCGAACCATAATATTATTAACGCCTCTAATTTCGGCTACAAAGTTGCCAGAGTGGAACATGCAGTTACCTGTTTGAACCTGCTCGAGAGAGCGGTCCAGCAACGAAAATGCGGAGTTTCAGGGTTAAATCAGCGCAGTTCTCGCTCTCACTGCATAGTGCAGATCAATGTTGAGAAAGTCGGTACTTAGAGCTCATGCTAAACTTTTCTCGTAAGAAGTTGTGGAATGAATCACACACAAGCATGTTACGGAGGATCTAGACAACAACCGCTAATACCTGAAACTAAACCCATGTCAACCCTAAACCCACCCAACTACAACCCTCAACTACACCTAGCCTACGAGCACGATGGTCCTCCGAATATGGCGACTCGTGGGACGCTGACACTAGTAGATCTAGCAGGCAGTGAACGCGAGGAGGAAAATCCCAGTATAGGCGAGCGTGCAAATTGTCGAGTCCTAAACACTAGCCTGTCAACCTTAGCGAGATTGCTGCGCCAGCTACAGAGGGGGGCACTTAGTTTATGGCAGAAGTCTTGGTTGTTTGACTCTGTTTCTTTGATGGAGCGTGACTACAACAGTATGGAGCATGCGCATTTAAGTACAACAACCTTCACTCGAGTATAGAAGTCCTTCCTACCAAAACGAGATCAACATAACTCATCTAAAATTGAAAGAAGATGACCAACACTCTTCACTAGCAGAGTACTAAGCATCTCTATCAAAAAAACTCTAATTTCCGAAGCAGACCGTCGCCAGTCCGTCTTAAACAAGGCACTTTTCGACTTTGTGCAGCCTTCCTGCGGCATCTACCTGCTTTTCTGCCTACACCCGCAAGCTCATAGTAGGAGTTATACAGCCTCTACGTTACAAATGGCTGTCGATTCGAAGACGATTCGGCATAAAAGGAAGCAGACTTTTCTTAAAGCGCCATCAAAGGAGAGCGGTGAGCTGCGCCTCTTTGCGCTAGATGACGTTGTATCGGGTCGAAAGGAACGCACTATTGAGTCCCTCAAGCTGTCTTTGAAGCAGCAAGCGCGTTATGGAGTCGTTTCAGTGGATGACTTTACGGGTTTGACGACTCCGATGGTTCGGCAAAATCTTAGGGACGAAAGCAAGGGATCGACATCGAAAAGCACATCGCGGTCGATTCAGCAAGGAGACAGTATTTCTGCTAATCGGGGCGACGTTAATCGAGAAGACATGAAAGAATTAAGGGTAGGCTAAAGGTGTTCTTGTTGCCGTTCGTTTTGCCTTCCTGAAGGGGAAAAGGCATAACGAACGGGAACGGGGTAAACGAACACCAAAACTCTACCTCTAAAAGAAGAAGCTGTTGGATCTTCCTCCTCTTCAGCCTCAGCTTCGGCGATCTCTAGCAGTAACTGTAACTCCTCAGCCCCCACAAATATTAAAGGAGCGCCGACGTCAATTTCCTCATCGATTGCGGCAGTTTTTACTGGGCTCGTCGGTGGCGTAACACCTACTACAGCGAAATCAGACGTCGACACCATGGTCATTGGCGAAAGCGCTACACCCAATGGCGTGAGGTCGAAATTAAGGCTGAAGAAATGAGTAGCGATCACGAGTCGATTTTTTTTTTTTCATTTCACGGGATCACTACGCTCTTATAAAAGGAGATTTTTTGATAGAATTCTTTTGCGGGTACACGACCATTTACATGACTTTTAGCAGTTGTCAGGTTTCTTTCGTGTAATCTCATTTTCTTAGGAGCTTCTGGTTATGGATGTCTCTAACAGAACAGACGGATAAAGATACGCATACGACTACTTTGTTTCGTCCTGCGGTAAGAGATAAAGACGATGACTCAGCCTCCTCCTTTAGTTCACCCAGCTCCTCATCGACAAGTTCGCTAGAAGTGCAGAGATCAATACCGGAGTCGAACAAGAAGAATGAAAAACTAAAGGACGTCGACCCAAGACCAGCTTCGAGTACAGGAGAAGTGGCCCTGCTGAACAAGAGCAGTACTAGTATCACAGATCATCAGAGCTGCCAACGACCTGGTCAACATGTTGGAGGAGGCCAAATTATTCATACCTCTGATGTAGGAGTTTCTTCTAGCACGACTGGCCATAGCACCACCCCTACAGGAGTTTCTAGGACGACTGGCCAACTTCAAGAAGGTGGCGCAAGCTCTTCCTCATGGTCACTGTGTGGTAGCTCCTCAGTGGTTAGTGGCGATATGTACTTCAAACTGAAGACAAAGTATCGTGCCATGAAGACGATGCATACAAAAACGGTTCGTGCATTGGTGCAGCACTCAGATTCGCTGTATTCTGAAAACCAAAAGTTGCAGACTGAGGCTGAGGGACTAAAGCAGGCCCTTCGGCAACGGTCAAGTGCAGGAGGCTCTTCATCGGAGGGCGAACAAAATGTAAGAGATGACCATGATTCAGCTTCTGGTTCTTCATCTTCTTCGTCTACTGCTAATCCCAGGAAGAGAAATAAGACTCAACATGTTCTTCAAGACTGCCTACAACCGGGTACCGAAGACGAGGCAGTGCATCTGCTCAGTGGGAATGTGCGCAGCTTGCTTCACCGTGGAGGAGGACAACCAGTACTAGAGCCACCATCAGCATGCAGCAGTGCGTCGTCTAGTGCCTCATCTGCATGTTCAGCCGCTGACTCCTGCCATTCGTTGGTGGATCCAAACGCGGCAACAGATAGCACGTCAGCGGGCGAACACCACGACTACCGCTTGAAGAGCGGGACGAAGAATCCACTTCACGATAAGAATGGGGATAAAACGAAGAAAGCGTCGCAGGTGGACTTGGAGATGAGCAGAAGAGACTTCTATGTCGAAAAAGCTGAAGTTGAACCTGTCGTTGTGTCTGAAGTGCCCTCAGAAGTAGCTGCGCAGTCTAGTATAGTTACTAGGAGGAAAAAAGATCGTCGAGTGAGTATCTCGGATGCGAAGCCAGAGGTCGAGGAGTCTACAAAAAATGACGCTTCACCATCACTGAGCAGCCAAGCTGCGCAGGCTTTCACCCAGCTAGATCGCAAGTTACGGCCTCTACTCCTGTGCAATTTTCCATGTTAGATGTAATTCGTTCCAAAAAATCTAGCACTGGCGTTGTCCGATAAAATGAGATAGACGTGACGGAATCTTCTGCCGCTAACAATAGAGTTGCGCCGTCTCATCACAACGACTCGAACCACCCAGACGCGTGTCAACAAGAGCAAAGTCTTGAGCGCACCACAGAAACCTCCAGACAACCAGAATAAGCGTAAAGCTGTACCTCGTCAGACACAACAAAAAACTGCAGTTACTAGCACATCACGGGGACGACAGGCTTCACCAGCTGAGTCTTCTACGAAAGTGGGAGTTGGAGGAGGCAAAAACTCTTCACAACGTAGTACTAGCAGTGTCCAACGAGTTCTGGAGCGTTACGAGCGGGTCTTGCGTGAGCAGAAATCTGTAGGGAGTAGCGCAACTACATCGTCGGTTTCGGTTCAGCAGGGTACTCGGAAAACAGCACCAAGAGACTCAATATCTAAAGCTTCTCCCCAGCACCAAAAGCATCAGACCACACCAAAAGTAGACTCGCACCAGGGCAAATGGATCACAGGTGGTACCAAAGTCGCATCTCCGACTTGGACAAAGCAACACATACAGAAGACGAGGTTCGTCGTGCATCAGAACCTCCATAGTTGTAACTCGAACGAAGCTCCTCCGGAGGCGATTCCTGATGAAGGAAGCCTTGAAAACGATAGTGCTGTCTTGTCGAAGAATGCTCCAGCCAATGTTGAGGTTTCCGTTTTGTCACAATTGAATCCTGACGGAGGCGTAAATGCTTCGTCGGTTTTGACCTACTCGCAGTCTGAGTTGGCATTTGCAGAACCTGTGGAAACGCAAATAACAGAGGCAGACGGAGGAGGAGGGCCTCCCACGTCCACGACAGTACCGAAAGATGAATCTAAAAAAGACGCTGCGGATGATCCATCAGCATTGATCATGCGACGTAACGAGAGTGAAAAAGTCGGGAAGCACAAGCAGGCTGATCATGCCGACATAGCCGACGACATAGCACCGTTTTCTCTCGCTGAAGAAGGCTCGCTAGATGCGCAGACAGGCAAGTCGTCGTTGATGCGCACAGCATCGGAGCAGTTTTCTTTCGTCTTCCGTAGTTTTGTCAATGATAGTATGTTTTCAGCGGGGCAAGAAGAAGAAAAGGGAGCAGAAGCTCGGTTAGACCAGGAATCTGAGGACGCACAGGAGGAGGAACGAAAAGTGCTCAGGGACGAAGAGTGCTCAGGAGCAAGCAAGTCCCTGTCTCACAAGGATCAAGTGGTAGACGGAGGAGAATATCTGCCTGCTCCGGAGATGAGCGGAGGCTTTCGTTCCGTGAAAACTGCAGTGCCGACTACTTCTAGCGCATCGCCCACCAGTGCAATTTGTAGAAACAACACTGCGTCGCTAGCAGGCAACACTAATTTGGCTTCACCACCAACGCGGAGTCGTTCTGAGTTTCTATCCGGTCGTGACATTTTTCTCATGAATTCCGCAGGGAAAATGGTAAATAGCATGCTCTCCCCGATTCAGCCACTCTCAAGCCGTAGTGAAAACCCGGAACAAGAGCAGCGTCTTGGCGACGTGGAGTCTCTGCGTCGGTTAGAGCCTGCCACATCTTCTTCCAGTCGTGCGCCAAAAGCATCTTCTTCCCCTAGTGGAGCACAGCCTGTAATATCTTCAAGAGACGAGGATCAGCTCAACAAGGGTCGTGGTTTTTCGCCACCTGTAGAGGCATCAAGTTTTGCGCTTGGTTTTGCACCTGTAGAGACAGCAGCACCGTTTTCTCTCGCTGCCAGACGCCCTACCGCGAGTGGATCTTCTAATAATTTCCCGTCACCATTCTCTGAGGAGGACTGGTCTCAGCGGTCTAGTACGAAGGCGGCCTCGGCAACGCCCTCGCCGATCGATCCTTCTAGTTAAGGCTTGAAAGTTGGCATCTCTATAAGCATCTCTATGGTTTCTCCAAGTAGGAAAGCCATAGATATGCTGGCTAGAGATGCCAACTTTCAACCCCTAATCTAGCTTCTTCGGAAAAAGCAAGAGACAGATTCTGCGCAACGTATTGTCCTCGTCTGGCGGCAGAGACAGGCCCAGCAACGTCGATTAAGGCTCGCCCTATGATTCATCTTCTAGAGAAGCATCTCTTCTAGAGAAGCATCTCTTCTAGCGAAGCAGCTCTTCTAGCGAAGCATCTCTTCTAGAGAAGCCTCTTTTTTTCTAGGGAAGCATCCCAATGGAAAAACGTGCCAAAAAGAAAAATTCAAGATGAATTTGGGAGAACTCTAAGGTGAGTCCTTTGAACAACGATCACGCGGCCAGCTGTCGCCAGTACAACCTCGAAGTAGTAGAGTGGGTCCTTCAGCGACTACCTCGAGGAGTCCTGTGTTGAGGAGAGAACAGTCGCCAGGTGAACAGCTCAACAGATTAGCACAGCACCACCTCCAATCATCCCGTACGCCACAACCTGCTTCGTTGCTGCCAGCACCGGACCGTCCGGCCGCCAGCGATTGGGAAGGTTACACTTTCGATCGCATCGTCTGCGAGGTTTATCCAGCAGCTAATCCGTCAGTGGAAGCAGCTATAGATGGGAAGGGTAGCATCCGCTTAGCGTCACCGCGAATGCCAGCCCATGCCGCAGGACATCAAGTGACTAACGTTGACTCTACCGTGGTACAACCCCAGCGTCAGTTTATGTCTGTTATGGTGATCATGGTTCCGGAATGAATTTAACAATATAAAGCCGACTACAGGTGGTGGAGGTGATTATAAGTTGAAAAATAAGTCAAGTGAGTGACCTTTTTTAGTTACAACACATCTAGAATAAAGACAACGTAGACAACTGAGGATGGGTCGTTTTGAAGATCTTCAGCATACAGAGGTGATGTTTATTTCATCAGGTGTAGGCCCTAATACTGCAGCAAGTGGAAGCAGCAGCAGTGGCTCAACAGCCCCTTGGCATTCCCTGAGTGCCACGACAGGTGCTTCATCGTCATCAAGCCAATTGGCGCTTGCGGGATTCGAGCCAGCGAGGTATCGACCAGAACCGAGGCTTTCCACTCAAGATGTTAATCCTACGAGCAGTGCTAGACCGAGCACTTCTAGACAGGAACACCTGATGAAACAGGACACGCGCGAACATCAAGCTCCCACTCCATCTAGAATAAAACACAAAGCCGCGAGCAGTACTGTAGCTGCCGCGCGAGAGCCCGCGCCGGTGCAGACGGAGGAAGCCTTGCGCACATCCTTCGATAAGATTAAGAATCATCGACCACGAAGCGGTACAGACGAAGCTGCGATACTTCTCAGAGACACAAGAACTACTCGCTACTTGATAGAAGATGCAGACGTAGTATTAAGGCTCAGCTTTCAATGGTCATTGGGGTTGGTCACTCAGATCGAAGAAGCGACCCTTTTAGAGAACAGGGGAAAAGGAAGGGAAAGGGGAGAGCTTTGAGGGGAGTCCCTTCCGTTCAGGGTCAGTGACCACTGAAGGCTGAGCTTTAATAGTAGACTCGTGGCAACGTAAGTCTCGAAGTCTCAGTCCAGGATGGGCAGAACATCACTCTGCCATACCTCCATCGTGTCCAGGAGTACTTCCCTGTGATGTGCGTCCCGATATCTACGGTCGGGAGGTAGAGCGAGGTGGAGCATCTTCTGCCTCGTCAACTGCGTTCTCCTCTTCGGTTGTTAAGGCTCAGCTTTCAATGGTCATTGGGGTTGGTCACTGAGATCCCTCTTGAGAGAACAGGGGAAAATGAAGGAAAAGCAAAGGGAGAGGCATGGGGCCCATTTCTTTCAGAGTCAGTGACCACTGAATGCTGAGCTTTAAGGTTTGTCCCGTAGTTGTCTCAGCATCGCCCTCTTCGGTTGGTCCCGTAGTTGGTCATCTCAATCCTTCTTGTTCAAGCAGTTCGAGATCGCTGAATCCCGTAGTTGGTCTTCTCAATCCTTCTTGTTCAAGCAGTTCGAGATCGCTGAAGCATGAAGGCAGCTGCGCAAGCTTTGTTACGGTGATGGACCAACAGTGCGCAGATTCGCCGTGGAAGCTGCAGGAGAGCGAGATACAAAGACCGAATGACGGCGCTTTGTTGATGTTATGTCTTTGGAGTAAAAAGCCATAGAAATGAGCTTTTCACAGATGGAGGTTACCATGAAGATAGATGCCACTTCTTTGCCTGGAATTTTCATTGACAAAGAAGAGCTGTGTCTCAGCTATTGACTCTAAAAATTCCTTATCCAACAGCAGACCACATAGAGGGAGCCGCTTTTACCTCTCCTGCTGCTAGTGCAGTGGCGCCTCCACTGCTATCGTCCGCTAGCATCCTCGACGAGTTGTCCTTTGTGGACACTGACCAGGAATTGGCGCGCAATCAATCGACGGCTGACCTACGCCTGGCTCAACGGGATGTCGTGGATGATCAACATCAAGACGTGGTGGATTATCATCATCAAAACGACAACTGCTTACATCAAGACGACAACTGCTTACATCAAAACGACAACTGCTTAGATCATGACTCGTATCTGCAAGAGGACGATAATCCTTTCCTATACCCATTAGGCATTGGAGGTGCCATCCCGGAAGACAGAGAGGCAGATAGTCGCGATTTAGGCGGAGGGGCGGGGGTGGCGATTTATATTCCGAAATGAGAGGATATTAAACTGGACAACAGTAGGACATCTCTGTAATGATTCGACATTTCAAAATGACGACGTCGAGGGTTTAACAGTAGAGGGGGCTATAATCTTTCTATAAATGGAATAATTGGAACTTGTACTTGTTTATGAAGACTTTTATCGTGGATAATGACGTAGTATAACATTAGGTCCAGAGCAAGTTTGCGATGACGAAGACAAGATCTTTTTTAGGAGGTTACTCGTGGCTCAAATACACATACTTTGTCTTTATCATGATAGGGACCGTCGTTCGTCATTGAGTGATGTAAACAGTTTGCTAGTACAGTGTACAACGCCGTCGACAAACACATTGAGCATGAAACTCTTATAAACTCTTAGAGTTGTTATGTTACTAGCCTCGAAGCGCCGTGTTGCAGAGCGGGGCTTTCAGAGTGGAGAAATCTTCCAGCAGCCGACTCTTCCACAAGAAGATAAAGGTTAGTCGGTTTGTTCGTTTTGCTCATTAGAGCCGATCGGGTCATGCGAGGTTGCGTTTGTACGCCTCTGGAGTTGTCATCGATCTTTGCCACCTCTTCTGCGATCCTGATCCCGGTAGTAAACAAGATTCTTGAAGACCGCAGAAGCGAGCGATCTTCGTAAATATGAAACAAGAATTGATTCTAGATGTTGTCCTATTTGCGTTCCAATCGGAGGTACTTTCCAACTGGTTGGCCTCACAAGTAGACACTAATAGCTACATAAGAGGTACCTATTTGTTAGGTGTGTAATTTGCGTTCTGAGTGTCTTGTTGTACATAAGAGGTACCTGTTGTCCTATTTGCGTTCCAAGCACCTATTCGTTATTCAAGAATTTCACTTAAAGAAACGATGCGAACAACTACGAATAAGAGGGATCGTGAACCGCTTCGACTACTTTATCAAACTGTCGGAGGACATCATAAGATAGTTCCACCTTTTCGTAGCAGATGGCATGCAAATTACCTAGGACAGGGGCAATTAGCACGACCAAACGGGAAGGTCGAGGACCACGTGGAGGTGGGTAAAAATGCAGCTCCTACTAGATCGACGCTTGATCTGGCATTGGAGGAACTTCTGGCTGCAAAACGTGCTGCGGCAGAATCTAAGCAGAATAACAACCCGCAGGAAGCACTATTTAGTAGTACACTCGCACCTGTACAGCAACAGCAGAAACAGAAGAAGGAAGCATTTTTCGGCAGGACACAGTCGACGCAGTCCGCTCCTGCTACCTTCGTTATACCAGAGAAGTTAACCACGCTCAACACTGCCACGATAGGGCGCTCAGTCGAGAAGAAGAGTGCTCGATCTGACACATCAGCCAGCTTTAAGGAGTTTGATGCACCGACGGCGGCGAATCATGCTAGAGGATGGGGTGCTCGGGTGTCGAAAAAATGCGGAACCACAGTTGCTAAGGCTTCCACTGGAGACAAGGCTCTCGAAACTTCTATGAAGATTTTGGACAAGATAAGCCGGACTGACTTCCAGAAAGATCCTCAGACAACACGAAGCAGAATAGAGACGCTGACTTCCAAAATTCGGCAGATCCTCGTTGCTGAGTATTTGAACACTTCTTCTTCTTCCACTTGGGTCCCAGCAGCGGTATCCGTAGTCGGGAGGCTAACTGCGCTTGATATGCAAGATGTAGCCGAACATTTCAGCGCTGCAATCCTTGATAACTTAGCGGAAGTTGATGTCGAACAAGGTGCTTATACGAGATCTAGTACTTCTCTTCCACCACGCTCGACATCACTCTTCGCCGACGCCTCCGAATTCGTGTACCGAGTCCGAAGGTTACCGAAGTGCTCTGAAAATCAACAACTGTCTCAAAATATCAGGGGCGTGTGTCCCCTTTACTATGCTAGCTACGAGAAGGTCCTTCAGCATGTGCTCAAGAACGAGGACGTTGTACTCCGGGAGAACGAGGATAAGAGTCTGAGCAGGAGGAGAAGTGTCAAGGATAATAAAGAGGTCAAGGTTCCTGCCGAGCGACGCCTGTTGCTGCTGATGCTAGCGAGCCACACAGACGCGCACTTGCACCGAATTTTTGTAAGAAATCGCGTGCTGGGGTCTATACGAGTGCATGAGACCACGACAGAGGCCTTAGATACGCGGGAGAAGAATGTCTCTGATGTTCATCTAGTCTCTCAGACGAGATTACCACAAGATGATACTGGACCAGCGGCTAGCGGTCGGCAAGAAGATCGGAGAAAGCAGAGTGAAGCGATGGGGAACGAAGCGAAGATGGGAAACCTTCTAGTATTGTACCTGATGGCTTTTGGCCATCAACTACTGACAGTACTACCATCTCTATATCCACGGCTGCCGCTGTTTGAGACAGGAACCGCAAGTGTGTACCAGAATACGCAACAAAAGCAAGAAGCTAAGGCAGATGACGCGACTTCTTATGAGATCTTGAAGATTTAGCTTTAGTTAATACACTAGGACTCACGACTTATGCAGTTTAGTTTGCACCAGAAAGTAACAAGGTACAATGAGGAGCGTTCGCAGCCCTCCCAGCATAACTCTAGCTTATTCCGACCCCAACCCGTCATTGGTCTCCTTTGCGTCCCCACGGAAATGCCGTTGCTCTAATACGTAGGGGTGGGCATCCTCGCCGAATCAGAAACTGCTCACTTACAGCATGTTCTGCAGCATATGCGGGACGGTCTAGCTGCGAATCTATTCGTGGATTCAGTGCTGAAGCGTGGTTTTTCACCGGTTATGGCTTTTGTTTGAGTACGATCAAACTTATCTGACGCAAATCATAACGTCGTGGTAACCCTGATTATAGAGGATGATCGTGATCCCTTGCCACGCCGGGCATATTAGAAATAAGCGACTAAAGAGGAACAGACTAATTCTTGACAGAACCCCCTGTCCTCACATCATTCTTGTCGTTATCTCTTCCAAGTGAAGAGGTAGTTGTAATCAAAAAACTCTAAGAAGAACATCTGGATCAACCTGGTGAAAGGTTTGAGCAAGGCTTTGGTACGTATCCCGGACCCCGTTTTGAAGTGTGCAGTGGATTCTTTTATCAAACAAGGTGAAGGAGATGAGACGCAGAGAGCGACGCTAGCACATGTGTGGGTCTCGCAGAATTTGGGACGAATACAAGCTAAAATTATGCTTCGTTCTAAAACTCTCTGGTTGGACATTCACATGTAGTATTGCATTGTTGTAAGGAGGTATTGCTCTTGTCTTAAGGAGTGTCGAGCTTTGTATTGTCTCATCATACATAACGCAGTTATAAGTAGAAAATTATTGCACGGTGATACATAGATATCCACGTCAGGAAGTCTAAAAGAACCCGCTAACAAAACGAACGCTCGTGAAAAAGCGTATCTCGCAGTCCTGTTGGAGCCTTTTCGCCAAATCGTGCTCGAAGCGCCGCTTTGGACAACTCACACTCTCCAGGATGAAGGCACTGCGTCCACAACGCCAGCAGATTGTGCACTGATGTGTTGGTCTCTGTCTGCTGTAGCCATGGTGTTGGATGATGCAGGATGCCTTTCGAAAAGCCTTTTCCCAGTGCATCAAATGCTAAAAGTGGCTGGACGTTTGTTTTATGGGTACAGGTTGTATTATGTAGCTGTACTATGTTTTTTATGTCGAGCTCCACAACAACATTCAAGTAAACTAACGTAGGAGCGCAACCCTGATAGTGCACTGAATAGTGAACAACACAGTTTGTTCACTTGGTAGTCAACATTCATTCAAAGCGCATTATTATCTTTGTGTGAGATCCATCGTGTGTGCCATCTATGACGCCCTTATGGCAGTCTGCACTGAACTTTGTGCGAGATTAATTGTATTGTATGTATTGATCACCACAAAAGCTAAGGCTCTAATCACCAGAAAATCCGAAGTTCAGAGTCGCGGATCGCCGAATGGCCTATTTTGCCACTGTGCCCTGGTACGATTACCCAAAGCGGAAGGACGTTGCAACGGCGAGTAGAACTAGAAAGAAGGATGTGAAGAGACCAGCAAAATCGATAGTATTAAACATTGGCGAGGAGAACAAAACGCGATCACAGGAGGACGACTGCAGCCAGGCCAGTGGCTTTGATAGGTTATTTGATGAAGGGAGTGGTCCGGCACCAAAGAAAGAGAAACTCAATGATGATCAGCTGCACTCGAGAAAGAATTGCGTGAAAACGGAAAATGGTCAGGGTTCTTGCGACGGAATTTCTACGAAAGAGGAATGTTCATTCGATAGCACCAGAAATACGAACACACACGCTGTATTTTCTGGAGACAAAAGTCCGATCCGAAGCCATCTGCAAGGAGCTGCGCTTCAGCTATTGCGACGACGTTTACATGCTCTCCGCCACGTCGCTTTCCTTTGTGAATATCGCACAAACTTTATGACAGGAAAAAGTGTACTCATACTCAGACTACTTTCCCACTTGAATAATTTTATTTGCTACTTGCCCACTTGAATATTCCTAGCCAGTTCTTAAATCCTAGCTAATTGATACTTGAGTTGTATGAGCACACTTTTTCCTTTCATAAAGGACGTTTATTCCGTGGATCTCTTTTCGCCTGAATTTGGCTTCGCGATAGAGATCGATGGGCCACATCACTTCCTGCACCCCATAGGTTCTTCCAAAATTGAAGATCCGAAGCATAATTTGGCTAGTACAACAACAACGAGTCACGACAAGATAATGCTTGACAACGATTCGAGTCACTCGACTAGTGCAACAACGAGGCACGAGAAAGAGACATCGACTAGCACAGCAACCTGTCACGACATCAATCACAGGCTTCTTGACGACGATGATGACAAAATACTGAACGGCCGGACAATTTTCAAGCATCGAGCTTTGGGTAGAAGGGGGATTCCGGTGTTTGCCTGGGTTTACGATCAAATCAGTGATGATGCACGTAGCGAGCGGGACTTGAAACGATTTTTATCTGAACACAGCATAGGGACGGAAGGGAAGAACAAACCCTAGGGACGGAAGGGGTGGTGGAGTTGATGAACAATAGTGAGCAGGGGCTTGTGCGTTCGTCGAATAGTGGAGAAATTGAAGATCCATAATTTTGAGTTTCGTCACGCAAGGTACCTCTTTTTACTAGATCTTCCCCTTTATTCTGTCGATAGAACTGGAGACTTTCTGTCTGCTTGTAGAATGCTATGTCACTGTCAACGCAACGTCGGCTTCAAGTAGTAACAATGTCTACGTTAAGCACTGAATAGCATCAATGCAACGTCTAAGTACTTTGATCACTGAATAGCAACACCATGTCTACTTTAAACACTCAACGTCAAAGCCAAGTCTATGCTCTTAGTACTATCGCCTGTAAATGCAAGACGTGGGATACCCATTTGGATACTCTTTCATCCTAGCAATGTCTATCCTGTAGCGGGTTGAACTAACTACATTATATATCGTTCATCGTACTGGTACTGTGACTACGAGCCGCGTAGGACAGTCAGCCACGACTTCCAATTGGTGCTAGACTCCAACGTTATGTGTGTGAGGGTGTTCGGTTTCCCTATTCGTCTGTGCCATTCCAATTCCGAGTTTCCCAAGCTAGCGATCTGCAGAAAGGATCGCTGGTCGATGATCATAACGATTGTCATGGTAATGGGTCGAGGAAAGCCGCTGATCTAAGGTAATCGATCACATTTATGTTGTAACGTCAGGCCGACTGAGTCAGAGCGCTAGTGTTCTCATGAAGATCCCGTGGCCCCTTGCTCTTCCTCCCTGGTGTCACTACAGGCAGTGAAAAACTAGGAGGTTGGTCGAGTGTTCATGATCTGCAGCAGCCGGGGCGACCCTTCTGCGTCTATGGTAATCAACTGATCTGGTCCAGTGGTGTCCCGCATCCATCCACCTTGAAAGACCAGCGCCCGAACCCTTGAAGGCGAAACTCTTGCACACGCATGAAATCCGTACGAGACTGCACGCTGTAGGCTGCTAGGCCTGTACTTTGAACTACAGGACGACTCTGATTATTAGGAGGCCCGAACCTTTGATGAAATTGGTCCAGGCGTGAGAGTCCAACCAGTAAAGCACTTGACCACTTTCAACGTCACAAGCACAGAAACGAAGTGAGCCATATCATGCACATCAGCAGAAGGAGGAGACTGGGGCCACTTTCTTCGACCGAGAATGAGCAACTGAATACTTTCCCCCAATGGGGAACTTTTTGCCTCACTTTATTCTGTTCTGAAATAAACGCAAAGCCCCACATGTAGACTGGGGCCACTTTCTTCGACCGAGAATAAACAGCTGAATACTTTCCCCCAATGGGGAACTTTTTGCCTCACTTTATTCTGCTCTGAAATATACGCAAAGACCCACATGGAGACTGGGGCCACTTTCTTCGACCGAGAATAAACAACTGAATACTTTCCCCAAATGGGGAAATTTTTTCCTGCTCACTTTATTCTGTTCTGAAATTAACGCAAAGACCCACATGTAGACTGGGGCCACTTTCTTCGACCGAGAATAAACAGCTGAATACTTTCCCCCAATGGGGAACTTTTTGCCTCACTTTATTCTGTTCTGAAATATACGCAAAGACCCACATGGAGACTGGGGCCACTTTCTTCGACCGAAAATACACAACTGAATATTTTCCCCAAATGGGGAAATTTTTTCCTGCTCACTTTATTCTGTTCTGAAATAAACGCGAAGACCCACATGTTTGAGCACCTAGACGACAAGGAAGGGCTTAGCTTTCTTACCTTTTTCACATGTGAGCGTAAAGTAAGGCGTGCCGTGGTTGGTTTAGTCTGTCTGATTTTCTTGCTTTTGGTGCACGATGTTGCATCGAAGGGGGGAATGTCGGGCCGACTGGGTCGGAGTGTTCTCGTGATCCGTGGGCCCTTGCTCTTCTTCTCTGGTGTCGCTTCAGGCTGTGAGAACCTAGGAGGCTGGTCGCCTGTTCATGGTCTGAAGCAATCAAAGCGAACCCTCTGCATCAATGGCAACCGACTGAGCTGGTCCAGTGGTGTCGCGCATCCTTCCACCTTGAAAGACCAACGCTCGAATCCTTGAAGATGAAACTCCTGCACACACATGAAACCCGTGGGAGACTGCGCGCAACGATGAAACGGCGATAACCTAAGGCGTCAGCCGTTGATGATGGTGCTCCATCCTTACCATGATTCCACTACCTCTACCAGACACATGGCGCTAGGTAGTTCATTCAGACTGGCAAGGGCTCCGTAGGGGCATTAGCTTGACAAGCTTCGCGGCCATCTTCGTGCCGCCAGATTCGTGCCCCATCATGTGGGCGGTTCTTGCTCTGCAGTTGTAAAGATTTGCGTTAAAAAATATGTTGCGAAGTATGTAACTAGAGGTAGCCAAACAGTTTGAACTTTCTGCTTCTTCCTTGGTCGTGGAGAATTGTCTTACAATTGATTACTACAAGAGCTTGTCTAGTACTACCTACCTCTTTTATTTGAGTCGTGCTAAAAAAATAGAAAATCAAGATCAAGATGATGAATTTTCCCGGAGGATTACAACAATCGAGCAACTCGTTGTCCGGTGGCTTCGATGCTGGATTGGGTCCGTTCATGCAGGATGAAAAGCCCGATCTGCCGCCTGAGTTGGAGAAGGCAATGGGTGCACTCGAAGGCATGGATGGAAAATTGGGCAAGCTATCGATCCCACTTCTCCGACTGCAATATGCATGTGGATTCAAGTTACGGCAAAAAACCCATAGTTGTGTACTATGTAGTATCCATATTGTACTAACTATGTATGTAACTAAATTAATAGAGTACTATCCATAGTTGTACTATGCATCTTCTGGAGCCCGCAAGCAGAAAGATTATCGTTACATTACTCCAGTCGACAACTGCTTAGAAGTACTTCAAAAATATCACTTTTGTTTCGGACGACTACAACCTCAGAAGTCCTTCAACCAACTTTGTTGGTGTGGTATCTTCACACCAACAAAGGTTGAATTTAGAGTATCTTCACACCAACAGACACTCCCCGTTCATACAAAAGCTGTTTTTCGTCCGGCGCATCTGGAAATAGTAGCAGCTGGGGCTCTTGGGGAGGAAGTTCAAGCTCCGCCGATTCGACACTCAAATGCTTAGAGAAGTGCGAAGCCCCGATGACCGAGTTCGCGGAAGCATGCGAGAATCGAGTAATTGATTATACTTTATTGGTCGACGCACTCAACAACGACTTGATGTCGATGCTTCATTTGCCATCATCTCTTCCAGTAAAACTGTTCTTCTCATCATCTGTGGCATGACTTACATTTGATTTAGAATCGATCAGGATTGATGGAGAAAAATCCAATTTTTGGAACTATACTTTTTCTGATGCCTCCACTTCTAGTTGACAAGAACACATAGTGTCAATCTCTCTTTGCTCTTCATGACTATGTCCTTAGGATCTTCTACCACCCAACCTTAGCTCGATCCATTGATGTCTCGGGTAACGCAGTGCTTCATGATGCAGGAAGATAGTGGCGCGGGTGCCATCGAGTCCTGCGTAAAGAACGCTTTGGGTGACAGCGCCATCAAGCAGGTGGAAGAGCAGATATCTCATGATGTAAATTCGATTTATTCGAAATACCGACATGAAGTGGGGGAATGACTGCGATGATGACGGCGATGGATTGATAGATGGAGGTTGCGGAATGAGCCATAGCACTGCTGACGACACAACAAGTACAACTGATGACACAACTGCAGATCGTCATCATGTTAAGGCTCCTGTTTTCATGAAGCAGGAAAGGCAGTGGGGTGGGCTGTTTTCATTGTACTTCAATTCGTGACCAAACAACGACAAATGCGTAGCACATGTCGACCCGCGAAACCTTGTAGGATTATGCGACAAAAAATGTTCTTTTTCATTATCGCCTATGCGACAAGAAATGTCCTTCACTTTTTCTCTAAAGAATGTTGAATGGTAATATCTTTTTGGGAGAAGAAAACTAGTGAATGTCATCGGCTACTGGCTTGGGCTCCTTCAGGAACAGCTCCGACTGAACTCAGCGAGATGCGATTCGTTTTGCACCATTGCTGAAGTGGTTCCGCGAACAAGGATCTTGCGTCGCATCCCTTTGTAGAGTGAAGGATGGACATGTGAGCTAGGGTGTGAAGAAAACGCTACAGAGATGAAATACAGAGAAAAATTTAAAGTAGAGTACTGACCACGACGAAAATGAAAGATATGAAAAAGGATTTGTTGAGGGAAGCCTTGAAGTGCCAGTATCTCGTTTCATAGGATGAAAGTTGTGTCCTGGTGAGGAGGCCATTAAGTTAGATAGTACATGGCAACTTTTAGGATTAGCAAGGATTATGAAGATAGTAATCGCGGTAGTAGCAGCAGTATTCACTAGTCCACCAGCGTTATATCGATTTCATCGAAAAATATTTATACATAGACCGTTCTTTTTTCTTACCAACGTATCAGTGTATGCATGGTGTATGAAAAATATTCGACATAATATGCGTTATCTATCATGATTCTACTACAGATGTTCATATGTGAGTTCTTTTAGTACACATCAACAATCAAAAGAAGAATATCATGGAGCCATGGTCATCCCCGTCCGGAAGTGACGCTTTGCGTCATCGTCATCATGGGGTTCCTAGTCGACCACCCCCCTATGGTCGTCCAATACAGGAGCAACCGGCAGTCGTCGGTGTAGGCGACTCTGGACCCGCACAAGTGCAGTCGCAGCTAACGCCTCCTCGTGCCGCAACAGACATGGTTGTAGCAGCTCGCGAGGCAAACAGTGCCCCAAGCAGAGCGGTAGCGACAGGGAGAATCGTGGATGCAGGTCTCTGTGCAGTACAACTGTGGAGAGGTGATGGGGGAAATAAAAACTGCAACTTGAGAAATTCTTCGTGCGCCTGCGGCTGCTGGATCGCGAGACATGCCCAGAAATGCGCGGGCTGTCGTAAGGAGGATATTGAGCAAGGGGACTGCGTCCTCAAGGGGCCAAATGGTTGGCAGCATACAATGTGTCCAAATAGGCAACGCGACAGCACGATACTGATATTGCCGACCTGCGTGCGACGAATAGAGGCGGACTACCAAACCGTCTTTCGGCCGGACAGAATGGCGCAAGTGAATGGCGCCGGCCTTCTCGCGATCGCTAACGCTCCTGCAGATGGCTTCAGGAGTTGCGTCTTTTCCAGCCAGGAGGACCTCAATGCATCTCCGTGGGCCGGGGATTCTAGTGGGCACATCGGTGCACTATCGCAGGCGTCACAATCCAGCTACAATATGAATGCCTCACAGAATACGCCAGACTATCAGACTTTGCTTCAGTCTATGGCAACGTCGTGCAACCTAGTAGCGGGAAGAGCAGGCGCCAGCGGTAGCGTAGTTCCTAATCATCACCATGCTGAGACGAATCTACCCCATGACCGCAACAGACCCCATGCGGCTCGTTCAAGTAGTTCATCTTCGTCTTCTACTGTTGGGGCGGGCGCCAGCGGCAGCCAGCCACCAATGGCAAGCCTCGCGGTGACTTTGCGATCCACTTTTGGTGGCGCTAAATTCTCGTCACCCGAAGCCAACAACACGATGGAGCAAGAGCAATTTAGGATGTACATGGATGAAATCATCCCAGCCACGGTAGTAAGAGGCAACGCTCGCGCAGGCTGCGGAAAAACCACCATGGCAGGCCTGCTGTGCACTCGATTGCTAGAGAAGAGACCAAGGGCGCAAATCTTATATGTTGTTTTTGGCAAGCAGAACGAGGTGGAAGCCCAAAACTCCAAGAAGTTTCCATCCAACAGCGTCACGGTAGCAACGTCGCACGCCTTTGCTAAGAAGCTAGTTTTTGGGGGAGGCCATCCAGTGCCAGCGATGAAGCCGCAGCACATCGCATCGCTGCCGCTCGTACTATACGGAGCACTGCGTGAGCGCATTGTGAACGCGCCTCCGGATGCAGGCATGAGCCAAGGCGAGCGGGCGGCCTTCTTGCAACCGACTGAAGAGGGGAGGAAAAAGCTAAAAGCCCTAGCGCGCACCGTAGCCGGATACATCAGTCGAGCACTAGATCGCTTTTTCCAGTCCGCAGATTTACGGCCTAGGCAGTATGGTAATCAATTCGTCTCCGACTACAGCTTATTTCCTCGGAGGTGTGTTTCTGAAGGTTTTCTCTCAGAAAATGACGAGGATGCATGAACAAAATTGCAGATGGGCATAACTTTGTTGTAAGATTTTGGAAAAACGAAGATGAACATGAACGTATAGATATCTAAGAAAATTGTTTGAAATGTAAATGAATTATTTTGTTCGGCCCTTCCTCTAAGAAGTGCGAACGTGAGCGACAGTCATGTGCCAGGCGAATCGCAGAAGGTGAGCGCGAACAAGCCACAGACATGGAAGCGGCTGCTCGACAAAGCATTCTACGTGAAAGAAGCAACGCGGATTTGGAGTCAAATCATGAGTGAGATCCAGCAGCCTCGCGCTCGCGGAGATGAGGCAGTAGAAGGTAGCACAGTTGGCGTGACCCATGATGCCTACTTCAAATATTTCCAGCTCTGTGGCTTCCAGCTCGGCCGTCACTGCGATCATTTCTGTGATAGGCATAAAGAGAAGTATCAAGTCCGAGAGACGACCAAGAGCCTCGCTGGCTTTTTCCGCGTGTGTCCACATGGTACTTGCAAACTAAGCCGCCCGCTGTACGATCTCATCATTGTGGACGAGGCGCAGGACTTCACCCCGTGCCAGGTAGCGGCACTGTGGGGAAATCAACGAGGGGCCACAGTGGTGATTCTCATATGAAATAGAGTACTGAAGCTACTTTGGGTAACATGAACAACAGTACTTTCGGTAACATGAACAAAAGTGCTTGACGTTCCTCCTAAAAATGTGGATTCAACACATCTCACATCTTCATCCCTTGGCACTAACCGATTTCTAGAATACATGCTATGAGTAAATTTATAATGGTGCCTTGCAAAAAGGCTACCACTCTACCACTTGTTCATATTCTCAACCCTGCTCCCAGTGTAGTTGAAATTAGAAAAGCCACCAGTATCTGAAACTGCTATGCAGATTGACAGGCATTTCGAATAATGAGTGCTTCATATTGATTTTTCTTACTCCCTGTCCTTGATCATCACGCCCTTTGTCTTCATATATTGGCGACCAGTACCAACGAGTCTACAGCTGGCGTGGCGCGAGGCAGGATTTCGAGAAGTGCAATGTGATCAGAGAGTTTCAGCTGACAAACAGTTTCCGATATGGCTCCTTGGTGGCTAAAATCGCAACAAAAATTCTCCGTCTCATGGCTCCCGAACTGCCAGCTTTAGCCGGTCTGGCACGTAATGGACACACAAGCATCGGACCTATGAAAGCCGATTTCTTTAGCCGAAACCAGAAAGCCGTTATCCTGGTCCGGAAAAAATATGGCAGGGATCCTTAGCTCCGTAACCATAGTTTTGCTACCAACATTTTGTAGGTCGTACAACGAGTCAGAGATGTCTTTCTTCTACAAATAATTTTGATTTTGATTGGTTCCCTGTTCTGCTCAAAACAAAGACTAACTATGTCTACGCTGCAAATCATGCTTGGTATTATTATGTTTCTGCTTTTTCTTTTTCATTGATTAATGAAACTGTCGCCCACACACTATCTAAGATATCTCTATCTCATTTTATTCATGACTTTCTAATCAAACAAGACGATCATAGTCGAACTACAGCGATGGCGCGATGCCATGGGTCGATGGCCACGATGGTGCTTCGCAGATCCCTCTAAAAACGAGGGCGTAAGCAGTGGGCTGCTGAACGCGAAAAAATACGAAAATTAAGGCTTTTGCATACAAGTATTATCACGTCTTTGCGTTTTGCGGGCTTTTCTATCGTCCCTTTTTTGATTCTGACAGCGTGAAGATTCGAGATACATGTGAGGTATTTCGTTTACTACTTGCCTACATACATGTGATGCATATTACATGTGAGGCACTTATCTCTCTATGGTGGCACGTATGTATTCCTTGTCCTTAATTGATCGCAAAAATCTAGTCCTCTCATCATTATTAGTCCCTATGCCTTGCATCTTCATGAACACTACGAATACCACTCATAGTACTAATCATGCTGTTCCTTTACTAGAGACCTTCCCGTTGTAATACCACACTGGCATTTTCACTACTAATCTGATTATTTGCCTTCATTAGAGACACGCTTTCGTCTTCTCTGATAGAAGTATTATCAGTCTCTAATAGAAGTACTATCAGTTTTACGTTTCTTCTCGCGACGGCGGTGCAGGGGGAGACGGAATGAAGTTTGACGGAGAGTCCTTCGCAACGTGGGACGAGCTGAAGGACTACTGTGAGGAGTTCGGCCACACGGCTGAGCAGACGACGATGAGCCTCGTTGAGGAGTATGGTGCCAAGATCACACGAATGGTGCGCGACATCAACAATGTGCGAAACACCTTACGACGATGGCACGAAAAATAGGTCAACAGGGAACCTCTTGGTGTGCTAATCATGCTATTTATTTGGGTCAAAAACATTATTTGATACGTGTGTCTGCCTACTTAAGACAAATCACTGAAGCAAAAACTACTTATCTGTAGTAGGTTGTACCAAAAACTATCGCTACAAGAATGAATGAACCCGAGCCATCTTTCCTTATTAATCAGGCAAGGAAGCCACGCGATATGTTGACACTCTTATTTGGTTAAGCTGGTCTAATACAAAAAACCGACGGTGACGCAGAGGAGTGGGAGGTAAAGATAGGAACGTGCCACAGCGTAAAGGGTATGGAGTTCGATGCTCCAGTTTTACTTAGTGACGATTTTCCTCTTCCGGTGGATGAGACCACTGGCCAGATCAATTATGGAGCCGTCCCTTCATGACTCATTCAGTGACTATCACCACACAGGCCTATTTGATGACGTTTCGTGGAGATAAATGAGTGAATATACTGAAAATACTTTTGTTTATATTTGAAACTGGGTATGGTATCTACGAGCTATTTTAGCAGAATGTGGATTCATAGAGAAGAAGGAGAAACTTTCATAGAGAAGCGCGACTCTTCAGAAGAGCTTCTATAGATAGTCATGTGATTGCTATAGAAAAAACGGAGGACATAACTGATATTCTAAATCTACGAAGACCAACTTGCTGGGTCCAATGAGACCCTCAACCTGCTCTACGTGGGTGTGACGCGCGCAAAAGGGGCCATCCGATGCCGCGACAAGATATGGGGCTTCTTTTATGATGGAAACACTTTGTAAAAAGTTGCACGCTTAATAGTTACCAGGACACTAAGTAGTCTTTTGCGGTCCTTGCTCTAATATTGTACACAGATCGGGGTTACTGAAGAAACGCGGGAAGAAGAGCCGCATACAGCCCACGAGCAGGAGCCAGAAGCAGACGCGAGGCACACTTCCCGCGTCATGGAGTACGAGGACTTCGACCGTGCCTGGCAAATGCTAGAAGAGCTGTGGCAGGCGGAAGAGAGCAATCGTGAAACATTATGCTTACAGTAAAGCGTCCCTTTCCTTTTCTGTTTTTTCTTCCTAGGTGCTCAGCCACACTTACAGTATGGAAAATGCGCTGGTGTGATTAGAAAGTAGAGAGTAGTTTCCCACATTAGCGGCCAGGGATCCCATCTCAATGATGATGATGAGGCCATCGCAATGATGACGAGGCCAGCTCAAACATGATGATGATGATGATCATTCGGTGCTTTCAATCCTCAACAGGTCCGAGCACAGGCACAGGACAACTAGGACAGCTTTCCTTTAAGGCATATGATGACTGATGCACAGCTCTTCTAATTTGAAACGGTGACTATTATTTCCGTGACTTCGTACAGCGAAGTGAACACTGTGGCAGGATGTATCTTTTTCCCGTACCGGAGGTTTTGGCAAATCCAGCAAGCCTGCACGCCGGAAGGAGTCGCGAGGATGGCCGGGAACGATTCAAGAAGCTGCGGCTGTGGTACCACACGGACAAGCATACTCCGTTGCTTCGGGCACTGAGGTTACGGGTCCCTAGCTTTCAGACCGTCAGCACGTGCCTCTTGCTCTCTTCTTGCTCTCTATTTGCATACAGTGATACGTCTACGCAATCATATTCTGAGTTTACCGTCTACAACGAAGTACTAGAAGGTTCTAGAAGCTCTCTTTACATACATTCATAGAAGGCTCATAGAAGGGCTCTCTTTACATACATTCATAGAAGGCTCATAGAAGGCTCTAGAGAGTGGCTCTAAGAGACGCACATGGATACGAAAGACTTTCGCAGCGAGCCTCGAACGAGCTTAATGCGATCTTCAGCCAAGTCGCCAGTGCTCAACACAATTGGAAAAAGGATTTGCAGCGCTCAGATCGAGATCCAGCCGCTCCATGAAAGTGACACGCTGAGCAACATCGTAGACGTCAGAGTATACGACGTAGTTAAGGGTTATCACATTGCATTCTTCACTACCATCCTGGACTTTTTTTCCAGTAGGAAAGGGTCAGGGATGATCTGAAGAATGCAATGTCGCAACCTCTAACGTAGACGGCTTCTAGAAGCCAGCCTTCAGGAGCAAGAAGAATTCGATCAAATATGTACCAAATTCAGTATCCAATTATTCTTTGAGTTCGATCCCATTCGCGTCGTCTGACAAAGTCCGCACTGTCGACCCCCTTCCTAAATTTGACCTCAGTGACATGGAATAAGTCACTTCCCTACGTCGTTGTACCTCCTGACGAAGATCGAATTATAGATACTTCAACTTTTTACACAAGAGCAATCACTTTGACATTTTGATTGTAGGCTGTCATGATAGTCATATTTTTTCTCTGCGGACGAGTACCACGCCATCTATTTGGGAGCAGATATCATTATCTATCATATTTGATGTCATTTTGACGTCATTTTTTCCTTGGTTTGAGCGCTAGATGAAAACTTTCGCGCAATTGTATAACACGTGCTACCTAAGTAATAAACGAATGACACCACTTGCAGAAGTTACTTATCTTCTCGTGTTCCCTGTCATTTGAACTGCCGCGTCTCTACTCGGGTCGCAACGGAGCCAGGCAGTTGGTTGTAGCTGCTACGTGGTTCGAATGAGTGAATGAAAAAGAAAATAAGTACTTAGATCAAAGCCGAAGATCATGCTGAAGATGAGAAGATCTTTCTAGTATTTTGGTCCAGTATCCTATGGAGACAAGCTCCTCTAGATCCATCATTAGAACCATGGATCCCCACAGTCATGTACAATAAATGCTGAGACGATGTTCATCGAGAACCGAGGATGACACGTAAGCATCATTCAAAAAGGATAACACAATTAGCGTTTAGATCAAGTAGACATCTGCTGTGAAAGTTGTATTTAAAATCCACTTCATCTCAGCGATGTGAGGGATCCATAACCGAACCTAACCCATCAACCTTAACAGACAGCGACCTATAAAGAGTGAAATATTTCTTCACTGTAAGAAGTCAGTCTAACTCTTGTCTGATCGGCTTTTTCACAACACAATACGAGAGGATCATTAGAAGCTTAGAGGACAAACATGGCTTCATCTTCCTCGTCTTCAGTTACTTCTCCTCTGCACGTGCTAGTATGCGGAGTCCCAGGTGTGGGGAAAACGACCTTCTCGCGTGAGCTCGCCCAACGCCTTGGCTTGCGCCATGTGGAAATTTCCAGAGTAGTGGAGGAACACAGCCTGTTCTGCAGTGATGAGGGCTCCCGTGGGCGGGATGAGGCGCGAAACTGTAGTATCTTCGACGAGGAAAAAGTAGCGGACTGGCTAGACGAAAACTGCGGGCCAAATTTCTCGTCTTCCGCCTCTTCTTCTTCTGCTCTACAACAAGCAAGTTCTGAAAGAACCCAGAACAACCACAAGGCTTCCATTTTCGGTGGTTGTGTCTTCGATTTCCACTCCGCGGCCTTGTTCGATTTGTGCCGGGAGGTCCAGATCTCCCTAGTGGTGGTGCTCCATGCGGACACCAGCGAGCTGGGTCGCCGACTCGAGCGTCGTGGCTATTCCGAAAGCAAGATCCGCGAAAACATTGAGTGCGAGATCTTCCAAGTCGTCACTGAGGAAGCGCACGAGACATTCGGCACCAAGGGAGGCAGACAAATGATGGACACCTCAGATTCGGAAGGGGAGGACGATGAAGACGACAGCGACGAAGACGAAGACATGGATCAAGCTAATGTTAAGGCATCTCTATATACAGATCCTTTATCTACATAGATACATTTCTTTTTACTTTTCCTAGTTAGGTTGGCTCCACCCATACATTAAGGGTAGGAAGCTTAAAGGTGCTTTTGTTACCGTTTGTTATGGCTCTCCTAAGGGAGAGAGGCATAACAAACGGGATAAACGAGCACCAAAAGCCTACCTCTAAATACACTTCATTTCCACAAGACATCTCTTCTTATTTCCTCCTTCTAGGATAATTGCGATTTTTGGAAGAAATGCTCTAATAATTCTGCTGGTTCACCACGTTCAGGAAAGAAGAAACGGCAAGAGGTTGAAATTCTAGACCTGCACAATGATTCCTTAGAGCAGATGGAGACCCACTTGAAGACTGTGCTGGAGAAGTGCAACCTTCTGCATGCAAAGCAGAAAGAAAGCACATCTGCAATTGGCGGCGCGTAAGGAGCAATGCTTAGTTAGTACTTTGTACTTAAGTACTAGCTTGTTGTAAATGTAATAAATCCATTTCTTCAGAGATGATCATGATTTGATGAGGCTCCATCTTGTGCCGGGTGATTCGCGATTTAGGATTTTTCAATATGTCGCGATGACCAGACAAGGGCACCACCTTGAAATGCACTATTATAAGAACACTTCCCACCAAGACCAAGACCATTTTTCCAAGCAAGACCAAGAGGATGTTTCCCAGGATCATGTTTTTATAGTACTAAGAATATTGATGTACTACTCGTCGTACAACAAGATGTGCGCGAAAATATCTGGAAAGACTCTGTTCCACAGGGGGGGCGAGCTTCTTCGGCTTGTTCCTCGCTGATGTTATTAAAAAAACCCTGTCACAGTCAGTCCCCCGACAGAATCAAATCTAAATCGCGACTTAATGCCATGAATCGTCACACGAGGAAGAAGGGCCGGCAGAATTCCAATTTTCAGTATGCTGTTGGAGAGAACAAGGATGCGTGTCTTGAAAAAGCGGACAAATATACTAAAAGTGGTTCTATTCGTCTTCGTCTACGTAGAGCGTAGCTGTTCTACAATCTTCTAGATTTTCAGTGGTCCTACAAGAATTACTTATTCAGTTTCTAGGAAATTTAAGAAAGCATGTGCTGTCCCTCCATGTGTTTCATCTCCTGTTGAAGCCCCGTGCTGGGTACATCATCGTCATCATCTCCTGCGTCTCATGAAGAATTATCTGTGTCGTCTAACCTCTTAAGTTGTTCAAAAAAGACAGGTTGGCAGATGCATTTTCTGTACTTATCTCACGCTTAATCCGTTATTGATTGATTGCAGTTAGAGTTGGATATTTATCACTCAGTAGAGGAACTCTGATTGGAGGAAAAAAAGGAACAAAATGGTCATTCCTGCGAAGAAGGACCAAGAGAAGCCAAAAGATGCGGCTAAGGTACCTATGACTTTTCTCTCCACGCTAGGATCGTATCTATGACAGAGATACTTATTCTTGTCGAACTCGAACTTGTCTTCACTCCAATTTTCACCACTAGAACATGGAAGAGAAGAAAAAATAGATACTAACTTGATATAACGGTCCATCCTGCATGTATTAAGGGGTACAACTAGCTACTGGAATTTCCTCGCAAAATACAACCTCCAGGAGGAGTCAAAGTCAAAAACGGAAACCAAGCCCGAAGCAATATTAGACGAAGAGGATGACTTTGTTATGCCTAGAACAGAAATTAGACTTCTTACCTCAAGTTTTCCTGGTAGGCCCACACCTAACCTAAAATCTAAAGAAGAGTGCTGCTTACAGAAGCTGTAGTTCGCAAGATCTTCTTTCTCTGTGCGTTGTACTTGTTACAGTCTCAGTAAAGCAACATTATCTGGAACAACATCAAAGTAGACAGAATAGTAGTTCCTACATATCAAGAGGTACGACCATGACATGACGCGATTTCTCCATCTCTCTAACTCTGAGGAATTCAAGCTGCCATCTTCGCTATTGAAGGCATCAGTATTTCAGCGAGCGATGTCCAAGGAGCACGTCGACCGAGCCAACTGGGATGACGAGGACCAGTATGACGCTTTCCAAGAGACATTGAAGAAGGAGATCGCGAAAGTGGGGAAATGAAGAAGTGTTTTACTGGATTATTAACTTAAATCAGATTAGGTGGGGACTTATGTGACAGGTCAACGTAATTCATGGTGTGGGGAAGTACCAGAAGTAGAAATGTCAAGGAGACTTGGAGAACTCACAACTTTCAGGGTCATGTTGATTTTTTTTCACATAATAGGAAGGAGGTAGAACAAGTCGTGCCCATTTACAACCCTGCCCCTGCCTCTTACAAGTACACCGACCTACAAATATGAGTCAGGAACATTCAGAAAGACCAACCCCAATCCCTTGAACCCAACCCTCAATTCAAACCAGGCACCTCACCTGCTGCCAACGTTTTTAATTATAAACAAGGTTAGATCCGATTCAAGGTTACAAACCGTAACCATGTGACTAACAAAAACAGCGTCTTCATCGTGAAAGTTCGCTCTGTGTGCTGTACTCTTGATGATGTGTCTGGTCAAGACAATTTCAAAGAGAGGATTACAGTATGTCTCTGCTTGCAGTCATAGACACAGTCAGCTGCTCACATAGAATCGGCTAGAAAAAATGGTGTCACGTGACGCGATGAGCTTGTAGTAAAACTGCAGAAACAACAAGTGGATGAGAGAGGAAAATATCTACTTAGAAGAGAGCATAGAAAGAGAGAACGATTTACTTGATAGAAAAAGGTGTGAAAAGTGATATCAGCGTAGGCCTCGAGACAATCTACAACTCAGAATAGTATCAAGAAAGGCCATTTCTCAAGGAGGAACAATCTTCACAATGTACAACGAACATCCATCTTAAAATTTAAGAACTCAACAAGAACATGCTCCTCTGCATTTCATGCTGAGCCAACCAGCAACTATGCCGACTCCGACAAAGTCCGAGGTGGAGGCATCCGCTGAACAGCCACGACGACGTTCGCGCTTGGAGATAACTCCGTCCAGTGATGGTGGTTGGAGCATTGTTTCTTATGAAGAACGCCTGGTAATCAAATGTAATTCACCCTCGAGCAGGGCATTGTCTCGTATGAGCAACTAGAAAACCTACTCGTCTTATGAAGAAGTAGCAGTAGGTCTAGACATCTTCTTGAGAAGATATAAGATATAAGATATATCAGGATTATAGCGATGAGTAGTTTGTTCTGGAATGATGTGATCAAAGAAGTACTAATATTTGTTCGCATGAAGGTTGAGAAAAATCATTTCAGACGCACTGATGACGAAGTAAGGAACTTAATCTAATTCCCCAGACTTCACGCGGGAGAGCGCGTTTTACACGCTCTCCCGCGTGAAGTCTGGGGAATTAGCTGAAGTTCTAAGAGATGCACATGGATTCAGACCGTCAGCACGTGCCTCTTGCTCTCTTCTTGCTCTCTATTTGCATAGAAGGCTCTAGAAGTAGGTTGCTAATCAACAATTACTATTTACTAAATCAAGTTGGAATAAGTCACTTCCCTACGTCGTTGTACCATCTATTATTGAAGATCGAATTATAGATACTTCAACTTTTTACACAAGAGCAATCACTTTGACGAAGTAAGGACTAAATGGTGCAGTCTCCACCTTGATAATATATAATACCAATCACTGAGGAAATAAGTGATGATAAGAGAGCACGAGGCACGTGCTGACGGTCTGAATCCATGTGCATCTCTTAGAACTTCATCTAATTCCCGAGACTTCACGCGGGAGAGCGCGTTTTGCACCAAGATTTGAAGTACCTGGGTCAATTAGACACTGGCAGTTTCGGGGCGATCTATCGCGCCCTCCTCAATGGGAGGCAAGTGGCAGTATTTCTGAGTAGTACAACACTTTCTTGAACGTACAATGGGAGGCAAGTGGCAGTATTTCTGAGTAGTACAACACTTTCTTGAACGTACAATGGGAGGCAAGTGGCAGTATTTCTGAGTAGTACAACACTTTCTTGAACGTACATTCTTGATGTTGTATCTAGTTAATAGTTTTTTAGAGTCTGTTGAGTAGTAGTACACACACTTTCTTGGTAGTTCAGAGTCTTCTGAGAGAGTAGTGTATACAACACTTTGCTTTTTGAGTTCCGAAGTACTTCTACAGTAGAGTCTGAGTTCTCCTGACCGGAGTGTACGTACTAGTTTGCCGAACTTAAGTTGGCTGCAAGTTTTTGGAGCCTCGCAACATTGCAACTCGGAGCAATATCAATTTTCTCCTATGTATTCACACAGGTAAAGGAATGTCTCGTAACCTCCAAACCGGAAGGAAAACGTCTAGGGATGACGAGCGAGCAATTGGAAACTTTCAGACGCGAATTAGACGCCTACAGCGAGATGCAGCGCAGTCCGCATGCAAATTACGACTTTGAACTTCTAGTAGTTGAAGTGCTGGTAGTTGAAGTGCTGGTAGTTGAAGTGCTACTTTAGCACTTCTAGTAGTTGAACTTCTAGTGCGTAATTGAAGTGCTACTGTGTGTAGCTTCTAGTTGCTATATGCCTATTTGGGATGCACAGAGTAGAATTCTAGTTGAAGTTTGAGAAGTTGAGCTTCTAATCTTTTACAACCATGTACATGAGATGTTGTAACATTTCCTAGCAACTCATGTACTCAAACTTATAGCGGTTGCATCTCAGACCCAGACGATTCCCTTCCGGTTTGGTCACGAGACAGCCATTCACATGAGTTGCATCCGCATTATTCACTTTCACATTCTTTTTTCCTTTCACATTCTAATACTCCCTTTCACATTCTAATACTTCCTTTCACATTCTAATACTCCCTTTCACAGTCTTCCTCGGCTCCTTTCACATTCTAATACTCCCTAGTGACCTACATCGGCTGCATGGTGCCGTCCAATGACCACAGGGACCAACTGCGGATTGGACTAGTTATAGAACTCGTCGACGGTGTAAGCATGTACAAGCTTTGCACCCTGAGAGGCGATAGATCATCAGCAGAGTTATGATGCAGATCATCATTATGCTTGAGTGTGTACTTAAATCAGCAACAGAGTTATGATGCAGATCATCATTATGCTTGAGTGGTGTGTACTTAAATCAGCAACAGAGTTAAGATTATTGTTAAACGAATTAGTTTTTATTATGAAAGTCATGGGATTCTTTCACCTCCACGTTGCATACTAGAGTTGCTTCCAGCTTGACGTCGTTCAGCAGACTCTCGCTCCGTGGCGCTTCTTTGGGTCACAGTAATCTAATTGGCTTTGTTCCGCATGTAATCTGATGTGACTCCCGCTCCGCGATAATAATTCAATGTTACGTTCTACTTCTCCGCAATAATTTGATGTTAGTGCTACTCCTCAATAATTTGATGTTAGTGCTACTTGTTCTCCGCAATAATTCGTAGACGAAAGAGAAGCGAGTCCGCAATTGCCTTCGAATGGGAGACATCCGTTCTCTCGCGAAGAGCGACTCAGTTTACTCGAGCAACTGGCTAGTGCGTTGATGCACCTACATGCGGAACTACATCTTGTTTACGAAGAAAAATTGATGACACTCCTTGGATGAAAAAGCTTTCAAGCGAATGATCTTACCTACACCAGAAATAAGACTACGCACTTTACTAGGCGTTGAGGTGTAAGCCTTGTTCATGATCGTTCTTTCGTACCTGTGCTGCATCAAGTCCCGTAAAAAGTTAGATGAAGCCAGCTAGCAACTATTCTATTCATTTCATGCATCGCGACGTGAAGAGTCAGAATGTGGTGGTGCGAGGAACGCAGCTGAAGTTGTGTGACTTCGGAAAGACCCGCAAATTGGAGGACAAAGCGGACCTTCTGAAAAGCATCCAGGTGAATGATCTTATGGTGCTTATCACTCTTTCTGAAGATTTTCTTGTGAGAGGAAAACTGTACTAGAATACCGTTTGTTAGAACGCTTTTTTGTTTAATGTAGAAGGTCTACCTGAAGACAGACTATTCTTGCGGATCATGTCTTGATTATGCTGGCGGAAGGTTATACTTGATAGTTTATCAATCGGTTGTGCTGCTGCTCTTCAACAGAAGGCACAGGATAGTTGAAAGGCCTCGATGAAGATGTCAGTACGTTACGTATAGATGAGGATCCATGACATGACATGACCATTCTTGCGGATGATCTGGAACAACTAGTCAACTACTTCTAAAAATCCGTCACAACAAGTTTCATCGCGGCAAGACTCTGGCACCCCTCTTTCTCCACAGCAGCTGCAAGCACAGCGGCAGCAGTTGGAGTCTCTGGCGCTACCTCGCGCCACCCTTCTGACCGAAAACGGCGGTAGCCCTCGATACATGCCAAGGGAAGCTTTTTTCGCGAACCGATTCGTCACTGAACGAGTAGACGCGTGGGCTTTTGGCTGCTTCCTGCTCGAATCATGGACACAGAAAGTACCTTGGCATGAAGTTGCTTCGTCATTATGTGATGTAACCGTGTTTTTACTATTCATGGACACAAAGAGTGGTGCCTTGGCATGAAGTTGCTTCGTCATTATGTGATGTAACTCTGCTTTTACATACTAATACTATTGGGTAGTGTAGTACTCATCTGTGTACTTACAACTATGTGTTATTACTACGGTGGGTACTATTATTACTACAACTACTATCTTCACCAATAGATGCTAATACTAGAGTCCGTCGTGGATCTCGTGGTGCACCAGGAGCGAGCGCCGAATGTGGACTTGCTACCGCCAGCGTTGAAGTTACGATGTTGAAACTCAGCGAATTTGCTTAATTGCGGTTGCTCTGACCGATGGATGAATAAGAACTTGTACTGAAGTGCGGCTGAAGAACATGATCTTCCCGCACACGATTCTTGCCCTTGGTGTGCTTGTAAGTACTTTGATCAATCACAGCAAATATTTAGTAGTTGTTGGATGAGGACAGACTTTGATTGATAACAGCGTATAACTACTTGTTGTGTAACTTATACTTTATTTGGCTGACTCACGGATCTAATACAGGGAATCGCACAAGCATTGTTCCGAGTCGACCCCGCAGAGCGACCCTGCATGGCTGAAGTGCTCTACTTCTTGCGGCGACATAAGCACGATATAATCTGTGGGGAACAATCAAGCGCGATAGCTGCCGGGAAATAGTCGAGGCATCTTCTTTGGAACCGTCGGCGTAGAAATGAGTACTGGTAATAAGAAATTGGGGTGACATGGAAAAGAAGACAAGCACATGGACAGCAAGACTCTGCTTTAGCCTGATGCCCGGCATCTGAGGAAAAGAGTTTTCTATGAAGCCTGCGGGAACGTCCTCATCACAGAATTTGGACAAGAAGACAAGCACATGTACAGCAAGACTCTGTTAGAAGACTTCTATGTTATATGCACAAGAAGGAACATATAATATCTCAAGACAAGATTGAACAGTTGATGAACTACCCGGCTAGAATGAATCCGGGCAATGAACCATACGACCTTAAACAACGAACCGTCCTTGATGTTCCTGCAGGATTGAGGAGCGACTGGAGAAGAAAGTGTTAGTACGTCTGATCTTCACTGAGAAGGAGGACAAAGGCACAAACTCCAGGTCATCTTATAGCATCAGTAGCGTGAAAGCAAGGACCCTCGCAGTAGTTGTAGTGTGAAAAACTTGGATTTCATCTCTCTGCCTTTTAGAATAGTAGAATAGAATAGAATAGAATGAAGGGTTAATATGATAAAAAGCGGTGGTTGTAGCTGCAGGCGAGGGACAAAGCAGCGCTAGCCGGTTTGGGGGAACTATCAAGACAAACGATCATGATCTCACAAGCCGAATCCTCTCTCCTTTCGTCTGAGGAAGATGGAGTCCTAGATAACCATCTTGATCATGGTGCCAGCGATTCCGACGCCAGGCTATTATCTGGCAGTGAGGGTGACCAAGGCGCGAGCTCGTCAGATGGCCTCTCGTCTTCAACCGGGCTAAAGTCGGCGAAGAAACAACAGTCAAAAAGTAGGCTTATTTTGCAGAGTTTCTGATCGTGAGTAACTTTCTTTTGCCTTTACGAGTTGCATCAAATAACACAGAAAGCGTAGCTGTTACGGTTTCGTTTTATAATGCGACACGACATAGGTTGACCAGTTTAAGAATATTCGGACTTCCACCTCCTAACAGCATTCTTGTTACCACAGTCTTCTCCACTACTTCTAATACACGGACTTCCACCTCCTAACAGCATTCTTGTTACCACAGCCTTCTCCATTATGACAAGCCTTCTCCATTATGACAAGCCTTCTCCATTACTTCTATCTTGCAGGCACTGGCGACGACCCCATAGAAGTTGCCTTTTCTACATACGACACATCTGGAGATGGATTTTTATCCCTTGGTGAGTTGCACAGTGCCCTGGTGTCCATTATGGGCGCTGACGTTGTCACTGAGGACCTGGTGAGAGAAGTGCTAGCGGAGGTCGACGGCGATGGCGATGGACAGGTGAATTTGGAGGAGTTTTATTTATGAAGATGGACGTAAGAGATCGCAGTGGAGATGCAGTTTATGGCTCAGTATTTTCTGGTTCATGATCAGGCAGTACGGGGATCTATATGGTGCATCTATGAATATGGTAGACAAGAACACGGGATGCAGTACTGAATCAGGTGGAGATGAAGTTTATGGTTCATCAGCCAGTACGGGGAATCAATCGTGAAGCATTTACGTATGTTTACATAAGCTTAGGTATTGATTCAGCGCTCACAGTCATTGTGACCAATACCAAACTTTGGTAAAAACGAGAGTAAGTCTGGCATCTCTAATCCAACACGTTTTCGATGTTGCGGACCGGATCTTAGCGGAAAGAGGGATCGGTCCTGGCCTGGATGATGCTGAAACAGAGGACGCTGCGTTACCGCACGTGGAGGATAAAGACGCCAATCCTACTGGTGCCTCTAGAACAAGTGTCCTCCACGAATCGAAGCAGGACGTCGCTGAAAAAGAAATTGAATATTATGCCTCTACTAATGCGACAGCAAGGGAATCTGATGAACAAGCCCTACCACCACACCCAGAGGAGCCCGAACATGATCTCTCTGGAGAAGCACCACAATCAATACGACTATTAGACGATGATAGTAAGGCTACGCAAGAAGAGGAGTCAAACGCAAAGAAAGAGCAACTGTCGATCCTTGCAGGTGAAGATGATCCTAGTTGTAGTACCCAAGAAATAAAGGACTCAGATGATCCTAGTAGTACCCAAGAAATAAAGGACTCGAGAACGTTCTTTGAGGAGTCAAGGGAGGTCTCAGTAGAAGGCAAAACAGATGTAGTGGATGGTCCTAGTAGTACCCAAGAAATAAAGGACTCTAGAACGTTCTTTGAGGAGTCAAGGGAGGTCTCAGTAGAAGGCAAAACAGATGTAGTGGATGGTCCTATGGAAGAAAAGTTGAGCCGCGCGATGGAGGAGAAGGCGTTGTTAGAGCAGAAACTCCACGATCAGAGTACTGCACTCACTCTCAGCGAGAAGGCAATCGTATGGCTGCTGGATACTATATCTAGACTACTACTTTTCATGCTTCTAGAAGCTAAACTCTTAGTACTCTCGTCTAATTGATACATTTTCGCGTACTTACTCGTCCTCTCCCATTTATTTGCCTTCTTCATAGACCACGCAGTTGCGCAGCGAACTCGACGCTACCAAAAGCGCACTGGAGTCGGTGCGAGCAGCGAATGCAAAGCTCAGTCTTAACCTTGCTGGAATAGAATCTGCTAGAAAAGCGGAAGTTCGCGAACTCAGTGACCAAGTACACAGACTAGAGCACGAAAAACACCTAGCAGAAGGTCGACTAGCAGTGGAGAAAGCGTCTACGATCAAGAAGGAACAACGGGAAAGTGAGATGCAGAAACAGGCAAATGAAGCAGAAACGACAAGACTGGCGGCTGCTCTCTCAGAATTAGAGGAGCGTAATCAAATGTTGGAAGCTGAACGATTAGCCCTCGACGCAGACCGGCAGTCTCTGGAGGAAGCGAGAGATGTAGTATTAAGGATGGGTGACGTTTTAGTTTAGTCGTTCTGATCAAGTAGTGTTTATTTGGGCAATGTTTCTACCTCTACACACGGCTACGGGGCACTTTTCTTTTACAGATAAATCATCATCGTTTTTTTGATTTTCATCATTGATATCTTTCCTACGTCGAAGGAAGTTGTACCTTAGTAGTACCTTGTCTAATCCTAGCCGCCGACAGAGAAGCATTAGCCGCTGACAGAGAGGCGCTCGAGGTCGAGAGGAAGTCATGGCTTCTAGAGAGAAAAAGTAGACTGTTGCAAAGTAGGAATAAAGACCACCAAGCAAGAGACTCTGCGGATCAGAGCAGAAGTGGGTCTCCAACAGCACGCAGGAGTCCGTCTAGCGGTACTGTGAAAACACGAAGTGCTTCGATTATGGTTATCATACTTCAAAGTTCTAAAGTTTTTCATTTCTTTGCACATTTGATTCAGAAAGATCGCACTTGATGACTGTCCTTATTGGAAAAAATGCAAGACCTTCTCATGGTGGACTGGAAACACAAGGAAAAACACGGTGTTGTGCAAATTCATCATGTTAATCTTTGTTGTAGACATGAAGCCCAGGACCTCCTATGTCTAATCCACAAACTCGCGAGTTGCTACGACTCAGCGTCGTTTCACCAGACCGGTCTCCGCACAGTAGAAGTGTGATAAGGGAGCGCCTTGGCGTCGATGCAGACACGACACCAGAAGGGAGAATGTCTTTCAACCTATCATCACGAACAGGTCTGACATAACACGGAGGTAACTGAATAGAAACTCATGAATCTTCTTCTCATTCTCAACACCTGGACCTGGTACTCGCAGTCGTCGATGAGGTACAACATGTACATGTACATAATTGTTGTGGCCAGGAGAACATCAAAATCAGGAGACAAGATGACATGAACTTGATTATGTAAATGAAACAAGATGAAAGGGCTTCCGGGTCCGTTACGCATCGATTGTATGCATGATGTTCGTTCAGGGAAATGAATTAGGAGCAAAGCATGTTGAGGACCAGCTGGTAACTGGAATTTGAAACGCAAGTGATGAGGAGGCATTACGAGAGCAGAGCAAAAGTTAGTAGTAAAATGTCCTCTCTACATTCTTACTCCTTCGAAATACAACTGATCTTGGAAAGTCCTAGGCTCATCTTGTTAGTTGTATATGCAACCGTGAGCACTACTGAGGTCTACGAGAGATACATTGCGCAAGAGCGCCATCGGTCCTCACCGGACTGAAAGTAACTAGCTAGAAAGACACAGACTCTTCCGCGCCACACTTTGTGTACGAGGAGTACCCTTCTTGAGGATGATGTAAAACATCATACTCGTATTACCTATGTACTAAATGTAAATAAGGATGCAGTAACCAAAGCCGAAGGGAAACTCTCAAACCGGTTGCTAGCACTAGCAAACTAGTGTAATCATGAAAGGATGTAGTCACTCTTGACTCCGTGTCAATAGAGGTGTCATGCGAGAAGAGAAGTGCTTGCAGCCTATAGCATTGTCGAGTCGAAGATGACGACGATTACGGTGTTTCTAAAGCTGCCGCACTTTGACGAGCAGATATGCCGCGAACTCGAAGTACCCAGCACAGTGACACAACTCAAGAAGCAACTTGACGTGGCCACGGGACAGGAACTGGTATGGAAGATTTTGTTTGATTGTGTGCTAGTTCTTGTGTCGCTTAGGCATTCTTGAACGGATCACAATGCGTTTTCTTGTTCCCTTGTTTTTTCCCCTTTGCATAAATAAGCAGGTTTATAAAAATAAGGCACCCTACTATGATGGTCTGACTTTTTACTTTGTAAAGCTCTCAGTCTTTTCCCTTGCTTCTAGCCCTTTCGCTTACTTGTTACTATTTAATATTTTTTATAGAAATAAAGGAGCAGTAAGATCCAAAATTGACCACGGTCATTTTTTAAAAAATGCCAAAAAATCGAAATTGTGGAATACGACAATGTATTCTATGGCGTTCGTGGTGAGTGAAGTGAAAGTAGAAGCAACAAGCCTCACTGGCGCGACGAGAGAAGTGAGAGCGAGAGTTAAAATGTTTTTTCAAGCTAAGGGTTTGTTTTCGTAAACAGAAAAAGGAAGAAAAATCCTTTGGGAAGAAAGTCAGACTAACTGTCGTTCTAAGTAAACTCTTCTTGAGGAAGTCGTTGTTTTCGTGTTGGCTTTTTGTTTCATTCGGTCGAAAGTCGGGAACGTTTTCTTTCGAAATATGTAACGGAGATAAGAGTAGAAGTTGGAGTAACATAAATGGTTTAGATAGTGAACATCAATCATGATTTCATCTATTAAATAAAACACGTTTGCTCCGACTTTAATGCTTGTCACCTTTTCCCTTACCTATTTCGTTTTGTTTCACTTGTTGATAAATGTCATTCTGATAATCATTGCATTGGTTCATCACTTGCGCTCAACCCACTATTTCGTCAACGTTGCGTGGATGCATCGTTGGCTCAAGTTTCGGATTTGAATAAACACTTATTTAAGTGTTTGACAAGACGCGGCTTAGTGCCTGAAACCAATTGTGAAGGAACCAAATCACATGACATTGCAACAGCGTAGGCTGACAACAATTCCTCAGAAGCTCAGCACGCCGACAACTACGGTTTGTCCCAGACGACTCGATCACCGACGGTGTTCTCGTAGTGATCCTTAGTATCACGCAGAGTGACCGGAGAGGAGTGGATTGAGACCCCCACATCACTTTCGATAGTGGTAGCGGAACGCGCGGTTACGATACCGACCGAGCCTTCCAACGAAAAGAAGTTTTTAATAGTTCTTCTAGAAGAATTTCTCCTTTGAGTAATACGAGCCCAACCAAAACTCCTAGGACAAAGTGATGAATCCACGTGGGGATCAAGGTGAAACTTCTCAACGAGTACGTCTCTACAACGGCAGTGCTTCGGAGACCGAGGAAAGCCGCGAACACGCAGCGCCAGTGACAGAAGCATCTGTTCCTGGTGTGACTGGTGCAACCTTCTTATTGGACGCTAGTGAGCCGCCTGTTACCGACACCATCTACGAATCCGATATCGAAATGGAAACCGGAGGTGGTGGCAACCCACAGGCACCAGACCCGAATCTAGTTCCTCCGAGCACTTTGCAGGGGGGATTTGCTGGGAATGGTGGCCATCTAGCAACAGGCAACAGCGCAGTCTTACAGGCAGCTTTGAATGCTGCAGGGAGTCAAGGAAGGATCCCATACTCGGGACAAGACATCATCCATGCGCAACAACTTGCACAGGCCGGAATCAACCCCAGCGCAGCACTGAATATCACGTCATCAGTGAGCAGCCCACCAGCCGTAGCAGCTAACAGTGCGCTGGCAATCAACCAGCACGGCGTAATGGGTGTGACCAACAACCTACCAGGATTCCGCCCGCAAGTCATCAACAACTCAACAACGAACAACGGGAATTCTAGTGCCCATCATCCACATCAGTATCCACCGGGATCCGCTCAAGCTGTTTCTGAAGCGGACCGCGCGCTGGCAGCCGAATTCCACCGGCGCACTGTGTTGCTCCACTACAGTCAACAGGGAATTGCAGCACAAACCGGTCAGCTTGGGGGAACAGTACAAGGACTAGCTGCGCAAACTGGTCAATTAGGTGGTACCGTCCAAGGGTTACTGAATTCGCAGCAGGGACTAGCAGCCCAGACAGGACAGCTGGGAGGCAGTGTGCACAATCTGACACAAGGACAACAAGATATTGCGGGATCCCTGCAGCGTGCTGATGTCAACTTCCAATACACTGTGAATCAGCTTGAAACACAGAACCGAGCGCTTCAGTCGCAGATGGCACAACAAAGTCAACAACAGCAAGTGCAAATCGGTGAGCTCCAGGCACAGACTCAACGAATGCAGTCTGCAAATGGCAACACGGGTGAAAACAATAACCCGCAGCACTTCACGATCCACAGTGGAAATCAGACTCCGGGCACGGACCAGTACCACACTCCTGGAGATGGAAATGCAGAGCAACAGCGTGATGGAGGTGCAGCTCAGGTACCATCTGCAGGACCAACCGGGAACATCATCAATGGAGCGACATCGCCAAGCATCCATCCGCCATCGATGACACTTGGAGGCGGGAGCCCAACTCTAGTAGAGCAGGTTATGGGCGCACTTACTGCTGGGAGCTCGAGGATTAGCTCCATTGGAGGAATGAACCCAGGAATGCCGACTGGTGTGAACAATGGCTGTACTCCTGGGGGCATGGGCCCAATTGGCGGTGGTGCACACGCGAGAGCCCCAACCGGAGGCAACAGTGGCGCCAACAACCCTGGAGGACCTCCTGGTGCGTTCAACGGAGTCACCGGCGGTGCTGGATCGATGGGCGGAACGCAGTTCTGGAATCCATTTGGCCGCGTTATGAATGGCGGAGCTGGAATGACAGGACATGCCGGAACCATCGCGGGCACCATGACCTCCTCGCTACTAGGAGACCAAGCACCGATTAACAGTGGATACGCTAACCAGGATACGGGCGCGGTCCGCAAAGTACGCTGGAACTTCACACGCATCCAATTCGAGAGCGACTGGATGAGGATGAACGGTGGACAACGACCTGATCCACGTTTCGTGCTCCGGGTCAAGGACCGGTTACCGGATAGGAATCCACCGTCGCGAGATAGCTATCCGAATCTCACTCAATTCCTAGCTGCTCTAGAAAACTACCTGCTTGGAATTGTCCAGAAACCGTTTGCAACTGATCAACTAGCTTTTCTCTTTCCGCATGAAGCTGAGGAAGACGTAGTAGAGGATCTTCTTTTTGACAAACGGGATGACGCGCATCCAAATAAGTGGAAAAGCGTTTTCGCCAAGAAAGTCAAGGAGAAACTCCGAGGAACCAGAATCAACAGGGCGAAACGCAACACACTCAACATGACCAATGTGGTAACACGTCTCTTCGAACAGTACCCTGCTGAATTCATCGTCAACCGAGAAGAAAGGGACAAGTACGAGAACTTCCGCAGGAATGTCGGGGAATCAGACGAAGAGGTCATTAGGAGGTACATCTACGTCTGTCAAGAAGCCAAGATTGACCCCTTTCCACAAGATCTATCCGAGCGCGGACGAGTGTGGGAGGACTTTACTAGGAAAGTCACCCTGCAGGATACGTCAGTCGCTGTCGCGGTCCTCACTCACCCGGTGTACATGCAGACGAATGGCGGAGTCGTGATGTTTGAGCAGATTCTAGAATACCTGCAGTATCAGGAGCAAGCTAGAGTCAACCTCAGGATCAAGAAGGGGGACTCATCAGGAGAACGGGTAGCATTTGTCAAGGACGAAGGCGAGCTACTCTGTGACCCTGTGCAGAATGATGCTGGTGGAACATCTGACGAGTCTGTCTTTGCAGCACGCGCTAACCCCGACTCCAAGTACAAGTACGATGTGAGAAAACCTTCGGGCAAGTGGGGAAACAATAACAAAGGAAACACTGGAGGTGGTAATCGCAGCAGTGGTGGTGGTGGTTTCCGGATCCAACGGAAGAGTAAACTCTACTGTGGAACTTGCGGCCGTGAGGAGAGCCATAGAACAGAGGACTGCATCTTCAAAGGCAAAGTATGCAAGAAGTGCTTCGCGCCAGATCATCTTCAAAAGGACTGCCCAGTACCACCAAAGGATCAGGCGGCTAAGCGAATGCAGGCACTTGAATTTGCAAAGATGAAACCTTCCGAAAAGGTCGCTGCAATCCTCGATGCTCTTGATGACAACCAACAGCGGCAAATCATCCTATGCACGGTAGACCAAGAAGATCACAAGCGAGAATTTGTGTTGGAAGACCGCAGCAGTGGAAACGGCGAACTTGAATGCTATGAACGAGTAGCATACGTCGATGATGCGGAGCCCAACGATTCTAGTAGCGCGCAAGATGAGGGAGCCGCTGACAATCGAGTTGATGAGTCAGCAAGTCAGCCACTACCAGCGGCTGGAGACCAACCAGATGAAAAGATGCTGTGGGTGCATGAAGGAGCTACGATTGTCGCTGCAGCACTTGCTGGGGCGAACTATGCTCATCAACCCGTGGACGGCGGTTCGCTCTGCGTCTCTGACTTTGTCCAAGAGCTGAAGTCCCTTGAAACCTGCGAAGCAAGACTACAGTCCATCAGCAAATCAGTAGAAAAGACGTCCGAAGTAGTGAACTTTACTCGCGAATCTACCGAACTGCAGTGGGATCAAGGGTACTCGGCACGCATTTTTCTCGATCGAAAATCAGCTGATGACAACTTGCGATGGTCAAAGGAAGCAGGGCTAAAAGCGCCGGTCTACGACATGCCAGCAACTGCAACCGGTCTTGACGGTCATACCACCGAGATCATCAGACGACAACTGCAACCTTACGCCATCCGTGGCATTGACGGCAGTCTGTATGCACTTGGCTTCACACGGGCATCTGTCTCGAATGGAGGACCAAATCTTCTTGGGGAAGAATTGCAGACAGATCTGCTGAGTACCACGTGTCGCGATCCTGGGGTGCGGAAGCACGTCCGTGGGTTTGATGGAACCTGGCTTGCAGACTACGAGGGCAAGAATCAAGTCATGCAACGCGCTTTCGAGTTTACCAGCGAGGAGTACAAGATTCTGCGGGAAATCCAGCGCAGGAACGATCCGAAAGACTGGGCTAGGCCAGTGTTCGTCAAGAAGGTGATGATGCCCAAGAACGCGGACCCAGCTGCTAAGAAACGCATCTACGATCTTCGCACGGTCCACGACTATGCGAAAAGCTGTGGCGTTAGTCTCGGGCCGAAGCCGACCAACGCGTACCAGTACGAACTCAACGAACACGGAGTGCCAGTATGCCGCCACGTTCCAGTCGGCCCAGAGGATGCCGACGAACAGAAGGACCATGTGGCAGTCAGTCGGGAGGACGGCTGGGGGCGAATTGCCGATTCCGTGATGGGAGTCGTCGGATCCGTGGCCAGCGCAGCTGTCGAGTATGCATCGTCGCAATCCACGATGAGCGGCGCTGACAGTGTCGACACCGCGCTGGACAGTACCTTTGCAGTACTGTGGGATGGTGAGTTTGCCGAAGAAAACGGATTACCAGCCATTGACAGTGCCAGCTCTGATCATGCCACTTCTAGCTGGACCAAGCAATCCAGGCAAGACCCAAGGAAGTTCAACGACACTAGTGCTCATGCCGACGCTCTTCACTGGACGGTGGGTAAGAACCTCATTGGTCGTGCAGGAGACAATGGAACCTACGGAGTCTACCGCGAGGTTCACTACGGGATCACGCAGCCGCCATCTGTGCCGAACTGGTTGGAAAACCGAATCCGTCTTCGACGAATCACCAACGTTGAGTCGCAAAGACCGGCATGCGGAGATCTCGTCGACGACTGGAAAACCAGACGCGAACCACCAGTGTTCACAATTGAAGGTGGAAAAGCATGTTTCTGCAGCATCGACTACTACTACCACATTGCTTATGAAGCTGAGGTGAACGAGACGAACAAGCGAAATCCGCTGTCAGCAGAGTTAGCCGGTGGTTCGGCTGTGGATGCCAAGCGGGGACGTCTGTCCAGCGAACACCGAGGACACCACACGTTTGAGACCGAAATCGAATTTGCATCAATCGGCCATGGCAAGACAATGCCTAGTGTACGCAGCGCTCCATCTGCCCGTCGAATGCTAAGCATACCCGGGAAGAATGATTCAGTGTCCGTCTACACATGCCGACATCTCGATGATGTTCCCGCAATCATTCGTGACTCAGCCCGAGTGTTCGACCTCGAAGATCTTGGTATTGAGGAACTTCATCTGCTGAGGCCTGACCTCACGAACAAGACTGTGAAAACTGGACTCGACGATGCCACACAAGAAGCTGTAGCTGGAAAAGCAGTTAACGTCATCCTCAAACACCTTCAGAAATCTCCTCGGTGTATCCTGCGATGCGAATCCGGGATAACCTTAGCTGTCGCCCTTGGTGAACGTCTCAAGAAACGCCACAAGAAGACTGTGGCACATTCGAGTCTGGCCAGTGAACTGTTCGTCCACAACTTAACGCTGCTTGTGAACGGGACCGCAATCCGGTACAACGAGGAGGAACGAATTCGCGTCGATTCTGTTCTATCTCCGCTGCGAAATCTCACTAGTGGAGAAAGAAGAAAAGTGCGACATCTTCAAGAGATCCTCTATTACCAGGGCCGCCTCGTTCCGTTCGAGAAATGCGTTGCCATAGCACGTAACCGAATACGTGGCGTCTCTGACACAGAGCTAAAATTGCTAGTTCGACTAAGTCAGAACGAGCAAATTGCCAAGATGCGATACGGCGTTGGGTATAAGCAGAAAGACTTCGCGAGCTTCAGCCAGATGCTAGCGCTTCAAAGCGGTGGAGTTACACTCATTGACACGACGTTTCTAACTGAGTTCGGACACGTGTTTACCATCATTGGTATGAAGTCAGTGGCCGACGGCAGATGTGCTTTCTACGTGTGCGGTACCAAGTTCAAACTCCTCCCTCTGGTAGAAACGGCGAAGGCAAAGGGCAGAATTACCTCAGAAGAAGCTGACCGCTTTCTCCAGGGTATGATCTTCCAGTTTGCTGAAGACTGTGGCCAGAGGCTCCTACAAGGACTTGCCACACCATCGAAGACCGACGTTAGTCGCGCGCTGATGTACGGGATCGACAAGAAGGTCGTGAGGAGACAGATCTACGCGGACCCCGGGAACGAGAACCTTGCACTACGTGATTTCTCGTACTTAGAGAAAACCGGACGAACGTATACGTTTCTACCTTTCGGCGAAAAGGTGTACATTCTAGAGCGACAGTTCCTGGCACTCAAGACCGCCTGGATGAGACTCCGTCGCACGCCGGAATGCGCGCGTATGCCATTGCAAGTACTGGCAAGCGAGATCGCTCAAGCGCTAGCAACGCTTCCGGCAAGCGCTCACCTCGGACGGTCGTACGACAACGTCTTCTGGGGTCTCGAAGAAGGCAAGCCTGAAGGTCTAGTGCATCCTCTTGATGCCGAAGTAGAACTTCTCCATGGAAATTCTGAGGCACATCTCCAACATCTTACCGAGTCGCGCATCAAAGTGTACTCTGAGCTTGCTGCACTCACTACGAATGCAGAATACATCAACAGTACGCGAAAAATAATTGCAAATGCAAGACGTGCTCAGAAGCCGGACCATTTTGAACCAGGCGACAAGGTCACCGTGTACAACCCAGTTACCAGTGTACGTCTTCCGGGCGAAGTAGTCAGTCGGAAGAGACTTATCAAGGGTCAGGAGCCGTATGAGTACCGTGTAGATTTAAAACGAGGCACTACTACTGTACGACACTCACTGCTAGACCATCACTGCAACTTCAACGTCTTCTCGGGTATTCCAGATGACCTACAACCAGTCACCTTCGCAGATTATCAACCTGCGGGTAACCTCTTTGATGTCGAAACACGCTGGCGCGCGCTCCATGAATCTGACGAAAATAAACAACTCCGTGTGCCTACCTATACAGATGATAATAAAAACTTCTTCAATCTCAAGACCCCCGGGGAGGGGACACAGGCATCTTCGAAAGCAGTGCTGAGAAATCGGATGTCCGCCAGGTCTCGAAAGATCCTCGATGTAGTTGAAGAAGAGGAGGCATCATCAGACCTCGAATTATCGGAAGATGAAGAAGAAGAAGATGTCGAAGAGCAAAAAGAACCAGCAGTGCAAGAGGAACAGGCAGAAGCTGAATCGACATTCTTTGTGCAAGACATCTCCGAAGAGGTTGAGGTGGAGTGGATCTGTTGTGGAAGTGAGAAGCTTGCCGCGGTAGAACTCGAAGGAGCAGATCAAGACGCGATAGTTGAGGAAGACCGGAACAATACCACTAAAGCGAATTGCATTGCACCTGCTGGCGCGGACTGGGCTGAGTACGACCCTGAGGGAGCCAAGGCCGAGGAATGGAAAACCTATCTGTCGTACCCAAAACGAGAATCCAGGCGCGCGGTGTGGAAATGGCTAGAGCGATGTGATGCTGGAATGCAAAAGGAAGGTGGTGTTGGTTTCGAGCTGCTGCGGAAAACACTTCTTGACGGTGCAGCTGTGAAGATTTCACCAGTAAGCATTGAGGTGGCCAAGAACTGGACCAAACCGGATCAGCGCACACCACTCGGCAAACCAGATCTCCAACGCGAAGTTCTTGTTGTGTGGAACCAGAACAAAACGCGGATCGTGCAGAACGAGGGACAGTATAATTCCGCTGGGAAAGGATGCCTAATTCGCATCGTGCTGTGGACTCTCGAAGATGGCAGATCATACCCGGACCTCGGATTGCTATCAATCCACGATCCAGAGGTGAGCCGCCATCCAGAAGTAGTCCAGCGCCTTCTTGGAGCAGGAAAATATGCGGACTCGGATCACACGTTCGTCTACTCTGCCGCTGGTCTGAATGCGTCAAAACTCTACACCAAAGCGTTCAGCAAGGAGCTTGGAAGCATGATTGACGAAGGTCTGATCGAGAAGTACGTCGAAGGCATGTCGCACAGTACTGAACGAGTCTTACCATCGCGGGGCCTTGCAGACCTCAAGATGCAGACGGCATGCCATTTCAAAGTGGCTATTCGACTTGCGCCAGGAGGACACATGTCCACGGTGTCAGCATCAGCTGAGTCGCCTACCATGTCTGACGTCGAGTTCAGACTCCTGATTTCGGGCTTGCGCAAGGTTCGAGGTAAACGGGTGTTGAGGAGCGGAGACGTCCCTCGTGCGTTCCTAAAGAACCACAGGTTTAAAGCAGACAGACGTCCGCGCTTTAAATTTCCGGCCAACGTCTTCCACAACGCAACACTGCAGGAACTCAAAGCACGGTTCGGAATCGATCGGGATACCATCTTCGTGATGAACATCAGTGTGTACGGGCTAAAAGAGGCCGCCCTCTTATGGTACAGAACGTTGTCGCAGTTCCTCACTAGCATCGGGTTCCACTGCTCTGCCGAAAGTCCGTGTGTTTTCGTGGACCGCCATGGAAATAAGGTTGGACTGCACGTTGATGATCTGGTGTATGCCGGTGATGAGGTAGGTTTCTCAGGCCTATCCAAAGCACTTGAAGCGAGGTTCAACCTAACCAGCTGGGAGGATGCAAAAACCGGCTTCGTCTACACTGGTCAACATGTCAAGATGAACCAGGAAGAAAACAAGGTGGACGTAGACATGAAGCAGAAAATCGAGGAACTCCAGCTGCATGTGATGCCGAGTGGTTTTGAGAAATCCAACAACTCTGCTACAGCAAGCACCTCATGTCTGACCGATAAGCAGATCACCGACCTGAAGGCGAAGCGCGGAAGCTTGCTCTACATCGGAAAATGTCATCCAGAAGCGAACTTCCCTACACGTGCTTTAGCTCTCGGCGCAGACGAACGTAAGGACGCTCGTTGGTTCCAAGGACAGAATGCCGTGATCAGTCGACTGAAGAAAAATAGTCACGGCTACACCATTGATCTGTCCTACTCCGAAGAAATCGTCATCGCGTTCCCCGATGCTTCTTTCCAACATCCTCAAGTCGTAGAGTCGGACGGGAATGTGCAAACGCTCGAAAGCGAGCAAGTGCGCAAGATCTTCGAAGAGGAACCATCATCCATTCTAGTTGGGTGTACTGCTGAAGAAGTGCTCTCCGTACTTGGTGCCAACAGCACCACACGCAAGCGAGAAGAGCGACGACTGAGAAACGCAGCGGTCAACATCCCATCTAACACAACCGATGATACGCAGAAGATGTTACTACGTCTATTTCCTGTTCTCGGCTACGTCATCATTTCGGTGTCTGCAGACGACTGGAAGGAGTACGAGAAAAGGCAGACACAACTGAAACGCGTCGCTACGCTGCAGGAATACAACCAGCTCGAGACTTGCGACATTCGTTGCAGCTACCTCGCGTCTGACACGCTGTTCCCTGGCACCGTGAGCACTTCCAGCTATGAAGCAGAACTGCGTGCTTTTGCGGAAACGTTCCCTACGCTGGAAACGATTCTGCTGAAATTGCAGAAATGGGGAGTGCTGACCGAGGGAGCCGTTCTCTCAGATTCGAAATCAGCAATCATGCGTCTCGTGTCTAAAGCCGGCATCGGTATGAGTGACGCCAGCGTGTACAAACTGCTGGCGCGCCTCAAGGCGTGGTACGCAGGAACCACGTCGGAAGCTGGCCACATCACTGACAAAAGCAATCCCGGAGATTGTTGCACCAAAGTGGCATCAGGCGCGAAATATGATCAGTTCATCGGTCTACTGCGTGGTCTCCTGGTGTTACCACTGGGACAAGCATATTTGAAGCGACGAAGCTACACGTGGGAAAGACCACTCCGTCCTACCTGTGAAGAAATCTGAGATCAGTGAAAGAATGAAAATGAAAGTAATAAAGAAAATCAACAATCGTGTATTTTTCAAAGATCAGTCATAAGAATTCCATGTAAAAGTAGAACAAAATAAAGATCATGTTTAGAAGAAAGTGAAAAGAAAAGAGAAATGACGGGAACAAGATGAGATCAATCAGTAGTAGCCATAAGTACCGGAACAAGTTCAATTTTGCAACGTGAAAGTAGTAGTAAAAGTAATTTTGCATGAGCATCATAAAATAGTACTAGAACAAGTCAGTTAAGCGTAAGAGTCCTGAGGTAAGACTAGGAATAACGAACAACATACTGGAAATAAGAAGTTGAAGCTCAAAGGAAAGTGTGATAAACATATTTAAAAAGGAAAAAGATAGAACTATAACTTCAGAATAACTAAAGGTGGGAAGTTGTTCAGGATGAGTCAGGGAGAACAAGAACCAGCCGTGGTCTCGTCCACACAGGGAGATGAAGAAACGGAAAGTACTCTTAGTTCGGTGGATGCCTTTTTAGATGCAGACTCGGTGCTAGAAGAGAATTGGGATCCGGAAGAAGTGGAATCCTATGTCATTCGCGGCGCGGAAGAAATGCATCTTCTTCTCAAGAATGGACAAGAGCTAGTTCATGAAGGAAGCTATTCACCGACTTGGGATAGTACTTCTCGTTGGATTGATGCCGACACTTTGTACGTCTACTTCTGCGAAAAGAATAAGGTGGATTTCAACTCGCCGGAAGAAACAGATGAAATGTTCAATCGTATCATCATGCGTCTCTACCGTTCCAAGGCCTGGAAGATCTTTTGGCGTCGTGGTGGGGAAACTTCGTCGAAGGATATTGTTCACTCATATCGTCCGTGGATTCCTACTTACGTTGCGGTGGCAAAATTGTGGGAAGAAGATGGCCACGCGAAAGACATGGCCATGCCTGCCTATCGCCAGGATCTTCCAACTCTTCTTGATTTGACTGGAAGCGAAAACAAAGAAAAGAACTACTAGTGGGGTTAGGAGTTAAGAAGGGTGTTGATAAAAACAAATGCTAGGAGGAACGAAGAATGTGCAATCAACATAGATGTCCATAGTCAGAACAGAAAAATTTCATATCTAAATTTCTGGTAGTGCGATGAAGGTTTGAGTACTACTAATATGCTCTGAAGGGTCTCGGACTCTCAAAAGGGCAACGCCTGGGTGACTAGGTGATTTCTTTAGAAGCAAGATCGCAAGGGCAGTCGCTGGCTCTTTCGAATATGATTCTAGGTAAGTGATATGCTTATTAGTTTTTTTTGGTGGGACATGTCTTCTAGTGACAAGCCAATATTCATAGCTACACAATGATCACTAGTGATGCATTCGATGGACTCTTTCTTGTCCAGACCGAACCACTTATAGGATTTGTTCTGTTAATGCAATAGTTGGGGAGGTGACGGAGGAATGTCACGACCACCGTAAATTTTCAGCGGTCGGGTTGCTGGCGCCGTCAAGAGAAGGTCAGTAAAAGGGAGAAAAAACATAGCCATAGCAACGTGTTAATAAAGAGAAGTGGGTAGATAAAATAATGTCTAGTCACTCTCTTTGTCGTCTTGCATCTACTTCACTTTTCCAACCCCCGGGGCACTGTGGAATACGACAATGTATTCTATGGCGTTCGTGGTGAGTGAAGTGAAAGTAGAAGCAACAAGCCTCACTGGCGCGACGAGAGAAGTGAGAGCGAGAGTTAAAATGTTTTTTCAAGCTAAGGGTTTGTTTTCGTAAACAGAAAAAGGAAGAAAAATCCTTTGGGAAGAAAGTCAGACTAACTGTCGTTCTAAGTAAACTCTTCTTGAGGAAGTCGTTGTTTTCGTGTTGGCTTTTTGTTTCATTCGGTCGAAAGTCGGGAACGTTTTCTTTCGAAATATGTAACGGAGATAAGAGTAGAAGTTGGAGTAACATAAATGGTTTAGATAGTGAACATCAATCATGATTTCATCTATTAAATAAAACACGTTTGCTCCGACTTTAATGCTTGTCACCTTTTCCCTTACCTATTTCGTTTTGTTTCACTTGTTGATAAATGTCATTCTGATAATCATTGCATTGGTTCATCACTTGCGCTCAACCCACTATTTCGTCAACGTTGCGTGGATGCATCGTTGGCTCAAGTTTCGGATTTGAATAAACACTTATTTAAGTGTTTGACAAGACGCGGCTTAGTGCCTGAAACCAATTGTGAAGGAACCAAATCACATGACATTGCAACAGCGTAGGCTGACAACAATTCCTCAGAAGCTCAGCACGCCGACAACTACGGTTTGTCCCAGACGACTCGATCACCGACGGTGTTCTCGTAGTGATCCTTAGTATCACGCAGAGTGACCGGAGAGGAGTGGATTGAGACCCCCACATCGCTTTCGATAAAATCTAGAAAAAGAGGATCTGACTCCGAATAATTGTTTTTACTTGTGACTCGGATGATCTTACTAGGCTGCCGAAAAAGGTATCCATGATCTTTTTGCTGAGTATGCACACATATTGGTCACATTACCCCTATGCGTGTTCCTCTAAAAACTTTCTTCTTGTTTTTCATCCCTTGGTGTGTCTTTTTTAAAAAAGGAGAATAAATGCGACCGTTCCAAAATGAAAAACAGCTATGCAGGCAGATAAGACAGGATACCAGAAGCATTAGCGCGTTAAGCGTACTCGGTTTAAAACTAATTTGAGATTGTGTTCAGCATGATTTTCATATAAGATCCAAAGTACCTTTTCCGATAAGAATAAAAATCGAGACCCTTGGTCTAAAACTGATTACTCTCATTTCTACTATTCCAGCACTCATCTGCTTTTTTACCTGATGAGTATTGTGGAAGGAATCTCTCGACTTTTTGAATGTTCCTCTGCAATCACGACCCTTTCTAGGTGTGCAGTCACCCTCGATGGAAAGAGCAATTTGCACTCGTAGAAAGCGTCGGGCAGTTGTACGATGGGTGCAACATCAAGCTCATTGTGCCCAAGCGACGTCTCTACGTTTATGGCCAAGGCATCAACTAGAACGACTTTAGAGAACAATCCAGAAAAACAGACTACTACTATTGTTGAGTCGCACACGACCTTTTTCATGTTCACGTACAGTGCAAGCGTCATGAATGTACTTACTGCCACCCTCTAACCGTCCCTTCCAGAATCCGAAAAAGGTAATGCAGCAGCCTGGAAACCAGTGGTGTGGTATCCCGGAGCGACCGTAGAGGACATCGAGCGTGCGATATTACAGACTGTGCTAGGCAGTGGCGTCAACACTGCGCAGAAAACGTTGACGCTGTTTGCGGCAGAGTCGGGAATTGTATCTGGGTCGGCGTCTGGCGGCAAGGAGGAAGACCAGGTCTTAGCGCTCTCCACGAGTCTACCACAGGATGTGAAAGTATATGCCAGAGTCGCAGGAGGACTCGGATCGCCTAGTGCACCTACAACATACGCACCACCATCACGCGGTAGGGAAGCATCACCACCGGTTGCAACAGCACAAAGCATTATGCCAAGAGTTCTTGGGCTTTTCTGGGGCGAATAAGCAGGTTTGTAAGTAAGTAAATACACAATTTAATATTACAACAGCTTGTGATCTACTCAACAAAAACAAGGATGATGTTGCGATTATGAATTCTCGATTGATCACTCTGTCTCCTAGTTCTAAGATATTGTTAAGTCTAAATCCTCTAACCCCTTCCCACCACCAGTGGCCAATCCAGTTAGCAATCCAGTGACTTCTAGTAGCAATGCAGGTGCTACTAGCAATCTGCAGGAAGGTGGCTCGAGAGCCAGTACAGCAGTACGTGCTTCTAGTCGTGTCTCACGGATAGAAACGCTGAAGGAAGGGTCAGCGCCCCTAAGAAATTCCGCACCCGATGAGCACTGCGTTCATATTCTGCAGGGGCATACAGGATTTGTGCTGTGTTTGAGTACTTTAAAACAATTTCTGTTTCTTAATGCTCCTCATTGAAATTATCTCATCAACGAACACACGCGGTCCTACCAAAAGGAACAAGTACTGATTTCTTTCAGTGATTAGCCTCATCAAACGACCACCCACAATATCCAGGTATTGTCGGTGATGTGTTGTTTACCGGCTCACAAGATGGCACTGTGATGATCTGGGACCTAAACAATTTGCAGTATATCGGCACCTTACCGGGACACAAGAGCTTTGTTCGTTGTTTGGATGCGCATTATTATGATGGGACGAAATCTACATCTACAACTTCTATTGTTCTGAGTCTTCTGGTGCTGCTTATCTTTATCATAATTGAGCGACTAGAAGTACTCGTCAAGTAACGCTGGCGGTCTCGGGGCCTAGAGACATTCAATATTGGAACGCATAGGATAAGCCGAAGATGAGGCGCCAATAGAGTGTCGTAATATGGTCTTAGGGTGATCATACCTTGTGTGTGTGTGTGTGGTTGTTGGGTGCTTGCTCCATATCCACCAGATTCATCACAGGGAGATATGTAAGTAGTAGTTTGCCCGCTCTAACCCATCACCAAAAAGCGGCTGGTTTCCGGTTCCAAGGACAAGACGTTGAAAGTGTGGTCTCTAGAGACTTTCACCTGCGTGAAGACGCTCACCGGTCACACCGACGAAGTATATAGCGTCAAGGTGCTGGACGCGATATTCATTTCCGGCAGCGAGGACAAGTACTACTTTTTTTGTGTTGAGACACACGCAAGTCAGACAACGGTTGTGTATGCACGAACAATACTCCTTCCAGGAAGGAATGTGATGTCTAATCGCATTTCTCAATTTACTGTATCTATTCGTATTGACGACACTTGCGTGACACAGTCCCATCGCATCATTTCACCAAGGACCATGCGAGTATGGGACCTCAAAACGCTGGAGGCTTTACTAGTTGTGGAGCAGGCGCATGGAGCAGCCATTTTCGCTATGCAATCTTTGACCCCATCTGTGCTTATGACAGGTGGAAGGGATCGTGTGGTATTCACTCACTTGTTTGGTTGACTCACTTGTTTGGTTGACTCACTTGTTTGGTTGACTCACTTGTTTGGTTGACTCACTTGTTTGGTTGACTTGTTTGATAGTCTATCATTCGGTCTTCTTGCTCTTTTTTTTAGAAGGTACAATTAGGCTGAAGGGGCCTCAATACCATTTGACAGGATGGACAATGGGGTAGCATGGCATGAAATGGTGGTTGACAGGATTGTCTGGTCGTTCTGATTAGGGTGTTTTGATTATACTTGCCAGTACAACAAATGAGAGAGGAAAATCGCTTATCGATGATCTTCCAGATAAAATTGTGGAACACAGTGGATCGATGGTCGTTGCTGAAGACACTTTTGCCACCCCACTACGACGGCGTGCAAGCATTAGCGGTTAGTGGGAAACGGGGAAAGTTCTATTCCGTGTCTCGAGACCGAAGTATCAATTAAGGCACTACATTGTTACAAAGTGTTTACCACTGTCCAATGAAAGCGCAAGAATCGTTGTACATTGAAGTTTTACTCGAAATTTTAGAAGGGGACAGGAACGTCGTTATGACTGATGATTTTACTGTGGCGTAGCATCAAACTCTAATCTTCGGAGTGGGATTTTTTCAATCCGACTACGAGAGCACGAGCAAGTGGCGTAGGGACACAGGAGGCTGCAGATGCCTTAATTGTCGAGAACAAGGCGCAGCAACTCCATGTTCATGGAGATTGGATAACCAGTTGCTGCCTAGACCCTAGTGAGGACATGCTCATCACTGGCGGCAAAGACTGCTGCGTCAAACTGTGGGAGTGCGTGCCTTCGCTAGCTTGCCTAGATTGCTATACAGGGCACAAGGGACCAGTCACCGCACTTGCCTGCATGAAGAACTATCTGTTTTTATGGTTAGTAGAAAAAGTGCTGGAGTCTGAGGAGAGTCTCCGAGAATAAATGGGAGAAGTGCAAGGGCTGTTTCGACGGCACATCACGCTCCCTACTCAGAAAACACAGCAGAAGTCGAGACTCATAGCGTTGCTTCATCGTTCAACATCTATAAGATTTCTCAACTATATCTCATACAACCTCGCTTTTGTACTGGTTTTGTTTACCGGAACCACCTCTAACCTTTTCGGCAAGTAACGATCGCACTGTCCGCGTGTGGAAGATGCCGCAGGCGGGGGATGAGGATTAGGCCAGTCTGTTGTTGTCAACTCCCTTTTTTTTGGCACGAACGAAAAAATAAACACTCAGGGTCTAATTTCAAGGCGGTACTTCGTTTTTACAAACAATTCAACTTCTCGAACTATTTTCTCATATACTCAATCAATCAGAGACTAAAACTGTCATCAGATTTTTAGCTAATGCCAAAACTGTTTTCACTTTCGTACGCTGATCATGAAGTAAGTTGAACTTCAGTCCTTTAGTGATGTAGTTGGTTCTATATATCCATCGAAAAAAGTTCTATGCCGACTACAGCCTTCATGAATCCTTATACCAGCTCCAGGTCGTCCTGGTCCTTGATGATGCTGCGCAGATATCCAGGCAAAATGGCAAGTACATTATAATTCACAATGATTCCTTCATCTGTTTCTGCTGCAGAAATCAACGAAACGAACAACTCCTTAATGAAAATTTGACATCCAAGTTCAACAAGACAGCAAGAAATAGTCCATCAAATGATGAAGGAGGGTGATTTCATTCGATCATCGATGGTGGAGAATTCGACACCATGCATGGTGCTGCACTAGGAAGGACATTCCAAGTGGGTTCTGAGCAACTTTTCGAAAAAGAAGCAAGCAATTGCTGTGCTGGTCGTGTTCAAGAGTTACATCTGATTGTCCGTCCTATAGATTCCTAGAATTGCAGAGACAAGTGTCACGTTGATATTTTTCAGAAGATAACGCAGGCGTGGCATCAAAGTATGTAGAAAGTTCAACAATGCAGTGCTGGAGGAACGAGTCGGATGAAGCCAAATTTGATGATGAGTCGTTAACTTTTGTGGTGGATAATATTGAAACCTGCTTTGGGTTGCATTTTGGCCTAAAATTGTCTTTCGGAGTTGCATGATTGACTTGGAAACTCAGCTGCGAGAAAATAGCTTTATTGGATGCATTTTTGATGAAGGCAGCCCCAGCGCCTGATAGCAAGCAGAGAACTGAAGGCTTCTGATTATCCGTGGCGCCACTATTCAGCGTGAGAACGGGCGCTGATCTTCGGGAGATAATCATGGTGGTCTCGAAGGAGCAAGCGCTGGCAGAAGACGAGGAGCCACGCTTGTACACGAATCGGCTGCGAGGGCAGACAGTGTCGGTGCCAGATGGTGACGCTGTGCTCGATGTGACTTTCGGGCACCCGCGGTGTCAAGTCACAGATAGTGGCGTGAATGACCCAGAGTTGAGTTTGTCCCTGTCCGACCTTCGTCCCCGCGGTGACGGCGTAGAGTTGATGAATATTCTAGTAAGCAGCTGGACCGGCCCCGATAGTCTTGAGTTACTGCAGGCAATCGGAGCCCATGACGGACAGATGATGTGCGTGCCGACGACTCTGCTTTACGGGTAGTTTATCACTAGTATCCCATATGGACTACACTGGGCGAAGGGCTGCCTGATCTGAAGGGGAAGAAGAAGGGGAAAGAGGGCCGCCAGATTGTTGCGAGTTTATTTGTGAACCGAAAGAATACGATCGAAATCCAAAGGGCCAAGAAGTGGGGAAGTTGGTGGCGTTGGAGAAATCTAGCGGCGTCGAAGGTCATGCGCTGAGATCCGTCCCGACCATTTTGCGAGTTTTGTGATGCTCTTCACGTTTCTGGGAATGTAAGCACGCCAAGGCAGAACGGCCAAGAAAGTGCGGGCAAGATGGTGGGCAACGTCGTGGCCACACTCATACCGCGGAAGTCCTCCGCCTTGTAGGCCTTGGGTCAACCGATGCAATGCGTGCAATAAGTCCCGCGCTTTGTGCTCCCTCTGGTGTAACTGACAAAGCAAGTAACAACGAGAGCCGGCCGCTGCGCTTGTTCAGCCAAACAGTCCAGGGGATCAATCAGAGACGAGCAAACCAGCGCGGCCCCCGGTTTTCCCGTTTGGTTCCTTTCGTCTCTTATATTTCTATACAGCTCCCTTAATTTTTACACAGATCGGCCAGGGGTATGAAGAAGCTGCCCCTAATTGTTTCTGACACCACCAACATCGGAAGCAGATGCAGACTTGATACAGTCGTTGACTGATGAGGATTTTCGGAAGTTACTTCGCGTCTTCTATCCTGGAGTAGACCACTCGCACACGGAAGAGGAAGGCGACGTAGATGAGTTCTTAAGACATTGTAGCCAAGGAAAAGCATCCATCTTGGAACGCAGCGTCATCTTTTTGGGGCTGCTCCGTGTACTACGGGAAGACAAGAGCAGCTTCAGAAAGAATTTTGAACTTTGACTATAAAGATGGGTATCTATAATTTGATTTCTGAACAACTTTGAGGACTTCTAAAAAATGTTGAAGCAGAGATCGAAGCAGGTCGACGTCCAGAGCCAGTGTGGAGCGCGCGGCGCCGATGGGATTTTACAGGACATCACACGAAGATTTTGGCTTTCCACTACTACATGACACCGGAAAAGCATGGAAACAGCACAGTCCCAACCGAATGGGTGCGTCTTGTTATCACCTCCGCCAACTTTAACACCGAGCACTGGCACTACTCGAGCGAAAATGTGTGGGTGCGCGACATCCCGCTTGCAACTGCACCGAGCTTACGCAATACGCTATGCCACAGCTTTGGGAGCTCGTTCGCGCGTCTCTTCGTGGACCTCCTTCCCCAAGCGTCGTTCGCTTCTGGTCGTCGAGTCGTAGCTGAGGACTGGCTGGAGATTTTCTTTCGTGCTAGGTGGTCTGCTGGAGTAGCGGAAAACGAAAGATGCGTTGTGAGTCTCCCAGGCTTTTTTCCGTCTGAGCTCCACTCGTCGCACTCTGTGGAGAGCCTACTTGTTGGCCTGACAGAAGAGCACATGGTCGTGGAGAAAGACATCAGTGCTGAGATTATTTCTGTTGAGAAGCTTCAAGAGGAGTCTTCAAAGACCTTTCGGCACCGTAAAAAGCAATATACACTGGTACTGGGTTTTGAGGAGAGGAAGCTCTCTATTCTTAAGGACGTGCTCGCGCTGGCCGAAGTGAACGAGGCACCCTGCGTTGTCGATTATCCGCGTTTAACACTGAGGCGCAGTGCTGCTGGCTCTGACGTGCCCACCTTCATTGAATGTGAGCTGAAAATAAGAGAACTCGATGAAGACCACGATTTCGACGTTCAGGTTGCTGCGCGCGTAGCGTCCCTTATACGTATACCTCGAGGGCGCGAATGCGTGCAATCCCGGAGTGACCTGCCTCCTGTCATGGTTGTCACTGGCAGCGTTCAAACGCGCGCATATACGAAGTGGAGCTGTCTCGATTGCAAGGAAGAGCCGGTGATCCTGGTCACCGATCACCTGCATGGAGACCCTGCTCATTGGAAGGCATCGCAGTTCGCAACTCATGTAAATGTTAAGGCTACCGCAGAAGCATCCTCAGCATCACCCTTGGCGCTTTTTCAAGGGGAAAAAGAAGCCAAGGATGTTCTCAGGGACGGTAGCTCTAAGAATGATATCGACTTTGCTCGCTTTGCGCCGAATGAGCGGCTATACGAACGCCATCTCGTTCGAGGTCATCAAAAGATACTGTTTCAGGGAAGTGCAGGCCGTGGTGGCTGGCTCTACGCTGGGTCTCACAATTACACCGAATTTGCATGGGGTTGGGAGAGCCTATATTCTACCAAGGTGAGCCAAACGCATCTGCCTGACATGATCACAAAGTCGATAACTACAAGCACTACGTGTGACTATGACAGCGCAGCAGAACTTGACGACGCGACTGGCCATGATAGTAAAAACAACAAAATATTAGAACAACAACAACAACAACAAGAGGAACAGCAAGAAGAAGATCATGGTTATTGGCAACGCGAGATCTGGACGAACATTGACACTCGTGAAATCGGTGTGATCACCGACTTCTTACCAAACGAAGATGTAGCACCTTTCGATCCGCTATACTTTCGCTCAGAGTGGAACCAGAGACACGGGAATGCCACACGCAGTCTGGCGTCGATTGCACGCGTCTGCAGCCCTCCGGAACGCTTTTCTACTACTGCTGTCACAGAACTGAAGGACAAAGTAGACGCGTGCAAAATGCGAATGTTTCTGAGTCCCCAAATGCGTGCCGTTGCCGGGAGACTACGCTATCGTGATGTGCGCAAGTTCCTTCCATTTGAGCCCAAAATCGTTGAGCCCTTGGAGCTGAAGGACTAGTTCCTATCTACAAAACGGAAAGAACGTCGGCTCCCCAAGATAAAGTCGTGAACCGTTTTCATGGTAGTCTTTAACGACTGTTGTAACAACACGACCCCCAACCCCATTCCATTATCCTTTTGAACCTGCACCAAAAGACACCTTGCTACACATGTATTTCAATTTTTCTCTTGTTGGTCGGTTGAACAAAAGCAAGAGAGCAGCAAATTGATTCAATGCAGATCGGCGATCCGATATCCACTTATTTACCTTCAACAAGTGAGGATTTTTCTTCTGTGCAACAATGCGTCTTCGGTTTGGTGTTTCTATTTGGCGAATCTTCAGGCGTGGCCACTTTCACAAGAAATACAGACATCAATTTTCCAAGAATCCTAAACTTAAGTACCCTGAAATTTGGTGGTGAAAGCTGGCTGCAACGGCCGTCGTAAATGCTTTCTTGTCCTGTAGGGCCAACTGTATCTATAGTCACATCTTCACTCTGTTGCAGCGTCTTCGCAACTAATCTTCTATTTACAGGTATAATTTCATTGTGCCGATTGACTCACCTCGTTTTCCTCCATCTCTCCCCCTCACCCGTTTATTTCTGAAGTCTTAGAAGAAAATGAAGACGATCACTCCTTGCTGCAGTAGAGCGATGAGGCGAGATATCGGAAGCGTATCGTGCCTGAGAAAAGTGTGCAGTATTTTTGGAGTTCTTTTCGCATTTGCCTCCACCTGTGCATTGGCCATGAACGAGAGCACCAGTTCTACTAGCAAGATCGAATGCTATACGAGTTCGAGTTCGAAGATTAGTAGTCGTGCCCCATTTCTACGAGAAGGCGTGGTGATTAGTACCCCATTTCTACGAGAAGGCGTGGCGATTCAAGACCACGACACCAGGTGCAGTGCGGCATCCTCATCGTCATCCAGCATCATTTTACCGAGAAGCGACCGCAGCCGCAGTCGGACGACTCCTCCTACTCTCCACATGATCAGGAGCACGTCTCCACATGATCAGGAAACAAAAGATGAAGGCGCAGAAGCAGATGATCATGGAACAAAAGACCCTGGCGTTGACGATAGAGCGAAAGAGGCTGGTGATCCCGCCACAGCTGAACCGCGTCATGATAGTAAAACGACAGGCAGTGCAGCTCATGATCTGGCACAACTTCTTAAGGGTAGGTCAAAGGTGCTTTTCTTACCGCTTTTTATGCCTCTCTCCCTTAGGATGGGAAAGGCATAACAAGCGGGGTAAGCGAGCACCAAAAACCTACCTCTAAACTTCAGCGTCAAAGTGGCATTAGAACATCAACTGTTCAAGATGAATGTTCCGCATGTCAAGATGGCGGCGCCGATTCTGACGTGGACAGCGACAATGCGACCACGTCGGTTTTTGGCCGTGCATTGAGTCAAGACTTAGACGGTGTGGAAGGTATTCATCATGTTGAGAATAAAATTGAAAATCGAGGAGTCCAACCAGAGATGGATATTGACAATATAGTTCAACATGAACGACTAGATGAAGAAGAAGAAAAATGGGCCATCGCTCTCGTATCGAATGACGACTATGCGCTCGCTAGAGGAGAGGAAGTTCCAGCGCGTTATCGCGACAACGAGGCGGTCGTTACCGCTGCGGTGTCGCGAAACGGTATCCAGCTAACGTGCGCTTCTGACCGACTAAAGCAGAATAAGGCTGTAGTCTTGGCCGCTGTAAGGTTATGGTCAGGAGCTTTTAATATTCATCCTTGTACAACTTGCTTGCTTAATATTCATGCTTGTATTTTTCTCTGTATTCCCCATCCTTCTCAGCGTTTTGGTTGTACTACCCTTTTGGTCGGTATTATTCTTATGAATTAGTACGATGGTCATCTATATACGTGCCGAAATCAATGATGAATAAAAGATGTCTCTAATAAGGAACAACGGATACGCTCTTCTTTGCGCAATGAGTGTCGAAGAGGCGGAAAGGGAACTTCACGAAGCGCAAGGCACAACACCACCTTCTTCAGAAGCGGTACCTCCCAACTACAGCTCTTCGTCGTCCTCTCCAACATCCCTCTCAACATCCTCTTCGTCGTCCTCAACTTCTGCCAGTTCAAATCAGAGGTCGTGGAAGAATATGCGGGATGATTTCGACGTGGTATTGGCAGCCGTGACACAGAATGGCATGACCTTTCGTTATGCTTCACAGAGACTAAAGAATGACCCTAGGATCGTGACAGCAGCTGTCCTACAGCAACCCTATGCTATGCGTTACGCCTCTGTCGAAATGAGGGCGAACCGCTCAGTGGCTTTTGCAGCCCTCGATGGAGTGGACACCAATTAAGGCTCAAAGTAGAAGCGATTCGACATCTCCAATTTTTGTGTCTCTGTAATTTTCTTCGTTTTCTTCTTATAATATTACAGGATTCATTGGCTGAAGCAATCGTAGAGACGAACAAAAAATTTTGGAAGACCTGATTCTGAACTCGCTTTGAGCTCCTCTTCTAAAATCGTGATCTTGCCCTGCTGTTGGAGAATTTGAGTCCCGAGCTGCGAGACGACGAAGAACTCGTTCTATTAAGTAGAGTTACCTCCGTTTCTCCATTTTGATCACCAATTCTTCATCCTCAACCTAGAAGAACCGTATCATAAGGGTCCGTATCATCATCACTCCTGGAAGAACCGTACAAACACGATGGTAAGAAATCTCGTCCATATTGTTCTTGTAGTTGAGGAATATTACTCTGGTCTGTCTTTTTTCTAGTTAGGTCGGCTCCACCACAAATATTACCCTGATTATATAAATTTTTAATTGTATTTTTGCAGTAGGGAAGATGATTAACTACAACAAATAGGGGGACTATCTAGGGAAGTTTCTGATATTCGCAATTTTTTTTTAGTTAAGTAGTCTAGTTTCTGGTAACATGATAGACCTTATCCTTTTCTAGTTTCTTAAATTAAGATCCACCACTAATATCAGCAATAGTTGAACGCAGTGGCCGACTCCTTTGGGCGGCGAGCCCAAGACTGCGAGGAAACGAGAGAGTAGCGCGTGCTGCCATCCTGAACTATCCTGAAGCAATTGCCTTCGTCTCGAGGACCACTCCTAACTTTAAGGGAGGCTTTTAGCAGCGTTATAGATTTTATTTTGTACTTGTTGTTTAGAGAAGATTGAATTTCAATTTTTTTAGCTGCGTCTCTACTCGGGTCGCAATGGAATCAGGCACCTTAGGTTGTCTTGTAGTGCATCTTGTTTGGGGCGATGGTCTTCCATCGAAATCAAGTCTATAAAAAGGCCTTCCAGACTTGGGATGTAGGATTGATGCGCTCGTCTGCTGGTACCGCAGCTACATCGCATATCCAATGATATCCTTTGTGGACGACGCAAAGGAGTCTAATATCCACTTTTCATTGATATCATGGCAGCACAATCACAAAATAGACGTCACGTAGTACTACCTCTAATAATCACAGCGGCTTGGCGTGGCTTGCCGTGCAACAGGATCTGCAAAGGCAAGGCGGACTAGCATATTCGCTGGAGCGCACAATGTTGCCGGCCTACATTATGACCTCATATAGGATAAGTATCGGTGCCCTTACCTACTAGCAGCAACTACATGATGACCTCTCCTCTCAACTATAATTATGATAAGCAAAGTACTTTTGAACACTCACTCCATGGTTAGATTTTTTTTTTACCTTAGAAAGAAAAGAATAACTAGGCATACAAAAAAAAGAAGCACAACACAACACAAAAAGTGTTGCGATCAAATGACTCACGACAGCGGTACAGTTCTAATCCGAACGCGGCAAGACGGCACATGCAAGCGGAGCATTTTGGAGGGGCCTGAAGCTAAAGAACGAAGCGGACGAAGTGTCAATAATCTTCAATAAAGTTGGAGTGGACGAACTCTTGCTGACAGCATCATCTATGGAGTCTCATGTTTGAAAAATAATGTGCAGGAACTCATGTTTGAAAAATAACGGAAAAAGAGGTTCCATGACATGACAATCTTGCTGGAATGTTGACATCAATCCCGTACCTAAATTCAAGTTGCTCCAGGTGCCGGGGAACCTCGATGTGCAGGATTCACAACCTAACGTAACCACATGCAAGCGGAGCATTTTGGAGGGGCCTGAAGCTAAAGAACGAAGCGGACGACCTATCAATAAACTTTCGATCAAGTAGGTAGTTTAGAGCCACAAATTAGGGAGTACTTGTATCTTCATGACTATGACTTTTCGTCTTCGCACGGTCCGTCTAGTCGTATCGTGCATTCATGTGTAGTAGTCATGTGCATTTTCTCGCCATCAAAAAATCTAAACCAGAGGAGCTAAATCCGCCCACATAGCATTGACTGAAACTACAAGCGCGTTTTGTAATTTTCTGCCAGTGCTCACCGTTTTGAGTGGTCACGGTTTTGTTGAGGTTTAGTGACAATTATTTTTACTCATATGAAGATTACTTCCCCGGAAGTAAAACTTCTACCTTCTTCTGGTCGGTGTTCAAAGCTCTTCTTGTGCTTTGGATCACGTCGATGAATCTCGAAATTTCATCTCAGAATCTGAATTGCAGTACCCCCATCAACAAGAATTTGTTGCTGCAAACTAAGAGGTGGCCAGCACAACAACGAAGTGATCATGATCTACTCTCCTGTTCAGCAGTCTTTCAGGTTTGGTTCTGACTCGTTCTCCTTCACGTTCTGGCCAATCTGTAGATGTATGAATCCATGATCATCTCAAAAAGTCATGAGCGATCATCTTACAACGATAGATTGATCCCTAGTTGACGTGGACAAGGCTCTTTCTGTGGTCCCAAAGCAAGGTGAATTCTAAGATTTCATTAGGTCGTTCATCTTTGTTCTTCTTTGGTTCCAACAAATACTTCCTTATGAAGACTAGAAAGTAGTAAACCCCAAGGTTAATTCTAAGATTTCATTAGGTCGTTCATCTTTGTTCTTCTTTGGTTCCAACAAATACTTCCTTACGAAGACTAGAAAGTAGTAAACCCCACAACTAGTTGTACCAACTGATTCGACAAGTCTACGTGCATTCATCATCAGCATTTAGCTATTATGATATCCTTCAATCTTGACCATCATGAGTTTTTATGATATCCTTCAATCTTGAGGCTCATGATATCCTTCAATCTTCGACGTAAGAAAATTGTCTAAGCGCGCTCCTGTGTGTTTCATTCTGGACTTCTCTGATGCATCAGAGCCCCATATCTAAACACCCTTCTGGAGTGGGTTTTTGTAGAATTGTTTTGGCTCCTTCTACTTTCCGTATTATTGCAACTAGGTAGTAGGACTAACGTCAAATACAACAGCACATAGAAGACCTTCACCTTACACAGAAACGACACGTCGTTAAGGACATCAATCAAACTAGGTCTTAACGACGTCTTCTCTTTGTAACGAGGATCAACATCAGAATCAAAAAGATGTCGCGTTCTATCTATGTTGACAGTGCCCTGCACGTTGTCAAAGGTGCTTTGGTTTCCGTCCTGCGCATCCCCACAGGCAGGACAACGACGACGGTGCAGAACAATGCAACAGCCAAAACTGCAACTGCAACGGGAGCCAGTACTGTCACAACACATGGTGGTAGCATAACAGTTGCAAGCGTTGCCGCGTTTGAAAAGAGCCAGGAAAAAAAGATCCAAGAGGCTGTTGACGAGAAAGTGGCAGAAAATGCGCCTTATCACATCTACAGAATGGATCGCAAAGAAGCGGAGCAATTGTACTTAGAACTTAGACCACAGTTCTAGGTGTTCGTGTTGTCTACCTTGTTCGAGGATGACAGTGACACGAAGACGACTTATGAGTATAACGCAATATTTTGCAGCTCTCCTGAGTAGCTACATGTTACAGAAATTCGTATCAACCAGAACCACTTTCACTGATACATTTAATGACAATCTATCATCAAACAAGGTATGGCGAGACGATGTACGATCAATTTCCGGTCCCTGACAGCGTAACGTCGCTCCGACTCTGCCGTCTCCCAGGATGGAACTTGAATTGTCAAGTGAACCCGGTGCTCCAACATACTGGTTTGCTCGGCAAGGTGACCTTGACCAAATTTACCTATAATGCAGACAAGAAGACACTGAAGGTGACCATCGACTGCGTGCCGATCCCTGGAGAAGAGGCGCTTCAGGCGCCAGAAAAGCCGTTGTATCCGCCTCTAGATGAATGCGAGCCGAAAGCAGAATCGCAAGTGATTAACTTATGAACAATGACTATGACAAAATCGAGAATTCTTCGTATTCGATGATGATCAACAGAATTAGCGAAGCAAGAATGTGGTGAAACTACAGCATAAGTAGTTAGAGGTAGGACCTAGCCTTGCCATGACAAACGATCAGGGACCTCGACGGACAACTTTTTGACTTCATATATTTCCCCCCATTTACCCTGTCGTGACCTTTTCTAATCCTTCCCGTGGACGTGAAAGCTGACGAAGGTATTGACTACGACAAGCTGGTTCGTGATTTTGGGTGCAGCAAAATTGACGCCGCCTTGGTCCACCGCATTGAGCGCATCACCGGCAAGCGCGCTCACCGCTTCCTCCGCAGAGGGTTGTTCTTCACCCATCGAGATTTGGAGCAACTCCTCGATGCCTACGAAAAGGGCACACCCTTTTACCTGTACACAGGCCGTGGCGCCAGTTCGGAGTCGTTGCACATTGGCCATTTGGTCCCTTTCTTCTTCACGAAGTGGCTACAAGAGACATTTGACGTTCCCCTGGTGATCCAATTGACCGACGACGAAAAGAGCTTTTTCAAGGAGAACATCGATTAAGGGTCTAGGCTATAAGTGTATAAAGTAAAATTGACCGACGACGAAAAGAGCTTTTTCAAGGAGAACATCGATTAAGGGTCTAGGCTATAAGTGTAAAGTATGATAGAGAGATGAAGACAAAGAAAAATGGAGCGAAGACACTTGACGTCACTAATTACTGAAATAACCGAGTTACTGACTGAAATAAGGGAGGTAGCTTAACGCCAAGTGGCTACTCTTCCTTCTCTTGCGTATCTCGGTTATTCTGATCAGTTACTTACTTATTTCAGTTTTGCCTCTTCTAGTAAGGGAGGGGAAAGGCAGAACTTTTGCCTCTTCTAGTAAGGGAGGGGAAAGGCAGAACGAACAGGAAACACGAACACCTCCAAAACCCTGCCTCGTCTAAATTGATGCGGAAGAAGCCCATCGTCTAGCCTACGCCAACGTAAAGGACATCATCGCGTGTGGCTTCGACCCGAAAAAAACCTTCATCTTCACCAACTTCGACTACATGGGAACGATGTATCCGGTTGTGTGCAAGATCGCCAAGAAGATCACCTTCAACCAAGCTAGAGGCGCACTAGGCTTGACAGAGAGCGCCAACATCGGCAAGTGCTTCTACACCGCTGTCCAGGCTGCGCCGTCCTTTCCAGAAGCCTTCCCACACATCTTTGGCGGTAGGAAGGACGTTCGCTGCTTAATTCCGCAGGCGATCGATCAAGATCCGTTTTTCAGGGTAACGCGGGATATCGCACCAAGGCTCAACTTGCAGAAACCGGCTCTTATCCACTCGAAGTTCTTTCCAGCACTGCAAGGGCATACGACGAAGATGAGCTCGTCGGCAGACACACCAGCGACGATTTTTGTCACGGATACTGATAATTATGACGATCATGATCATCTTCTTAATACTTGAAAGTGTGAATTTATGTAATTACATACTGTCTGATTCTGGGTCTGAAATATCGAAGGAGTGTGCATCTGGTGAAATGTTCTTACTAGTGGTGATAATATCGTACAGATACTACAACAACTACTACTTTTGCTCTCCTGTCTGTGCTTACTTATATATAGTTACTTCTATAATTATAATTTTCCCCCCATAAAAACTCTCCACCACTCCTACACACTTTCATCCTCCACAAGTCGATACCAAGGTGAAGAAATACGCTTTGTCCGGCGGTGGCATGACTCTAGAGGAGCACCGCGAAAAGGGTGCCAACCTCGAGGTCGATGTGCCCTATGAATACTTGCGCTATGTGCTAGAGGACGATGAGGAATTTGCACGGATCGGAACTGAATATGGCGCTGGACGAATGACTACAGGAGAGGTGAAGCAAATTCTGATCAAGGAACTGCAAACTATCTGCCATGAACACCAAGAACGCCGAAAATTGGTCACGGATGAGGTGGTAAGGCAGTTCATGGACCCGACTAGGGAGACGTTGAGATACTTCTAGGTCAGTCTTGTTGGAGCAGTCAATTGATGAAAGACCAGCTTTTATTGTGGAGCCTTTTCTGAGCGTTGACATTGTCACAAAGAATGACTCACACGACGATGTGTGAGACTTCGAGATGCACCTAGCTTCCCCCATAGCAGGTGTCGTGGATGCAAAATGCCAAACGATCAACAAAGGGCTATGATGCTTGTGTAGAAAAATCGAGTCAGACTCTGTGTCTAGATCACCATCAACTTCATCAAAAAACCTATCAAGTTAGGTTGTAGTTGATTCCCAAGAAAGTTGGCCCACTCACTTGACGCAACCTCTTAACCTTAAGGCAATTTGTATTCGGATTTACAACGAGGAACAGCCTTCCTTCTTGTATCAGGAAGTCTTGCATTGTTCAAAGAAACGCCGATGCAGCACAGACGAGATTGTTTAATACAGTGTTCGACATGATCGTTCCTCTATTTAACTTTGCAAAAAAATAAATAGGATCTTCATCTCGTTCTTCTTAGGTTCTTAATGGACACTTCTAATGTCTCAAAACAGACGAGATATCTGCATGAATCACCATACCAAGACTAAAAAATCCATCACGAAGATCTCTAAACTAGTAGTGATCTTACTGTCATTAAATGCACACCACAGATCCAAGCAATGAAATACAGCTCTTGATGCCCTGATCAGCCCATAAAAATTGCATCCTCAATTGGTCTCCCAAATGGTTCTTTGGACGTTTTCACTCTGATAACGGCTTTCTGGGTTTCTTCAAGACATATCTTTGCTTTCCGCGTTTTTTTTCAGGCTCGCTACGATGAGGTAATGCGAAAATCGTTGAGTACTTCCACAATAAAGTGCTAATGATCTAACTTTATATCATTCTGTATACTAGATTTTCGTTTCTATTTTTTCATTGATTGTGTAGATTAACGACACCAGACTAGAGCAAAATGTCTTCGTCCGGTATGGAGAATCCTAACCCCGAGGAGTTCGAAACCTCCGAGGAATGCAAGGTCATCCCAACTTTCGCTGAGATGGAGATGAAATCAGATCTGCTACGTGGTCTTTACGCATATGGTTGGGAAAAACCTTCTGCGATTCAGCAACGTGCTGTTGTGCCGATTTTTAAAGGTGAGATATACTTGCAGCTACAGGATTTTAGATGTTGAAGTACGTCAGATGTTGCAAAACTTTTAAGTAGATCATGAAGAATTAGCGCATCACCGGTGGAGTCTTTGCATTTTAATGATTTGAAGTTCAAGTTTTCTAGCACTTTTTAGCACCTTATATCTTGCCAAGAATCGTCTTCCCCCCAACACATCAGGTCGCGACGTAATCGTCCAATCTCAGTCTGGTACTGGTAAGACCGCAGTTTTCTGCCTCGGCGCTTTACAGTGTGTCATTAAGAAGAATAGGCATCCACAGGTGCTACTGCTGTCACCCACACGCGAGTTGGCGGAACAGAGTCAAAAGATATGTCTGGCATTGGGCGACTACATGTACATTAGTGTACACTGCTGCATCGGTGGCAAGAGAATACACGACGATATTAGAGCATTAGAAGCAGGGTGCCACATCATCTCAGGGACGCCAGGTATTAGGATTTCTTGAGGACCTGTGTGGTTGTGCAGTTGGAGAAGTATTAGACTTGACAAGTCTAAAGCTGGATTGCGTAGTTCAAAAAATGAAAACAGTGTGTAGTTGACTTCGTATTGTTCTTCTAGTTCTTCTAGTTTTTCGTAACATGAATGATTGATGACTTCTCTCCATGAACAAGCAAAGATTAGCCATTCTTTCCCAATATGTCCTCAATCTCAGGTCGAGTATTCCACATGATTCAAGAGAGGCATTTGAACACGAAAGGTTTGAAAATGCTGATCCTCGATGAAGCGGACGAACTCTTGAACAAGTACTATAGTTTTTTTTGGATTGCAGAATTTGAGTACTATGTATTTGATATTAGCATCTCCATCTATAATGATCTGACTGAAATAGAAATGGTTGTTCGCGTGTTACCTTCCTCCAGGAGCTTTTCCTGATCCATCTCTTTTTTTACTGTATAGGCACGATCTTCATTCGCAACATCTCCATACTCAATAATACAGGGGTTTCAAGGATCAGATTTACGATTGCTACCGATTTGTGCCGCCAGGAGTGCAAGTAGTGGTGGTAAGTGCCACCTTGCCACACGAAGTGCTTGAAATGACGCAAAAATTCATGCAGAATCCTTTCCGAGTCTTGGTACTGACCTTCTTTGGTGTTTCCAGTATCAATTTGATTTTAATACTTTCCCATCGAAGCAGCTATTGACTCTATCGATAGAATTGTTCACAAGAACTTAAAAAGGCTAGCTCCGAGTATCAACATTGCATCAGCCTCCTCTCTCATCCTGCTTCTTAAATCAATAGGTAAAACGTGATGAGCTTTCCTTGGAAGGAATCAAGCAATTTTTCGTAGCCGTAGAGCGAGAACAGTGGAAATACGACACACTCTGCGACTTGTACGACACTCTCACGATCACGCAAGCAGTGATTTTCTGCAACACGAAGAACAAGGTTGACTGGCTAGCCCAGAAAATGAGGGAGCAAAACTTCACCGTTAGCAGCATGCATGCTGATATTTATGGAACACGGTTTTGATTTTGGTAATATGTTGTAATTGACCCTGACGCACGAAGTCCTGATTAAACGATTTCTCGTTCAGTTTCTCACGAGAGAAGAGCTAAGAAGGTGTATAGAGTTAGAGTTTTCTAGGTTTAGTTGCATTACTTACAACTCACAATAGAAATGAACCGAATACTAGACCACCGTCCCGTTATCCTTCTTCCTTCCTCTAATCTACGGAGCAAAAAGAGCGTGACTACATTATGAAGCAGTTTCGAACTGGCCAGAGCAGAGTCCTGATCGCCACCGACGTATGGGGTCGCGGTCTGGATGTGCAGCAAGTTTCACTCGTCATCTGCTACGACCTTCCAACTAGTCGTGAACTCTACATCCACCGAATTGGTAGGTCCGGTCGTTACGGCAGGAAAGGTGTGGCGATTAACTTCGTCAAGGAAGAGGACATCAGGATTTTGCGGGATATTGAACAGTTTTACAGCACACAGATCGATGAGATGCCGATGAACGTGGCGGATTTGATCTAAATACTCGTGAATTGGATCGAAATAAAACGATATGCTGTTACACCTACAACTGAAGAAGAAAATTCTTGAGATTCTACTAGAAGATGGGAACAAGGGAAAAGAAGGAGAATGTTGGGTCTTGGACTCGGTATCAACATCTTCTTTCCTGTACTACACATCTGAAGATCATGAACAAACTTTATCATGACTGTATCACTTGTGAGTAAGCACCTCTGAACCTAAGACAGGATGCCTGCCAATAGAGTAGGTGATCTACTCGCACTCCCCTAGTGCCGCGAAAGTAAATACACCTGAAAATACTACCTTGCCTTGCTAGGAGCCCAGATCTTATATCTTGCACGCTGCTGGTGCATATTCAGAAGTCACTGTTCTTGTCACAGATCGACCTCTGCTGATAAACAGCACAAGATCCTTGGTTCATCTTGCTTTCTACAAATCAATCCAGTTCCACCAGAAACAAATCGAATTTACGATCCGAAATGCGTTGAGATCTGAATCCACAACAGTGCGATTCCAGAATGAATGTGCAAGTGTCCCTACCTCTAGATCCGAAACAAGAACCGATTGACATCTTCAGATGATAAACAGCAACGCATGTCCATGTTTATGACAACTTCCATAAACAGTAACTCAGTACTATTTTCACCTAGGCAAATAAGGCAAGAAGAAAATATTGAGCGAAAAGTCTAGAAGCAGCAGACAACACTTTAGAACCAGCATACAACACTTTAGAAGCAACATACTTGTAACAACAACAAGCTCTTCCTGAATATTGTTTACCCATCCATCATTGTTCTTATCCTGCAAATCTTCTGAAGTAGATTTAATTTATTTGTTCTCCATTTTCAAAACTACAAAATGGCGAACAACACCAATAGCGACGTGCCCATGAAGGCTGAAGACGACCCGTTTGCGGAGTTCCTCGATATGGATTTGTCGGCTCACACTGCTGGTAGTTCTGGTGCAGGTCTGGAGACCACAAGACAGGCTGAGGTTGGGGCTTCGTCTCCATCTGCTTCATCTTCATCCTCGTCTGCGTCTTCTGGCACAGCAGCGTCTACATCTGCAAAGGGCTCATCAACATCTCCTTCTTCTGATGTAAACGACGTAAAGAAGGTTCCTGAAGCTGCTCAGCAGAAGGAGAAGCAACTACCTACTTCTGGGAGTAAGCGACCAGAGCCAAGCAGCAACGATGACGGAACCCTTCCCACCGTCGTCATCAACGTCGGCATGGCGGGTAGCGGCAAAAGCACGTTGATGCATCGCATGTACTTGGAGTTGCTGGCGCAGAAAAAACGGGTCTACATGATCAACCTGGATCCTGCAGTGAGGGATGTCAAGTACCCGAGACACATCGACATCCGCGACACCATCGACTACAAGGGCGTCATGAGCGAGTACGGCCATGGCCCCAACGGCGCGATCATGACCAGCTTGGGTCTCTTTGCGATGAAGTTCGACCAAGTTTTAGGCTTGCTCGAGAAACGCGCCAAGGATTTCGACTACGTGCTGATCGATACGCCAGGACAGATCGAAGTGTTTGGTTGGAGTGCCAGTGGACAGATCATCGCAGATACATTGTCGACGGGTTATCCGACCGTGATCAACTACGTTTTGGATAGTGCACGTTGCACACGACCCGTGACGTTCATGAGCAACATGTTGTATGCTTGTTCGATCTTGTACAAATTCCAGCTGCCCTTTGTGCTCTCCTTCAACAAGTGCGACGTGCTGAATTGTTCCTTCGTCCGCGACCTCTGGTTCAAAGACCAAAGAGCATTTCTAGAGGCTCTAGGAAAGGAGGAAAAAACCTATCTAGGCTCGCTGTCCCGGTCCATGTCACACGTTCTCGAAGAGTTCTACACGAATTTGACTAGTTGCAACGTTTCCGCGCACACGGGGGAAGGCGTCTCCACGTCTCTGCTCTCCGAATCGTTGCCTTTGGCGAGAAAAGAGTACTACGACCTCTACTTGACGTACTTGAAAGACCGGGCAGCCTACGTGTCGAAGAAACGGGATGAAGAAGCGGCGGAAAAAATGAAGACCTTTGAGGAAAAGATGAAGGTGACAAAGAACAACTGAGTCATGAAGGACAATTGAACATGCTTAAGCTACTAGTTCTTAATCCTATTACTTGGACAAAAATGTTCGCGATCATGTTCTTGTTCTATGAAGCATCCACTCGAAGATGGACACACCAGGGCTCCAACATGGTATAATATAAGGTGAGAGACTGTAATCTTTCATCGTATTGGTGCCAACCTGGCATACGTGCTTAATGTAGACAAGTAAAAACGTGCTTAATGCGGTGGCGAATTTTTTTCGACAATCTAGTTCTAGAAAAGCAGAAGCAGACGCTTTTGAAGGCAGGTTGGCTTTTTTGCACATGATGCTACATTTTTGAAGTGTTCGTTCTTTCATCTGTGAGCGCCTACCTCCATCGAGAGACAAGACCGCATGGTGGACGAGAGCGTTGTCATCAGAGGCCAACCACTGTTTCTTCTCAAGTAGATTCTAATGATTGACGAGTAGGCCAAGTAGGTGCCAAAAAAGTTCCAAAAAGTTGAATTTGTCGTATTGGAGTTGACTCGTCAAGCACCAAAATAAAGATGCGCTCGTCGTTCACCTTTCTTCTCTACTGGCTCTCCACTGTGGGCGATGTTTCCGGCTGGCATCTCGAGATCGTCATCACGTCCGCTTGGCGCAGTGTCGAACGGCGCAACATTCTACGCGATGCTCTCTCCGTGTGTGCGCAGCAAGCACATGGCCATAAGGTCAGCTACCACTTCTTCCTCGGTAACGTGAACACCACGTTACCCGCAGATGAGGAGAAGGACAGGATTTTGTACGCAAATGGCCGATTCTTTCCTACAATTAAGGCGTACAATAGTTCATCTTAAGAAGCATCTTTGGCCCCTTTTTTAATGGGAAATCACGCCAACGATGCGCTTTTCAAGATGAATAAAAGTAACCTCTACTACAACGGGCGACGAAGAAGTAGAAGCTGTAGTAGTAGACCCGGTCAAAAACCTAGGCATGATCGAGGAGGAATCTCCACTGCTGGTGGATCCTAGCGTGGCCGCAGTGGACCAGGCTCGAATTGGAGCAGTCGTGGATCCGATCATCACGGATTCTGATGACGCGCTCGACCTTTGTGGAGCTACCCAAGGTCAGCAAGAAGATGACAACAACGACAAGTGCATTCCTGGATCTTCTACAACAGCCGGACAGCTACAGGGACAACTGACAGTCCAAACCGAGCCTCGACGGGACATGGTTTTGCTCAACGCGCCGGATTTAGACCCTCCTGTGATGCGCGACGTCACCTACATCCTAGACCGTCCGACCAGTCGCGCTTTCCGCGTCGCTTACGGCACTAAATGGGTCCACCATTTCATGCCTACAGTCGACTTCGTCTTCTACTTAGACGACGACTCTTTTTTGAACGTGCCTCGACTTTTTCAACTCTTGGAGTCCGTGTCTTTGAATGACCAGCGTGATATTAAGGCCGTAGATAATTCATCTTTCAACGCATCGATCCCTGAAAAGTATGTATGAGTGAGTATCTTCTCACTCCTGATTATAGGTACTCTTCAAGGATGAAGCTGAAGGATGAACTCTGGGTAGGTATAATGATATGCAACGACGCCATGAGGACAAGGATGCATTGCTCGACTTGCGGTACAGGAACGAACGAGGTAAGATGGAATCTCTAGTGATGGGCTACATGATGGAAACAGAGGTGGATATGGGGAAGTTTGACATCTGCGAAATGTGCCAACCATGCGAACGGTGTACAAACGATGTACAACTGTTATGAGAAGTAGATCAAGATGTAGTAGTACAAAATGAAAATGAATATTTTTCAGGTTCAATGTCAAAGTCAAACTCGATCATTTCCGCCGTTAGAAAGCTGTAGTAGCTTCTAGCTGTAAAAGGTATTCTTATTGCGGCATGCAACTTTTTCATCATGTATTTCCACTCTTCCATCTTTCCCACCTCTAGTCGTCTTCATATTCGCGTGAATTCTGTGGACAAGTGCCTCATATGACGCTTGGAGGATGTCTTGCCTACATGAATACGTGCAAAATTTACGAGAGCGAAGAACCCCTGATCGACTGCGTCCGACGTTCTCAAGACGAGGCAGCAAGACTTGGAGATTACTTCGGAACGAAGAAAAGCCCGCTGTGGGTCCTTGGTAGCTTTTTACCCAATGAGATTCCTGCTGTGTTTTTGTGTCTTCTACAATGTGCGAAAGGGAACAGCGCTACTTTTTCCCCAGTCGCGGAAGACAACCGCAGAGGCCCGCCGCGATTTTTTCGCCGCCGCGCGTATTGGCCTGGCCCAGCGTGGCGCGCTAAGTGTTTCTTCGGAGAGGTGTCCATGATCCGAGTGCGCTCCCGTAAAGAAGACGGCAGCGAAAGGAAAGCGAACCGCTCGCCGTATCCATGTTGCTAGCAGGTAGGTCGCTGGCGGGGCTGGGGGATGAATGGCATGAGCAGCCCGCAGAAATATAAGGCAGGCTGGCTCTCTCCGTTGTTGTGTATGACATGTTTGGCAATGCATAGGCGCGAGGAATCTACCAAGGAGACCCGCAGCGCCGCGGCGTCGTCCTTCGTTATGGGCTGCCGCGGGCTCCGGTGTGTGGTGGCGTGAAGTATGAACGAGGCCAGCGCCGTAGAATGTTTGGACGAAGGGGCGCCAAGTTGGTTCGTTGCATGCTAGAGGAATGCAACGGCCCGCGCCTCCGGTGTGTGTCTCCCGCAGACAATGGCCCCCGCTCTAAGTAACGCCTGGGCGGCGCGTGTGTGTCGGTCGCCCATAAATATTGTAGGGCGGAGGCCACGATTTCAGGCCGGTGCTGATTCGCCGAAGCTGCTTCGGCGAGTTGGGTAGCTAGGTGTTTGTGTTTTATTTCGTGGCGCTTACCTTGAAACGCAGGCGCCTGCTTTGTGATATGGTTGTCGCCACACTCTGAAGCGGGGCCATGCTTGGTGCCGCCTGAACCAGGGAAGACGCCAACGCCCACCCCATTCGTGGCGACGATAATGATCGGGGTCGCCACCGCTCTGCTGCGAGTCAGTTGTGTGGGGTATTGACAAACTGTGAGGGGGCCTGCTCCTTCTGTGGCTTCAACGCTCTCTCACTGATATCATTACAACCAACGCCAGGCATGGGCTGGCTTTTCGGCCGCCGCATTATCAGCTATATTGCGCGCAACGCCGCCGACTTGAAAAAGCGAGGCGCCGCAGACTTGATCTTGGGTTATTGGTTGGTTGGTCTAGAGGACTTGCATTGGGTGGATACCGGTCCACTCGGAAACTTCCGATTTCACGATTACCCGATGCATGGAAACACGTTCACTCGGAATTGTCATAGTTAAGGCTACTGCACTGAAAGAGTAAGTATATGTTAGATTGCTTGAGCCTACACGTACTTACTTAATCCTAAACCATTATAGTAGCTTTCAGATAAGAGGAGCTATTGAATAGCTCTAAGTTCCTCACGATTTCTGGTAGTGACGTATCATCTTTCGTTCAGCTAGAGCAATAGTAGGTAGGCACCAGACACGATAGCACAAGGAAGTACCTGCTAAAAGCACATATTCATATTAATGAAAAATAGCCGGCTCTTTTTCCCCCATAAGTCCTAGGTTAACCCTCCCAGCCAAAGCATAAGTGCCTGCTCACTCTAAGGCGTCGAGACTATTCTAGTACATCGGATGACCCCAGAGCGATGGGCCAACGATTTCGAGCGTGATACCTGCCTGTTAGACTGCAAGCTAGAGGAAGAAGAGAACAAGGGAAAAGCATTCATTTAAGGAACACTGAAGAAAGCCTTGCATTTAAGATTTAATACTGGAGGAAGGCATTTAATTTATTCTCTACTTAGGGATATGAAGCCATGATATTGCTGTGAAGAACTTGATTACTGCCGAACAAGACATGACTTAACAAGAACTCCATTGCAACTGCCAAGCACCATTCTAGGAGTGGAGTCTCGTTTGCCGTCACGCATACAGAAAAAGGTTGCAAACTCTAACTCGTGGACGAAACCGTGCGGGAACTACAAGCGAATCCAACCGGTGTAAAAACCGAAGCGCGGGTGCGAAGAGGCAGTAGCGTTGCTGATCAGCCCGATCTTCTAGAGGAGGAGGCACATCATGAGTTTGAATCCACAGTAAACGATGAAGAGTCTTCTACCGATGGAGAGTCTACGGACCATGGTAGAAGAAGCAGTTCAACTTCTACGTCCGAAGAACTACCGATGGATGGTAGTAGAAGAAGCAGTTCAACTTCTACGTCCGAAGAACGAGAGCATAGTAGTATTGATATGCCTGCTCAAGATGAGAAGGAACAAGAACAACATGATACTGGTCATCCGAACAAGGATCAGCAACAACATGCTGCAAATGATGATCAAGAAGAGTTTGAGATGAATAATTTGAGAATGAACCTCGATCTTGATTCAGAGTTCGCATCCTATCCCGTTCCAGGACAGACAACATCCGGAATCAAAGTGGAATTCTAATGGTAGTAGAATGCATAGGGTGTTCGCCTGAAAAAGTAGAGAACTTGAAATTTAATCCATGGGCGGATAGTCTACTTCTCCTGTGTTGGTTATTGTAGGATGATCAACGGATCGTTGTACTTGCTGTCTGGTAGCTGGATCTAGAAGATGACTGTCCAAAGTCTGGATATGCGGATCCCGTTCTGATAGACCATGATGGCCTCAACAGGTTCTTGCCGGTTCCGAAAGATCGCGGTAGTTGTAAAGGCACGACTTTATAACATCAGACTATAAAATAAACATTTCAGGTGCCTACTTAACAATGTATAAATATGTGCAATCTGTATCGACTATATCTTCTATCTTCTGATGGAGCCTTTACTCGGCAGGTCGAATTAAATCTGAGCACTTATAACGAAAAGTTTCTACCTGAGTCCATAATTCATCTCATACTTAGACAAACCTCCAAAGAGTAAACAGAAATGGCAACTCCTAATGCACAGTTTTCTCGAGAGTATCTCGTGCACAATGGGTGCGCGGTGCTCTGCCTCGACTGCCCTGGCAACGGCTCCTTCAGCTTCGGAATCGACAACCATCTTTGGGAAACCGGTCCCAAGTTTATGGGTGTCAAATTCATACCACCAGGAGCACACTTTCTGTACTATAGCTGTGGAGCAGCAGGTGGAGGCTCTTCTGTACCTGTAGGAGAGGCAGAAAAGCCAGTGGTGGATGTAGGCGCAGCACTAGGAGCCGTGGTTTCACCATCTTCCTCTGGAGGTTCCAGCAACGACGATGAAGCAACCTCTTCGGAAACCGTGTCACCTCCTTCAGGAGCAGCTGGCGCAGTTAGCACTAGTACTACTAGAGACCAAGAAGTATCGCTGCACAGATGTGGTTTTTTCGCCTACCTAAAGCCGAAAGAAGTTCTCATAAGACGTTGGTGCCCGCGCACTGAAACCTTAGTGAGGCTCAAAGATCCTGACGAAGAAGCGCGATACCGAGATGGCGTGAAGCATTGGGATTTCGACCTCAATATGGGAGAATATCCGATGGACTTGTACGCCGATTGGACCGAGATCACACGGCACATTAGCCACGCTGTCATCAGCAAGATCGAGCCTGTTGGCGGACTATTGGCTGCGAGAGGAAAGGAATTCGTAGTAGAAGAAGAAACAAGTTCTTGTGCTGGTGCTGGAGCTGGACTACAGAAGATGGAGACGACATCGACAACTACTGCGGCAAGTGCGTCTAAAAAACGGGCTCTTGACTCTTCTGAAGATACTTCCAAGAACGTAGAAACTAGTGCTAAGCCTAATGAAAGCGACGTCAAAGCTGTCATCCAAGAGGTTGGCTCTTGGAAGCCACCGGCTTATCGAGGCACCGACCGCGAACAAGAGGACAAGAGGAAGGCACTGCAAGAAGAAATAGAAGACGCAAAAAGAGAAGCAAACATGGCCTCTATAGAAGATGCGAATCGATTTGGACGCCTGTTCTTCTCCACGATTCCACAAACAACGACAGCAGGAGACTTGGCTGATTTGTCTTTATGATTAACATGAAAAATAGGATCAAAATCAGTAGAGCGCATGGCGTTAGAGCATCATTTGGCTCATGTTGTCCAGACAACAGTATATTACGATCTACTTAACAGTTCCCTGATTTCACTAGCAATGTAATCAAGAAGTCGTGACAAGGTAGTATCGCATTTCTCTTCCCCAACTACGTCGCTCCCCTTTCATTCTATCCTTCCGAAATCACGCGACGGCATTTGGACAAGAGCCACGTGATCGAAAAGTTGGTGCGACACGAGTACTGCAAGATTGACGGCACACAGAAGGCGTGCTCTAGCAGAGGTGGTAATAAAGACACCTCTTCAAAGAACACTAAGCATGATATTCCCCTCCTTCCGTTCCTCGCTCTCCTCGGCGAAGTGGAGCTGGCCTACGTGGCGTTCCTCCTCGGACAAAACTACGAAGCATTTGAGGCTTGGAAACAGCTTATTGCGATTCTGTGTTCCTGCACCCAACTAGTGAACAGGCAGCCCTTGCTCTACATAGAGTTTCTCAGAGTGCTCTACGCCCAACTCCAGCAGGCGCCGGAAGAGTTTTTTGTCCTGGGTGGCTTTGCCGACCTGCAAGACAACTTCTTAGTGCAGTCGGCAGTACAGTTGACGCAAAGGATCGAAGACGCACTTCTGTTGGAAGAAGAGCTCTTGGATCATGCGGAGATGGAGACACCAATTACGACGTCAATTACAACTACCTCTACCTCTACTATGGACAATGCCATAGAGCACGACCGAAGAGACAAAAAGGCGGAGGCAAGTGCAGCGGAAAAACAGGCCGTTCGGCGTTGTCTGCAGGAACGTGTTGGGCATGTTCGAGAATTACTCACTGGGAAATTCGGGCAACCGTTCAATCATATGACAGCGGCTGCAGGAGAGGGTGAGGACTGTCCGCAGGTAGACAAAAGCCTAGGAATGGACGTTGATTTGCAGGATTTGAAGGCAAATAGGGATCCACAACACCAATTTTTTGGCGGACGAATGTTAGGGAACGATTTCGATGACGATGATGATATGCCGCAAATCGTAGACCTCGATCAGGGGTATGTATTCTAGTGCGAAGGCTGCATTCAAATGAGGCGCGAAATGCAGCTCCTGCTGAGTCAAAGATTCTGTTTGTTTCACCTTCACTACATCATAAACAGGTGGCCATTTTCACCAATCAATGCTTTTTAGTACCCTGACCCCTCTCAATAATTACAATTTTAGTGGCCTTGGTCCAACACGGAAACCTGTCTGCGCAAATGATTTACCAACTTGCTGTTCAACTTCTGTTTACACCGGAGTGAACATGCGAGAGAATGAGTCAGTAGTTTTCAGTAAAGACAATCTATTGGTGGGCACAGACTGCTCAGCTTTCGGTTACAAAAATCAGCTACACAGAGAGAAATGACGCAAGACGTGAACAAGAGAGCGAGCTGCTTCTTAGTCTGACGAAGGCACTTACAAGTAAAGCAAGCCAAGATTCGCAGATACACATCATTAGAAATACTCACGTCGAGCATGGTATTTATAAATATATTTGTAAGTGAATAGAAACGTTGTAATAGTAGTTAGATCCCATCATAATCATCGCAAAACAAAATGGACCCCTCCAACATGGTTGAGCAAGAGCAGCAAAGCCCCAGGGCTCAGGATGCTCAAGTGATTCGTGAGAGCTATGCGCGAGTAGTCTCGATCGACACACCACTGCGCGTCTCCGATGTGTCCGCAGCTGCCCAGTTGTGCTTCCTTCGAGTACTATGGACCCCCGACGCGCCGTCTTCACCAGGTGGCAGTGTGGTACGGCGGAAGAGTCGGCGCGAAGGGAGAGTGATTTTGCTGTTTGAAGGTATTACAGCGGTGCTTTAGCATTAGAATTAAGGACGATGTTCTTTCGCTTTTGAGATAGATGCCATTATCGCGTTCAAGCACATCTTCCACGTTCAATCGACCACTCCAGGTGACGGTTCTGCCCCGCTGCCTTCCCCGCCTGTTGAGATGAACAATGCGAGTGCTGCTGTAGTGGACGGCTCCGATTTGGAGCAGCCAAACATGGTCTTCTACTTAGGGCTGCCGTTGAAGCATCCTCAGCGCCATCCTTGGCTTCCTTTTCAAGGGGCAATGCCGCTCAAGGATGGGCTCAGGGATGCGACGCGGTAGCTCTAATCTACAAGCCAAGTAGGGGAGGAAGGTGGCTAGCTTTGCAGTTTCCGAATCGGGAAACCGCTTTCGATTGGCTCACTTTCTTGCGGGAACAGGTCATGTCGCCAGAAGTCACGCTCAGAGCCGAAGGTGTTTTAGATGCCTCTGGAGCTGCGGCAGTGTTAAGGGTACCCCCGTTAAAGCATCCTCATCGCCATCCACCCTGGCTCTTTTTCTACTTGAAGAAGAAGCCAAGGATGGAGGGCCCAGGGACGCGAACGCGGTAGCTCTAACAGTCACGGCCGCAGTAATGCGTCAAAATTCCCTCGGAGGAGGAGGAGGTGGACCTGGACACGCGCCAGCTACGACACCCGTGTTTGGGAATGCGCAACAAAATCTAAATGCTGGAGGACCTCCTATGCAGACGCCCCAAAGTCCTCCCAGGGAGCTTCCCGCTACTTCTCCTGACTTACGTCTTGCATCACCAAGAGTGTACAACACACGCGACGAAGCCTTCCAAGCAGCAGAACTAGTGAGACGAAATCTAGTAGCAAGTAGACAAACAGAAGCTGTTTTGCTACAACACGCTCAGGCTCGTCAACAGTCCTCTAGAAATGCCCAACAACAACAATCATCCATCCCTGTCGTCCTAGACCAAACCATGCCCTTCGGCCCACCACAAGTAGTGGGGCCACTCCCACAACTAGGGTCACTTTCCAGTAGCGGCTCTAGCGTCATGCCAGGAAGTGCTATAACGGTAAGTGACGAAGCAGGTGCAGTACCGAGCCGCGGAACTAGCGTGGGAACGTCGGACAGTGCTCCAACGGTAGCTGAAGCAGCGAGTGCTGCGCCTGCGGCTGGTGCAGTGAATAATCCGATTGCTAGTAGTAGAGGTACGAGTAATCCAACAACTGCAGGCGCAGGTGCGGTTCCAGGGAATTCTGGAACTCTGGTGCATGCGAATGCCATGAGTACTCCAACAAGTCACACAACTTCTCAAACTGGTCTTACTCAGCAGGCGAACTTCTACACACCTTCAAGTACATCAGCTACTCCCACTGTTCAACAACAGCCTTCTCCTGCTCTAGGTCTAACTTCAGGAGCAACAGGAGTGATGATAGGCTCCACAACTCCGGCATCCTCTTCGAGTGCAGCTCGGCCTTACGCGGCTGCCTACATCCACCTCCAGCAGAGTAGTCAGATGCAGAGTGCTGCCAGATCAGCGAGTAGTATGAACGGAGAAAGTTGTACATCAGCGAGTGCATCAGTGTGTAGGCAAAATCACCAGGCTGCTCAGGTGCAATTTTACAGCGGAGCCAGGCCAATTGAAACTGGTGTAGATTCTGCTATGATACAGATGGGTTCCTCGTTGCAGCAACCTCAAGCGCCTATGTCATCACAGCATGCGCAAGCGCCTATTGTTTTGCCAGACCCACCAAATTTTGCTGCAAGTGCGGCTGATGCAACACCCACGTCAACCTCTGCTCCAGCCCCGGGCACAGCCGCAGCCGTAGTTCATGAGTACCTCCATCATAGAGAGGCTTCAATGTCGATGAGCAAGGGTGTAGAAGCTCAGCACGAGGGTGAAGAGCATGTCGTCGTTGACAGTGAAGTTGATGTTGTGCGGCCATCACAATCTATTAAAGGGCAACAATATGTTGAACCTTCGCAACAAGTAAGTTCTGGTTCAGGTCCTCCCGGCACGCGGTTTCCTCGTCCAGAAGGAGAGCTTTCTCAGTCTCCCTTTTACGCCACTGCACCTGCTCCTTCGGTGTTGACCGCTCCCTCAGTGTTGACCACGCAGTTTATGCCAGCCGGTGCAGTGCCTCTGTCGGGCTCGGAGCAGCAGCCCGATTCAAATGTTTGGGTACCGGTGGGCCCTCCAGGCATTTTTATTGCTGCCGAGGAAGAGAATGGCCAGATGCCCGCGACTGCGCCTGTCGTTGTGTCGCCAGTAACTGCTACATCTACTGCAACAACAACGGGTGGGAAAGACTACTACAACACTAGTACTTACGTGAATTCAGCACCTCATCTAAGCCTAAACACGCCAGCGGAGCAGCCAGCAACAGCAGGAAGAATCGGAGCTTTTCATCATCCAACGGGACAACATTCCTCACGAAGTGCAGGACCAACATCCACGACCTTTAAAGAAGAAGGCGACGCCGATGTCATGGTCCATATTAACGGATCCGGCATCACAACGCCGCAATCAGCTCCAGCAATGACAGCAGGGAGAAGTCCGGCAAGCCATTTGATATTGTCTGATGGAGTTCCTCATTTAAGACATGACTCTTCAAAGAACCATATTAAGTAGGAGATACTTGATGCATGAGAATTACTCTTTTCTATCTTCCTCTGGTCTTTCTTTTTTCTAGTCAGGAAGGTCTGCTCCACCACAACTTTACACAGACACCGAAGAAAGTGCCTTGCTCGTCTTGCTTCTAATCACCGACCTCCCTTTACGAGGACAGGGCACCACCACAACAGCACGCAACCAGGCTGCACCGCTGTCAACGGCACATGGCTCGTCGCCTGATAAATGGAAATCTCAGCACCTCCTACAGTCGCCAGACAGTCGAGATCGCGGGACGGCCAGTGAATGGTCACCAGGCACTGCGGGTTTGAAATATGAGGGTTTGATGAAGGAGATCGGCCGTCTGTCGAAATTATGGAGTTCTTCCCTGGACGAATTAGGCATGCACGCGTCACAAATCGAACGTCTTAGAAGCGAGAATGCAGCGCTGGTGGCGGAAAGAGATCACTATGGACTAGGTGTCGTAGTGAGTATTGAAAAAGAAGATGTGAGTATAAGTAAATGATCAATTATACGAAAAGTAGCCTTGCTCTGGTCTTTGTTAAGGTTGCTTGTACTGAGAACTTGGTAAGTAATCTAAATCTTGTTGCCCACATCCCCCTCCGTGCTTCATAACTCGCATGCTGCGGCTTTCGCGAGCCTGACTAGCGCAACTACCGAGCGGGATGCCGCAATGGCTGCGCTGGGAGGACAGCTGGAGCAAACAAGTTATGAAAGATCAATGAGGCATTAGCAGTCCAAGTAAATGTAATCCGCTACTAACCGATCCTGCCTTCAGGTTTATTTGGATTGTCTTTCATTGTGCTGCAGCAGTGAATCAAAAATTGTCATTCATCGTCTTCCAATCCAAATCTAAGCACTAGCAGAGCGAGACCGCGTTCGCGAGGAAGCCGACCGTGTTCTTATACCAGATAGAGACCAGCTCCGAGCAGAGCGCGATGCCTTGAAAACAGAGAGAAACCGACTCACAGCGGAGCTTGCTGAGCTGAAGTCTGCGTATGGGCAAAGAGAGCGCGCACTTGTCGAGGAACGCGACTACTACGGTCACGAGCGAGACCGGCTTCAGACTGCAAGCGAGCAGTTGCAACAAGAACTTATCACTGCGCAAGGGGAACGTAAACGCCTTGCTAGCGAAAAGGCCATGTTGCAGACAGAAGTCGAGGGATTGAGTCAGCATGCGCAAAATCTGGATCAAGAGGCTGCCAGAGTAGCGAATGAGCAACAGAATAAAATCCAGGAAGCAGAAGCGACCAGCGTAGGATTGCGGGCTGATCTTCAAAAAGTGATGAACGAAGTCCACGAATTGCGTGATAAAGGGAAATTCGTACTACTTGCCACTTCTGTATCGTAAAAGACTTTGACTTTGTGAGTTGTTTTTTTCTGACAGTCCCATAAGTTGTTGTCTTTGAAGTGATGAGTGACAGTTCTAGTTTCCGACGACCACTTCGTCATAGAAGCATGACGCAGCAGGAGAAATGCATACCACCTTCCAACATCCACAGGACTCCTCACCCGCGGCACTAGGCGGACCTGGCGTCTCCAATGCTATTTTACTGCAGTTTCAGCGAGAATTGGAAAGGCTTCAAGAGGCTAATGAGATTCAGAATGCAGAGAAAGCGACTACATTCGTTATGGCAGGCTAGTTACTTCACCACCGCGACTCAAAGTGCAAGAGGAGCATCTCCTTAGGTATCTCTCGCTCACCCCTTGCCCTTCTAAAAGGTCCGAAGTCGAGGCTCTGGCGCAACAGAAGAGCAGGCATCTAGGGATAATCAATCAGCTGGTGCAGCTTCTGGTATCTGCGAGCACGATACAAGTGGGGAAGGAGAATTCTAGGGAGGAAGCCATGCGAATCTCTGGCAAGATTGCGCAGATGTGTGGTGCGGCTGCCTCGTCAAGTCTTAAAAGTGCTCCTACTGGGGTCCGCAATTCTGATGTTGCGCCTGTTCGGAGTAGTACGCAGTTGCAAGATGACGCTAGAGGATCTCAACAAAGCGTATCAGTTGATGGTGGCCCACCGTTGCCGCTCGTACCCCAAGGCTCGTCGACAAAGACAAAAATCGACTACCTATTGAACCACATCGCTTCGCATCAGTCTTTACCCTCTGATCCCAATGCTAGGACGATTGGTGGCAATTTGGGAGTTGTGGTTCCACCAACGAGTTCAGCGTCGTCTTCAAGGAAAACGAGTTGTAAACGAGCAGTAGACCACACCAGTGTGGTAGAACAGGGTGAAATCCACGAAGCCCGAGAAGCAAGCACCAAAGTGAGCAACTATAATGTTGAGGTCGACAACTCTCCAAAGCAGCCGACTAAAAATTTCGTACCAGCAGAGGATGTGGCGACACACGGAGAGAGTTCACCCTACTTTGCAAGAGGGAGCTACAACCGAACACAGTTGCACCAAGTCGACGCCGTCATGAACAAAATAAGACACTTCATTAAGGCGAGGAATGAGATTTGATACCTTTTATCATGAATTATATGTAGGGAGTAAGAAGAACTCAACTCCTGCGCTGATCTAAAAAAAAAATCGCTCTAGCAGTGAGTCTCACCTGAAAGTACTAGCCACGACCTCTAATCCCCACAACGACTTGACGCACAAAGAGAGTTCTAGCTTGCAGCAACCATCTTCAGCTGTACGGTCAGTCTCTTGGGATCAGAGCACAGGCCACACCTCGTCATCCTCGAACATGATCTTCACTTATGGTTGGACTTCGTGCTGCTCAGGTATTGTACCTCTAGGTGTAGTATTCCTCATCTCTAGCACTGTTCTGGTTCTCTCCGCTTCAAAGCTTATTTTAACGGAAGCAGTGAGGTTTGTCTAAGTCTCTCTTTCAGTGCTGTTTCTTATTGAGTTGTTATTTTCCAAAAGATACGTAACCGTGCCGCTTCTCTATTACATTCTTTGCGTGAGATCCATCGCGTAGACCATCTGCGACGCCCTTATGGCAGTCTGCGCTGAACTTGTATTGTATTGTATTGTATCAATTTGAATGCGCATCAGTCATCTCCTCTAACATTTCCACCGCCGCATCTCCACGACCAAAACGACGCATACAAGCAACCGCTTCATGGCGAGCTCTAGTAGCGGAGGAAGTGTCATCATAGGAACTACCCCTCCACAGCAGGTCCCAGTAACACGGAAAAGCGAAACATCACAGAGTGCACGACTAACACAAAGCGCACAACTAGTACCGCCATCACAAGGAGTAGCCAGAACTACAACTAGATTTTCAACGCCATCAGTAAGCCCAGCAAGCTCACCCATGCGCAGTAGTGCACGACTTCAGAGTCCAGGACTGAGAAACACACTAGTTGTCTTTCCACCAGCGACGTTTTCGCCAGCCACGCAATCGTCGGGAGCTGGAGTGGCGGATCAGGTACTCACTCTTGCTTCCGGAGTTTGGTAGTCGTGCTATTCTAGAGAATCAATGCTGGTAGTACGTAGAAGTAAGTACCATGATTGGGGTTCTTGTAGAGATTACTGTGATGTTGTACACGAATTTGTTGTGGACGAATTGCGTCTTTTCGTATTGCAAATCCACTTACCCTTTTTCTTTTCCTGTACTCTGTCTTCTAGTTTCCACACTCCCTCGAAAAAAAAATAGCGCTCATCATCATCTGGTCTCGGCACGCACATAGACGCGTTTCAGAAGCGGCTAATGCAGAAGCGGGCCCAGAGTGCATCATACGGTGAAACCACGGAGATAGTGCGCGAGGTAAAAGTAGTGACTTCTTCATCAGCGTCGTCGAATACGAATTCTCAAGGGAAGATCAAACCAGGAGACTCTACTACTACTTCTACTAGTACTTCTAGTACCAAACGCCCAGCAGACCTCTCCTCGTCTGGGTCTAGAAAAACCACTACGTTCCTCGTTCCCGCTTCTCCAGTCAGTGCACCTGCACGAAGAGCATCACTAGTTGCATCAGGACATCCTACTACTAGTAGATTCCGACAATCTGGCGTGCAAAATCATGCTGATGCATTAGTGAGAAGAATCACGTCTCACGCGGAAAAACTACAATCTATGACCCCACGTGGTCTGGGTAGGGAGCTGCAGAGCTGCTTCAATGTCACAATTCCATCACCTATGGTCAGACCGTCAGTCGGCTTCTCATGATAAGACTATGTCTGTTGGATAGTTGGATTGTGTTGATAGCATTAATTTCGTCATGTGGTCGATAGTTGTCCGTTGTAATTCATAAACTCGTCATCGAACTACTTCATCATGTGTGCATAGCATTAGCGATTTTTCTGATGATAGACCAAATTTAGTAAATCTGAACTCTGTGCAGAAAATGAAAAGACATGTCATGCTTAATGACGCATTTGATTTTTCGTAAGATTCCGTCACAAGAAGATTCTCGCAACATCATAACGTACCTCACTCGTCAGTACTAGATTCCAACACTTATATCAGTTTGCTATTTTTGTGTGTAATTCGGATTTCGGAAAAGAATCAAAGAAGACCTGCTGCTTAGAATAAGTTTTGGCACCTCGATCATCATTTTCATGTTCATACGATACACATCATGCGAATATACCACTGCAAGGCTCGAAGCCAAAATTTTGATTTCTCATTTGGAACTCCCTGTACAGTGACCACCGGTTTGCACAGATAACCGTATGTGAAATGAGTGTCAGAATTAAGGCCACAAGAAATCTCCCATTTTCAGAAGCATCTTGGTCCCGTTTTTAGAGGGGAAACGGGGCCCAGGATGCTGCTGAAGATGGATTCTTCTTAGTTCTAACAGAAACATCGCAAACAGTAGAACGAATCAACATAGAAAACCAGGGCAGCAGCATTGGAAGCGCTGATTAATACCTACGTCGAGCTGTTCGCGCCATTTCTTGAGAACGTTGTCATTGATGTTCTAAAGGTTTTTTCTCCCTTGCATCTCCCAAAGAAATCCAATTCCGTATTGGCGTGCAGTATCACAACTACACGATGATCAAGTACAGAAGATCGATATGCTTAAATTCGCGGTTCTTGTAACAGCGAACACGTAATTTTTTTCAGGCTAATTAATATCAACCTATACGCTCACCCCTTCACAGGTGAGCCAACTCCTATCCTATCCTATCCTATCCTATCAACGAAAGACAATCTTCACAATCTCGTATTTATTCTATCTCAACACACGACCACCATCCAGCTAATAATGAGGATGACAAGAAGATCCTCTTCTGTCTTCAGAGGCGTTCTCTTCGCACTGCTGGGAACCTTCCAGAGCACATATGACACCGCAGGGCTATTTGGTGACCTGACTGATGCTCAGCTCCGCGAAGATCCTGGGTGGGAAAGGAGTACTACCAGACTGCGAAAAAGTGCTGGAATATCAATTTCGAAGAAAGCTGCAGCGTCAAGGCTGAGCACAAGCGGACCCCTAATATTCGCAGAAGCAAGACCACATCAAAGAAGCCAACCCAACGATCCTTTGCGCATGTTTCGATGTGATGCGTGTCAAATAGGGCTTACTCGATTGAAAGACGACGTCCAATTTCTGATACAGAAGGAAAGAGCGTGGACAAAAAAAGATCTCTTCAAGCGCATCGACATGCTATGCCAGGACCCAGCTATGAACGAACAATACGGGAGAGCACAGTATAATCTAGGAATTCGTTCTTACTGCTCGTGTAGGTTAGTATGTTGTAAGTTACTTAGTAGTTACAAGTACTACTGGTGCTCGACGTTGACTTTATTCAGGTCACCCAATCATCCTCGGAGTTGAGCCAGGTGCCGGCGGGCTCGATGTGCAGGCTTCACAACCTAACCCAACCTTTACTGGGTTGCTAAGTTGTAAGCAAAAGCAACCTCCACATTTGGCTCTTTTCTTCTCGTTCAAAATCAATTTTTTTCCTTTTCGTTGAGTTATTGTTATTGAAAATGATTGACTTGGCTCTAATGATATATTTTTTTGTTTAAAGAAATAGAAAGATCTTGGTCTTCTTCGGTTCAAAACATTATTCAAAATGATAATTCTAGATTTTCATTTCACAGTAAAACTACTTCCAGGTGTGCAGATTTTTTAAAGGATCGACGCATGGACATCGCACGAAAGATACGCGATATCCAGAATCCGGATAGTGATTACTTCGAGGAATCCTTGCCATCACCGAAAGAAACCTGTGTGGAATGGAACGAGTGCATCCCAGGTCAAAAAACATTGAATTACGATGTTGAGAACATTGTGAATTATCTATATAGAGACTCCGTCTGTTGAATGGGCGCGAATCTAATTTCATAGAAGTAATTTATGGATTGATAAAAAGTACTTATAATATAGATTTCGGTTCGAAACGCTAGGCTTGTGATCAAGACGAGGTTTCTGCGAAATTGTTGTGCTCAGTCAGTACTTAGATGATTCTAAGTGGACGAGGATATCAACTAGTACAGAGACCTTCTAGTATTTGGACGAAAATGATAATCTTGTTCTTGACTACACTATGGAATATTACCTGGCAAGCTCTAATCCACCGAAGTGCTGAACGAAATGCCGGAGGCTCAGCCAGGGGAACAAAGTCGATAACGCTGGTCCACACGCAAATGCGCCTCCCCGTGCTTACCCCACTACACATTCCCAGTTTTTTCGCGCATATTCAAAATGAAAAGTGATCATCTTGTGCTCAGAGTTTTGTGAAGGCTTTGTTGCCTCAGCATGATATGCAGGCTTACAATGAGAAATAACGCAAGTATTAATTGCAATGTCAGGCAGTCAGACTGGTTCGTGATGATTAATCCGTTTCACAGTTAACAAATGAGGAAGATCACGATGCTGTTCAAGCAAAGAAAAATGATCCATTTTATTTTTGAGTTCCAGTTCCACTTCCACTACGAGGCGAGACCGCGTATCAAGGAATCTATTAAGGGCGTAGTTCTGGAACTAGTTTTGTGCTTTTCTGGAATCTTATCTATGCAGCTGGTTCCAGAAAAAAAGCCAACCCTTTTAGTTGCTGACACGACCCACAGGCTCTCAGGATTCATCTCCACAGGCTTTCAGACAAGTAGAAGCCCAAAGTCGCAGTAGATTTTGTCCCAACGAAACCCTGTAAACCCTATGTAAGTAGGCATACGTATGGTTGAAGAGGATTCAAATCTACGTGTAAGTATGATCTTGTCGTAGTACAACTACTGCTAATAAAAATTGAAAATTTTTCTTCTAATTCTCTATAATTTGTTCTCTTTCTGTTTCCTTCCAAGGAATCCTTTTTCCATAGTACTTAACTTTTTCAACCTCGTTTATAATCACTAAGCTTATTGCAGGGGTTAGTATCCTAAACGACCTTTAATCTAGTCCTCTCATCATTAATATTGCAGACAACAAAATGACGACAGGAGGTCAGGAAAAGGAGAAGGTCAAGCGGTCGTTTGACTACAGTCGATTTAACAACATCGACATATCGGATGATGAGGAGACCTTCCATCCGAACATCGAAAAAAACTTCAACATCAAAATTAACAAGCAAGTTCGGGATCGGAAGGTATATTATTGTTGTACTATAAGAACTTCTGTAAAAATATTATATTTTGGTTTTTTGTTTCCTAGTTAGGTGTGCTCCACCGATATTATATTAGGATTATTTCTATGTTGATTCCTGAAACAGTTTGTTACTACTTACGACTACTCGTCTTGAAAATACTAATAATTGTGCCTATAATTATATATTACCTTTATTGTTTGAGTTTGGTAGAGCAGAGTGCAGGGGGTACTATTTTTACGATATTACTTGGTACTATTTTTACGATACTTACTATATCAACAGGACAACCTTCAAGTCCAACATGGAACCACCTTCCAACAACGACAACCATCCACCTTCCTCTCAGATAAACGAAATGGATGAAGAGAAGGAGAAGCTCAAGGAAAAGTCAGATCCTAAGAGCAAAAAGCGACTAGAGGAGCTTGAGAAAAAACAAATATGGCACGCAGGGAACATGTTTGAAGTGAAACATGAAAAAACACAGATAGGTACTCTTGTCCTTCATTTTGTTTTGGAGAGGCCTTGTCCTAATCCTTGTCGTCTTGAAAAGTAGTAGAAGTAGCGTGTATCCTCGAAATAATCACTGGCAGAATTCAGTATTCGAAAAACCATTACGCTATTAATTAATTTTTTTTGCATTCTTTCTGTAAGAAATACCACCACCAAAAACAAAAACAGGTACTTACGGTTCCTCCGATCCTAAGAAAGACATCCTACCTGGCAAAGAGGAAGGTGTAAACAGCACTGACGACATAGAAAAGTACATGAACTGGAAGACGGACCATCAGGAGCTCTTAGACGAATTCGTTGCAGCAGGAGGAAACATGACTAGGACACAACAGCTGTTGGAGAAAAAAGGAGATCTTTTAGTGGATCTACCACATGCGCAAACGTAACATTTTCTAAGGCTTCCTAGGCTGTGAACTAACGTTTGTTTTTAATAGAGGTATCAGCATACAACAGAGTGTATCAGTGTGTAGTGACGATGTCCCTATCGGTATTCCTATTTTGTTTTAAGGACAGCACTAGCACAAGATTACTATACAGTTATTAAATGTTAATTATACTTACGACTACATCGACACATCAATCATATTCACCATATTGATCTTCAAATTCAGGTACCTCTTACTCACCTGCCTCGAATACGAAATGGCTGGGAATAGGAAAAAAATGTATCAGTGTGCGCAACAAAGTCAACTGTTGACGCATATAAAAGAGCTAGCTAAAAGTTTTGGGAGACCGCCAAGGGATATAGTAACAAGGTGGTTCGATAAGATTGCTGATAACGACGACGCCAAAAAAATATGGGAGAACGACGTAGATGGCTTTGCGGAGAAAGTACTTATTTATTCTTACTTACACCTAGACCACAACGGTTTATTTTTGTTTCCTAGAAGAGTGACCATGATGGGGCTTCAACATACTGCAATCGCATTTGCTGGAACCGCTTTAGGGCTCGGGGACACATTCATCTAGGTCTCTTTTCTAAATGTAGGACAACCTGAGTACTAGCCTTGTAAAGACTCCTAAAAAATGTCCTCACTCTTACACCTTCAACTACAGGTTAAGGCCCGAGCCATAGAGAAAAAGAAGGAGCAGGAGGAAGAAGCGAAGCGGAAGAAGGAAGCTGAAACAAATTATGTAGCAGAACACTACTGGAAGAGAAAAGAGGAGGTCGACGAAGACGACGAGGACGAAGAACGAGGTGAAGCAGTTCCTCTCGTGCAGGCAATGAAGCAAATGACAAAAGAGGAACGACTAAAAATGGCGCCAGGCGGGATCGACCCATTAGAAGTCTTCGAAAGTACTACTATTTTATGACTATTATAGTTCTTAGGATGATGACTACCAGTATCACGCATTAGCAATGTTGTATACCTGACTCTCCATCTCCATCATACTACCAGTATCACGCATTGGTAATGTTGTATACCTGACTCTCCATCATCAAGAACATAAACCTCACTCTTCCTACTTTACCACCTTCACGTTCTTCAAAAACTTGCAAAACTTCCACCTTCACCATCACCTTCTTCAAAAACATTAACACCTCAGACTTACCAGCCGAAATGCGAGAGTGTTTTGAGAGTCAAGAGGTCGGACGGTTAGTGGAATTGCAGAAAACAATGGACCCTCGTATCTTTAATCCGGCGTTGATGCAGTGTATACAAGCGGGGTTGTGGCATCAACCAGATATGGACGATGATGAAGAGGAAGTGAATGGGGAAAACGATGAAGAAGTTGAAGAGTAACTGCTTGCCGACCCTCCTCCTTCTTCTAAAGGTCGGTGAACAAATCAGTAACGACCCATAATATCTTCACACTTATCGTCGACGTCATTCATCCTCATACTGATACTTATCCATCCTAGCACATCCTCTGAATTTCAAAGTGAACTTGGGAAAAGGAAATCAAAGGGAAATTCTTGATGTTGCTCCCTGATAATGATTACTCCTCTATTTGACGAATCAATGTACGAGGACTGACCTCAGCGGCAAAGACTGAAAAACTGTAACCTCCTCTCTCTCAGATGTACAACTTGTTGTGGCGCCCACAAAGACAATTTTCCCACAACGACGTCATTTTGCTCACACCATATCACTGGAAAAGCATACTGCTCATATCACTATGGATACTTCTGTTATATATCACTGGATGCTTTGATAACAGAAGTATCACTGTAAAAGTGATACTCACCATCAAATAGACAACGTGCAGGAGGAGCTTCCTGAGAGCTGCAGGTCCAGTGTCCACTCCATGAGTTAAGCTGCTAAGTGCATCCACTTGTACTAAGTGCATCCACTTGTACTTCACGGAATTTCGACAAGAAAACTAGATCTTAACCCCTGGAGTGGGTACATTCATTCATTCATTCAATCGTTTAACGATCCTACGGCTCAACAGATCTTCATTTTCAAGAATAAATGAGAAATACCGATCGAGTTCTTCATTCTGACAGATCAAATTCAAAAATTGAAACAAGGATCACACTGACTCCTGTAGATGACCACTGCAAATCTCCTTTGTCATAGAAGAAAAAAAAAAACAGGACAAAGGTAATTGTGAAAGCTTAAATAGAGGGAAATAAGTTTTTGAACTTACACCACCTGACTTTTTCTTTTTGGATTTACAACAATATCTTTTGGAACAAACTTGATTGGAACCAGCAAATCTTGTTATTTCATTCTTTCTATTCACTCCACTATCACTAACCCGACTACCTACACAACTTCTCGCTTACGACTCTCGTACTTATCACTATCACCTACAACTTGTTGTTACACTAGGTAATTGTGAAAGCTTATAGAGGGAAATAAGTTTTTGAACTTACACCACCTGACTTTTTCTTTTTGGATTTACAACAATATCTTTTGGAACAAACTTGATTGGAACCAGCAAATCTTGTTATTTCATTCTTTCTATTCACTCCACTATCACTAACCCGACTACCTACACAACTTCTCGCTTACGACTCTCGTACTTATCACTATCACCTACAACTTGTTGTTACACTAGGTAATTGTGAAAGCTTATAGAGGGAAATAAGTTTTTGAACTTACACCACCTGACTTTTTCTTTTTGGATTTACAACAATATCTTTTGGAACAAACTTGATTGGAACCAGCAAATCTTGTTATTTCATTCTTTCTATTCACTCCACTATCACTAACCCGACTACCTACACAACTTCTCGCTTACGACTCTCGTACTTATCACTATCACCTACAACTTGTTGTTACACTAGGTAATTGTGAAAGCTTATAGAGGGAAATAAGTTTTTGAACTTACACCACCTGACTTTTTCTTTTTGGATTTACAACAATATCTTTTGGAACAAACTTGATTGGAACCAGCAAATCTTGTTATTTCATTCTTTCTATTCACTCCACTATCACTAACCCGACTACCTACACAACTTCTCGCTTACGACTCTCGTACTTATCACTATCACCTACAACTTGTTGTTACACTAGGTAATTGTGAAAGCTTATAGAGGGAAATAAGTTTTTGAACTTACACCACCTGACTTTTTCTTTTTGGATTTACAACAATATCTTTTGGAACAAACTTGATTGGAACCAGCAAATCTTGTTATTTCATTCTTTCTATTCACTCCACTATCACTAACCCGACTACCTACACAACTTCTCGCTTACGACTCTCGTACTTATCACTATCACCTACAACTTGTTGTTACACTAGGTAATTGTGAAAGCTTATAGAGGGAAATAAGTTTTTGAACTTACACCACCTGACTTTTTCTTTTTGGATTTACAACAATATCTTTTGGAACAAACTTGATTGGAACCAGCAAATCTTGTTATTTCATTCTTTCTATTCACTCCACTATCACTAACCCGACTACCTACACAACTTCTCGCTTACGACTCTCGTACTTATCACTATCACCTACAACTTGTTGTTACACTAGGTAATTGTGAAAGCTTATAGAGGGAAATAAGTTTTTGAACTTACACCACCTGACTTTTTCTTTTTGGATTTACAACAATATCTTTTGGAACAAACTTGATTGGAACCAGCAAATCTTGTTATTTCATTCTTTCTATTCACTCCACTATCACTAACCCGACTACCTACACAACTTCTCGCTTACGACTCTCGTACTTATCACTATCACCTACAACTTGTTGTTATACTAGGTAATTGTGAAAGCTTATAGAGGGAAATAAGTTTTTGAACTTACACCACCTGACTTTTTCTTTTTGGATTTACAACAATATCTTTTGGAACAAACTTGATTGGAACCAGCAAATCTTGTTATTTCATTCTTTCTATTCACTCCACTATCACTAACCCGACTACCTACACAACTTCTCGCTTACGACTCTCGTACTTATCACTATCACCTACAACTTGTTGTTATACTAGGTAATTGTGAAAGCTTGAATAGAGGGAAATAAGTTTTTGAACTTACACCACCTGACTTTTTGGATTTACAACAATATCTTTTGGAACAAACTTGATTGGATCCAGCAAATCTTGTTATTTCATTCTTTCTATTTACTATTTTTACTCCACTATCAATAACGCGGCGACTACCCAAGTACAAAGACTAGAACTACACAAAGACTAGGAAACAGAAAAAAGATGTCAACATCTTCCCGTATCCTGAACTCTTCGTGCCTAGGCCTACTGAAAGTAGGACCAGGACCACGTCTTGCAGCTCTTATGGCCGCTGCACCTGCCTTGATTGACGCTGCTGGCTTCCTCTCTGGGTCTTCTTTCTCAGGAGGTGCTTCTGTCTCTCCTTCCTCAGGAGGTGGTGTGTCTTTGGATCCACCACAAGAAAGTGAGGAGGATAAAAACAAACGTCGTGGGGAACGTAAGGACGAACTCCGCAAGCTGGTCCTCTCTGCTCTCGAGTTTAACAACGTGACTGTCAAGCAAGGAAGAGAATTTGACCCAATTCCAAAAAATCCGCATGGAACTGTCGCTGATGATAAGTTCACGCTGCCGACTCCCTGGGTCTCTACGTATCCTCGCGACGCGAAGGACACGAGAGCTTGGATGGTTCCCTATGGCATCTTCACTCTGCAAACAATCGAGGGCTTTAATCTTGAAGGAGATCATGAAAAATTGCAAATCTTTCTGCGCCTGACTGATGAACAAAAATCTCTGCCCCTGGCTAAGAAACAAGAGCCTGAGTTCTGGAAGACACTGCTGAGAGATGCGGCCATTCCTCAATCTCAGGGAGATGATGATGCAGCAGGAGCAAAAAAGAGTGGAGAAGAAGGGTCTGGCTCTGCGCTCGTGGAGGTCATCAAGAATGTAAAATACAACGGCAAAGACGTCCACGACGTTTTGGACCTACCCATCCATGTCATGGATACTTTAAAAGCTGGCATTGGCCACAAATTGCTGGATTCGGCTAAATTTGCATCTACTAGAGAAGATGATGAACACTGGCAGAAGGTGTTTTCGATTTTGCGTCGCTTTCCTGAAATGGCGAATTTCTCGGCGAATGGCACAAGGTACACGGCCTTGATGCAAGCCGCGACGCAGCACAACTTTGAAGCTGTCAAAAGTTTGGTGAACACTTACCACGCTTCTAAAGAGACGGTGATAACGACGAAGGTGTCGCCGATGAAACCCGGTCTCGTCTCTCACTCTCTCCGCAGTCTCGCTAATAAATTGTCGCCAAAAGTCCGCAGCTTTCTCTTTCCCGAGGATCACGTCAAATTGACCTTCGACAGCTCTTATGACGGTGTGAACAGAGGAGTATCGGTACCATTGGGTAAAGAAGTCGCACAGGCTTTAGCAGGAGGCTGTTCTCAAGGCCGCCCCGGGCCGCCCGTTGCTGAGTTGCTCAAGATCGAAGTCCAAACCTTGCAGGAACTACTCGCGGCTGCGCTCAGCGAGCCTTCGGTCAAGATTCTGCATCCTACAACCAATGTGGCTCTAGAGAAAACGGAATACATCGACCTGTGCGAGGTTCTGGATACAACTAGCAATGCCCGACCCGTAGTTGTTGTACAACGTCAAGATGATCAAGAACAACCACAAAGTGCTACAACGACTCCGACTCCACAAAAATTAACTACTCCGAAGAAGCTGTTGTACATTCTCGTTGTAGAGGGTTATGACGATAAGATTTTGCGGGACTTGCGCAACAAGCCGTACGATTCCGTGACGCCGAGCACAGAGGTTGGGAACGACGACAACATTATGGGAAATATCACTAGCAATAACTTACGCTTGACGCCTCGCTGGAACGCTCAAGGCAGCCGCTGCAGCAATAAAGGCGCTCGTGGTGGTAGGGGAGGAGGATCCGGTGCTCCTGTTCCTCCTGCTGAAGGAGTAGATCAATCACAAGAAGCTGCAGGAGCAGCAGTCCCACAGAAAGATGAAGATGGAGAACAAAAATACGTGACTGAAGAAACCCATTTGCAAAACCTAGAGACGATGGGTGTTGTGGTCACGATGAAAGGAAACGGTGAGAGCTCTGACCCCTTCTATACACAACACGAACAGAAGGGGTCTATCGTCTATGAGGCTGAAGACGCAGTTTACTTGCCGATGTATGCAGAAGCGCTGCGAAAGCTTTTCCCAAGACTGGCAGACTTTGGGTCAACAGAAGAAGAAGCCGAAGCGATTTTTGAAGACGCCAGACAGCGCTTAGGAAAAGAGAACTCCGAGATCGAGGAGATCTTTAATACTCGAGCCAATGGAATAACTAAGGGTCGTAAGAATCTGGCGATGATTCCAAAGAAAACTTGGATCCGTTCTCTGAAAGACATTGTGGAGAAATTGCATCAAGCAGTTGTGCGGGACCACGCTAAGGGAGACGATGTGAGCGAGAAGAATCGTGTGCAGGTCATCTTTAACGTCGAGTCCAGTGGGGACCTGGCGCAGCCCTACAAGTTTTCAGACATCGCCACGGTGATTACGTTCGGGATGACCTTTCAAATTGGTAACCTGGCTTTGAAACGCCTTCTAATGCGATGGCAATCTACTGCAGCGACAGCTGTCGACGAGCTTACCGCATTGGGCCCGAATCCCTTTATTCTCAGTAACGAAAAAGGTGACGGAAGGATCCTCTTACAAAGTGAAATGACATCTGCCAAGTCCGCCACAACACAACAGTTAATCGCGGACAACCGTGCAATGCTGAGCGGTGTGATGCCCCTGCTCGGTGCCATGTTCAGCGATCCAGAACTTTCCGCTTGGGAAGCGCAACCGATGCACAACGCCGTCATTGTCGGCGTGAACGAGAAATTTTTACCTGGGAGTACACGACCCGCGCCTTATCATCTGAAGATCATTTCGAGTGCTTACATCATCCGTGAAAATGCTGAGGGACACCGTGTTGGGCCGAACGTAGTCGAGCCTAACACTGCTCAACAACAACAACAAAAGTCCGACAACGCCATTGCGGATCCTTTCAAAAAACTCGGTGAAATCTACAAAAACAGCGAGAAGCATCCTGCCCATGTCGTGTTATTCTACAACGATTATCCACTCAAGTTAAGGCTCAAGAACAAGAATTTAATTGTTACAATTCATTTCTACAAGTGTAAGCAAGTGATTCTGAATCTGAAGGAGTAGATTTCATTCTCCCTGTTGTAGTTTATTGATCCATCTTAGGACGACTGGGAGAAATGGGGGCAAGAGCTTCAAAAAGAATAATAAAAATGAACAATGATTTTAAATTGGGCTCTAATGAAAGTGAATGCAGATGAAGCACCCTCAGCAACCGCAAAAAGTTCAGGGTTTGGTCCGAAACCGGGTCAATTTCTTGCAGCCATGACGCACTTTGCGGACATGAAGCGACTCCGCTGGGCCTCTTTCGCTCAGTTGCGCACCTTTTTCGAAGCCCTGTTATCCGAAGAAGAATTCCAAGACTGGGAAAAACGGAGAGTGGACAAGTACCGAAAGGCTGGCATGCCGTATGATCGACTCTATCCTGAAGACCAGGTTGAAGGGCATGTCGATGCTGGCATTTGTCAAGCTGGGGGAGCACGACGATTGCAGAAGAAGGGCCTTTAAGAGTCCTACTAACTAAGGCCCTTAGGCTGGAAGGCCCTTAAGCTGTAGAACGAGACGCTGACAAGGAGAAGAAAACGTTTTCACTTCTACAGCCTAGAAGGGTCGTGATATTTAACTACTAAGTTGCTGGATGCTGCTATTAGAGAAACAGACCGCAGACGATCATGCTATCTGAAGCCCACTTACAAAAATTACATATTTCTACAACATTTCAAACGACAGAAACAAAATTATTTTCCTTTTGTTTTCTTCGTTAGGTCTAGGTGGATCCACCACGGAGCGCTGACATTATTTGTTGTCTGTCTGTTTCGTAGTATTATACTCCATGATTATCAGTAATTGTGATTATTTGGGTCGTGCCCTTAATGGGTAGATTGCTACTAAAAATTCTATTATAATTGAAGGCGTCCTCATCAAGCCTCTCTTGTCTCTACGAGAGTCTCCTCTCTCTACAAGAGTTGCTGCAGGACGAGAAGACGTACTAATGTTCATCATCATGGTGCCGAATAGATTCAACAAGTCATCATATATGTAGAAAAGTGGTGACTTGGTCTTACTTCATGCGAAGACAAGTGTACTACTAACTATGTTGTATTCATTCTTCATCCCAGACATGATGAGGTGGTATGCAGCGAGGTAAGACGAAGAGCGAATGAGACTTTTTAATAGACAAGCGGAGCTAGTCTAACCTTGAAAGTCGCACTAAGGTTTCCTGGTGGGTGATTTGACAAGAAGACGCGCGAAGCGCCTGATGCAGAAGCTCAGGACGTAGTAGCTTCGAGAAAGAGGTAGAAACACAGTCATACATAGTGGGAACACAAGCTAGACATAGAGGTTTGTGTGAGACTTGGTCTAAACACACGAAAACCGACTTCATATTCAGGAAGTTCAGCACGTAAGCTACTGTCGTGAGAAAAGTAGACTACGACTACGCGATAAGTAAGTTTTTTCCAAGATCTTCAAAGATGGTTCCTTGACAAGGGAGGTGAGAAAAAAGAGGAAATGCGCAAAGCAGCAAGTGGGTGGGTCAAAAAAGGAAGAAGGTAAAACAGGGGAGAAAGACGCCGTTAGGGGAGAAAAAGGCGAGATCTTCCGAGATATTTCTTCTATTTGAGAAAACGAAAAATAGCTGAAAACAAAAAGCTTTCTAGAAGAGCAGCAAAAGGAGGAGCTCTTTGAAAGATAGATGTGTCTTCAGTGTTTCTCAGTTGTCGTCCGTAGATGCACTAGTTTCTGAAAAGAGGCTCCGAGTCTCTATTTCTGAAAGTGAAGTAGAGAGTGTATGGGAAAGAGGAGAGAGAGCAGTTTTTGAAGAAGAATCACATAGGAAACGTTAGAAATCTAGTAGACGAGAAGAGAAGAAGGAGAAAGTCGTGCAACTGAGACCCAGCTTGAAAGAAGAGCATTAGACATGATTTCATTCAAAAAATCGAATTCACCTCTTATGGAGGGGATCGAAAAGTCGAGTTCAGCTCTTTCCTTCGACAAATCGTATCTTGGCGATTTGATCGAGCTTCAGGCTGTTCTTGAGTCTTCACCCCTGCTGCCGTGCCCGATGGGAGGAGGAAAACAGAGTGGCGTGAACGCGATCAAAGGGAAGCAGGCTCCGTACAGGAGCAGAAGCAGACAGTCTCAGCTCGAGGTGATACCACGAAGTTAGTGAGAATGACGCTGGCGGAGCGACAGGAAAATTCTGCCTGTCCGGGTAACCCCCTCCTTTGCGCCTGTGTTTGGAATCGGCCGGTTCGTAGGCAATTAGGGCATCGTGGTAGAAGAAGGCTGATGGACTCCACCCATCGCCGTCAGGCACACCGGACATCACTGGGGTCACCCTTTCGGCGATCTTGGCCGAAAAAAAAAGTAGGGCCTCTAAATCTGAATCTGTCACAATATTCGGGATTCTTGTTTACTCGAAGATTCATTTTGATTAACTAGGAGATATTTTTATTTTCAAAAATTCTACTGTGGTTCTTGGACGATAATTTTGTAGCGAGAACTATTTCCATCATTTTCATCCCTCACCTCGTCTTCTGCAGATCTCATTTCAGAACGTGTAACCAGATGAGACGATTTTTATGATTATGCCTGTACCTATATATAATCTTTTACCTACTATGATCCTTTCTTTTTTTTTCCTAGTTAGCTTGGCTCCACCTGTATTATGCCTATTTTGTCAGGAGTACTACTAGCATAGTCATATCATCTTCATCACATTACGGAAAACGTAAACGTTTGAGCATCGCATAACGATCTATTTTCGTCTGGAAAAGTTGAAACTGATTTTTTGTCATCGCGGAAACTCACTAAATTTTTTTGGCACTGAGTGACTTCTAATGGGATTCTTCACAAGAAGAACTCTGTCATATCAACATAAGTTTACAAAAGTCGTCTCTACTCTTCTACCGCCAGACATTGTGCTTCAGAAAGTTCGACAAGAACAAACAACTTATCTATTTTAGGCGATAATTCACGAATTTCACAAGCAAATATCATGCAGTTGTAGACTGAAAAAATCACACAGAGAGGTGTAGAGGGTCAGTCAAGGCTGAAGATGTTCATCTATCGGGCTGAGGGAGTTCAGAGAAGGAGAAGTAGAAGCGGTTGTAATAAATTATCGGTGATGCACGACTGTCTCCCACGCCCAGACTGTCTGGAGCCATGGCCCCTGAAATCAAGCCAGAAATCTTCTAATTCTAAGAGCTATGAGCTGAAGTTGATCTGAGTTCAAGAACATTGCCACTAGCTACAAGAACATGGCGTCGCTTTCGTTCCTATCACTCTTGCGAGTGTTATATCACTACAAGAACCTTGTCAATCGGTTTGTCGGGCTTCATGCTATCGTCCTACACCTAGCGCTTCAGATTGACGGTACGAACGCGGCAACTAAAAGCGACATACCTGAACAAGACAGACCAGATGAGAGCGACGTATCTCCATCTGTTCGGCAAATCTTACCTCGTCTATTACGGTGCGGCGATCCAGTCTGTCTCAGCACTGTCTCGAACGATGTTGAGGTTCCTATTAAGCGTCGGATCATAGAGGTGTTCCTGTTAGTGCCGTCTGTTATGGCTCTCCTAAGGGAGCCAGCCATAAACGGAACAAACGAACACCAACAGCCTAACTCTAATCCTACGAGAACGGAAGATGCTAGTCCGCTTTTTCCTGCAGATCGCCACTTTCGAATACTACGCGAGACACTGAGTGTTCCAAATTATGTCCTCCACAAGAACATAGACATCTATTTAAGTATTTCCAGCGTGATTTCTTTCCACAACATTTATTTTTACCGTAGTGAGATATTTTTTTGTTTGAAGAGATAGAAAGATCTTGGTCTTCTTCGGTTCCAAACATTTGTTACCGTAGGCATTTATGACTGACAATTGGAGACCTAGCAAAGGCGTCCTCTCCTATCCTATTGCAACGAGATGACATACTACTTAGAAAAAATATTAAGTGACCTGATACACAAGAGATGAGAACTCCTCCTTGGATAGAATCTCTCCCAAAAATGATCTTAGGACGATGCTCATTCTCGCACTCATCAAGTGAATCACATGATAGACATGAACACTCCCATTTTCCTTAGTAGGATATTAATGTCGACACAGATGAGCGCACGATAACGATTATGTTGCCTCTTTCATACCTGCAGAACTCTTCTCGAGCAATTGCGGAAGCAAGGAGCAAACACAGCACGTAGTCCTCTGATTCTTAATGACACCTTGATCAACCTAAGCTTTCCAGATGAGCATTCTGAACAAACACAGATAAAACAGCAGAACATGCAGAGAAATAGTGGAGGACATAGTGGGGAGCCACTGGAGGTGGAAGTGGTCGAGCCTTTCCGTCGAGAATATCAGTGTCTCTTTTCTCAGTTGTCTAGGAGTGGAACACAGCAAGATAATGTTAAAAGAGATCATTCAGAAGAGCTAGTTGTACTAGAGAATGCTGGCACGAGGAGTCGTGACTCCACGGAATCCCCAAGTGATCAGCAGAAACGGACGTTTTGTCCTACATTCGATGACGCCCCAGTGCCTCTTGCGAACGTGCCTGTCCCGAAACGCAGCCGCCGATTATTCAACGATTGCGCTACTTTTCGTGACCGGAGCACAACAAGTACATCAGATGTCTCTTTGACGAGGATAGAAGCCAGCAAGAGAGTCCAGAGAGCGCACCGACGAAAACAGAAAAATGGAGATGGAATTCAGGCCGTGTCAGTACCAAATGCTATGGCTGAAGCTGCTCATTTTTGAAGTGACTAAGTCGCCCTGGGCGACTTAGTAGCTACTAGTGCTAAAACTAGTACTAGTGACTAAGTCGCCCTGGGCGACTTAGTAGCTACTAGTGCTAAAACTAGTACTAGTGACTAAGTCGCCCTAGGCGACTTAGTAGCTACTAGTGCTAAAACTAGTACTAGTGACTAAGTCTAGGCGACTTGGTAGCTACTAGTGCTAAAACTAGTACTAGTGACTAAGTCTAGGCGACTTAGTAGCTACTAGTGCTAAATAAACTGGTACTTAGTACTCTTACAATCACAACTTGGAGGACGAGAGCATCACAAAAGCCATCCCTTCTTGAAATTCCCCATTATAGTTTCTGGCCTTTACCCCCCTTCACCCCGTTAATTGCAGGCCACTTTCTATCCAACCGCGAAGACGACTGACCACCTCAACGGACAACTTCTACGAACACGAGTCTTCGCAGGTGTTTAACAACGAGGAGCATGGTTTAACGAGCTTTGCCTCCACAGCAGTCCAAGTCCTTCGCAGTTTGTTTTGCATCACATCCAGTCAAGTATGTTGGAGTTCTCCTAGTAGGCGAGATAAGCTGAATCCAAGGAAGATTCAGATATTCCGATGTCGAGATCAAGGACACGTCACCGTCGCCTCTCCTCCTGGTACACCAATATCAACGAAAATAGCGGAATCCGATCCAAATGAAACAGGTGGTTCTGAAGAACCTGGCCGAAGCACAAGGGAGGAAAAGCAAAAGCCTGAGGGAGCAGAACAAGGTGGAAGTATGGATTCTGAGGGATCTAGTCCTAGCACCGATCTTGATGTCATTGCCCCACCGAGTTGGAACACAGACACCCTGGCCAGACTTCGAGGGTCACCACTTCCTGCTACGTTAGAAAAGACAAGTTCCCAAGAACAAGAAGTCGTGCATGTTTTTGAGGATGCTACACGGATGGACGAAAGAGTTGATTCTGCAAAAGGAGTCGTAAGCAAAAAATACAGTACGACTGCTCATACCGATCCCGTGACGGGTGCTGAAGTAAAGATGACAGTACTGGAAATTCAAGAAGAAGGAACTCCTGTCGCGGTACAACGACCGCCCAGTATGTCCAGTATAACAAAGACAAAGACTCTTCCACCACAACAACAGGTGGATAGAGATACAACACCAAAAAGAACTTCTACTAGAAGAAGCACCTTCAAATGGGGTATCGGCTTACCGTTTCTATCGTTTTCGCTTCCGGTAGAGGCGTCGATGCTATCTCTCGCCCGTGCTATTGCCGTAGCAGAACGTCAGGATGGTCACGATTTTGAAATAGTGCTTCTAGGACCACGGACTGGCGCAGTGGAGAAAATGTGGTCTTTCCCACGCGGTTGTGTTACTGGACTTATTTATGATTAAGATTAGATTTGGTTGTTGTAAATTTAAATTTTTTAGAAGTGAGTCCTGTCGTGTCAAGTAAGAAAGTTAGCTTCAGCGCGTGGAGTCAGAGGTTAGATGAATATGGTTATAGCTTTTATCCATCTTTCTCGGCACCTTGGACTCTCATGAAATACAAGGGAAATAAGGGGGTAGAGATGAGGGGGCCATGATGGGCTAAGGCTGAGTCTAATTAGAGGCAGAGCTTCGCCCAGCTGCTCTAAGTCTAGTGACGACTACTAGCATCACGCCTTTAATGGCATTGCTCTAATATTCCGGCGGTTTCTGCACGACTACCTCCACCAAGGAGAGGAGATCGGACGTGGACCAGCACAGTGTGAAGAACAACAACCAGCGCAACAAGGGGAATGAATCCCCTCCCACACGACCTACAACAACGACTCGGCATCTTTTTTGGTGTGCTGAGAAGAGTTGCAGCATCGGATCTGGAGTATCTGCAAGGCTAGCCTTTGCTTTCGACTTTCTCGCGAATGAGAGGAAAGTCGATCTGATTGCAAATTTCGACTCGGACTTGTTGTTGCAGCCTGATTTGTTTCCGTGGATGACACGTCTATATCGTGCGACGGCAGGCACGCGAACGCTCTATTCCGGATTTAAAAGTTGGTTTTTTGGCCCGCCTTTCGGGCCAAACTTGATCTTCGATCCGAAAACCTACACACAAGTCGTGCGTCACGGCATGCGCAAGAGCTGCCGTGCGAAACAAGAGCCAAGATGCACTCAGTGGGATAGTTTCGTGCTGGAAGCTTTGTTGTCATCTACACATACATCACCGGACAAGGAAGTCGCTTCTCCGAAGAAAGCTGCAGGAGTACGCCGTAAGGGACAGATGAAAGCTACACAAGAAGGAACGTCGGAGGTACAACTATTATCTTCATCCCAGAGTACTAAAGAAGTACAAGAACTAGAGACGAGGAAAATCAATGGGTGGAAAAATGCTGGTATCGGTATCAAGGCTAGGAAGCATGCACCGGCGACTCCTGTCGTCGCTAACCAGGAAAGAATAAACCGTGCGCATCAAGCGAGACTTGCGACAAGCGTCCTACAACGATCTAGAGTGCCACAAAAACGTCGACTTGTCGAAGCTGCTTCATTAGCGCGTCTGCCCCGAAGCGTCGCTGCCATGAATTTACGGCTCTCTCAACATCATCAAGCAATTTTAATGTAAATTACACTTCTATCATATAGTACTATTACACTTCTATCTGCCCGGATGAAGATGCTAGTAGTAGTTGTACTGTACACTTGTCTACAGCTTCATGAAAGGCATTTCTCAGATCTACGAACCGAATCTCTTGAATCTAGGAAAGTAGATCTGGCACTAGTAGGGCCACCACTGCGATAATTAGTTCGCTTGGTGTATGCGCTTGGGTTCGTATTTACTACACTTGTCGACTAACTTTTTCCCTGTCCACCTACCTCTAATGAACAGCATCCCAGTTTTCGGTCTATGCAAGCCATCCGAAAGCAGCGACGTCCTCCATTTGCGGACACGGACAAACAAAGACGCAGTCTTACACCTAAATAACGAAAACGCGGTTCATTTTGGTCTGGACCCGTTCAACGCTGCGATACTAGATTAAGACTGGATTTTGTTTGAGTTTACTTAAGACAGTATTACTTCTATCCAGTACCAGTATACATAGAGTGAAGACGTGCCAAATGAATTATTGGGAAATCAATCTCTTAGTAGACATGAAAGAGTCTGGGCATGATGATCATTACCATATCACACATCAGGATCACCAGCATAGCAAGGAATTTAGAATAAAGTTCAAGTCTCTAACTTCCCATCCTATCATCTTCCGAACAAGCAGACCCGGAACAACATGGTAGTAGTAGTCGAGCTAGAGCGTCCCAGATCTTCCATTGGGCAGAGGATATGTGGGCCTATGACCCACAGAAGGGTAAGGACCTTGACGACTGGACAGAGCACCTCCAATCTGTAGCTAAAATGCGAAGACTCGCGAAACCCATTCCGATTTCGTATGTTGATGTTGAGACGAACAAGTAGGTGCAAAAGACGGGAGTGGGTGTGTAGCTCGTCTGAGAAGAATGTTTTTTCAACGAACATATTGTAGAATGATAAAAACTAGACTGATGTTGGATTCTAGAGCAGCAAGCTAGACAAAAACCGTGCCAAATTGACCGAAAAAAGCGGTATGTGTGCCACTGCGCTGTACTTGCTCAGATGGCAAAAAATCTCCAGGTTCACGTCATCAAATCAAAAAAAAATTTAGCAATGCAGAAATGAAATTGCAGAGTCAAAGATCCCACACATGTCCTTTAAATGTTCATTGTCAACAAGTCGTGCAAAAATACTCCTCGAGTTTAGTAGCAAAAAAAGATCATGGCCTTCACCAAGTAGAATGCCTGGTGAGTGCAAACACTGTGATATCATTCGTAATAAAACAAACGCAAATGGTGTAGATCAAACTTCGAATCAAGAAAGACGGACGCCAAGCAAATATGAAGCAAAACGAGCCTCGTAAAACTAAAATGTTGAAAACAAAAGATCAAAGTAGAGATCTCGAGACATTTAGTTGTAAGACAATTCCGAACCGACTAACATCATCAGTTGTAAGACAACGAACAACTCCTAATTCTCTCGTCCAACCCAAAAATTATAGCAGAGGAGGTGATAGTTGAGGGGAGACAGACACGTGGTTCTCTGTCGTGTCTGCAAGTAAGAGATCGCATTTTGGATTAATATAGCTAAGAAGTGAAGAGACGGACTAGAACAAAAGTGCGATATCTTGCAAACTTTTTACCTTACAGATACTTATTTTGAAACTTGGAGGAGGTGTTCTTGCTTACGAATGTAAGCAGTTTTATGATAACGCTATTATATGATCTACGAAGAAAACGATTGAGTTTATGATACTGATACACTACTATTGGGGAACACTAATAGTAGAAAAAGCAGAAAGAAAGATATAGTAAGTAAGGTACTACCACTTGGACGGGGTGACTATTCTCGAAGAAGTTTTAAGAGGTGATAGAGATAGGAAGTACTTATTCAAGGTTATTTTTTGCTTACTCTGTAAACTAACACACGAGCTACCTAATATCATAGAAAGGTAATAAAACGGGAGTTCTCTCCTGAACTAAATACGAACCCGCACTTTCTACATCATTTAGTTTCAACTACTAGCCTTCTTCGACGGAAGAGAAGCTGAGAGACTCTGCTGCAGCACTGAGGTCTCTCTTTCTTTGAGTTGAAGAATTTCCTAGCACTAGAAGTGTTGTTTTCCGCACCCGCATCGAGATCCGGTTGATGTAGGTGGAACGAGAAGACACACGTGCAAGCGACCTCGCGGTATTTTTTCTAACAGTCTTCCATGCAACATCAACCTCGCGGCTCCTTTTGAGCTTTCTCTTAAACCTTTCTACGACAAACAAGTACTTTCTAACGACCCAAGACGACTTTTGCTTCTGTTGAACTCGAACTTCCTGGACAGAACAACTTGAAGAACTTAATTGCAAAAGATCCTTATCATTCTTGTTGCATATTGTTTTCCAGGTCACATCCGATCTAGATCTCTTCCCCTTATCTAGGTCGCTTGGTCCTGCCCTTCTTCTTCTAGTACATCAACAAACTTCTGGTACTGTGTCACACTGCATCAGCTGCATATTGATATTGATATAACTATTCATAGTTATCATAATCTTATAGGTGTTGTTGTGTTGAGAATTTCTCTCGTTGTGGATAAGATAGAAGTGATACGACTATTTGAAGAAGTAAAAAGTACTAAGGTTTTTCTTATCTTCAGCAAGCTTTTATAATTTCATTATTCGCGATGACGACGTTCCAATGGAACACCTCCGCTGAGGAGTTCAAGCCACCGAACGCTGAGGGTGCCGCGACGGATCAAGTTGTTACAACTGGTAATATTGATCGATTCATGTTGTTAGAACTGATACCATATTAAGTCGCGGACGACCAACATAAAAATGAAAATGAAAATCTTCTTACCCTCAAATTGAAAATCTTCTTACCCTCAAAATTCTTACCCTAAAAAGAATCCTCAGGAACTACAGCTAGAACCACTGACACACCAATTTTGTCCAGGTAAACCGGCTGGTTGGGGAGTGGAGCAACAAGAGCAGCATAACAAGAGTGTGTACGGAGCACCAAGTGCCGCGACCCAAGTGCAGTTTCCTGTGATGGTGCCGACAGTGACACAATACCGACCTGGTGATATGCAAAACCATGGTGTCATCCAGGCACAAGGAATTTACCACCAGCAGCAAGGCGTGACGCTTAGTGGTGTGAATTATCAGCAGTTGCAAAATTGTGTCCAGATGAACCAACAGCAGCAAGCAGGAGCTCAACAAGGTCTCCAAGCCATGAACCAGCAGCAACAACAAGCTGGTGTTCAAGTAGTACAAAATGTACCTGTCGTACAGCAACAGGGAGGTGTAGTTCAGGGTGTAGCAACAGGCTGTAGTTCAGGGTTAACAGTACAACAAGGTGCAGTAGTAGGTGCAGCAGGGGATGGCAGCATTAATATTAAAGACGCAACATACATGCTGTACAAGGATAATGCAAGTGGGGCGATCCGAGCGTGCAACAAAATGCCGCTTGACGGACAGCAGCAGCAACAGCAACAAACGACGACAAATATTTACAGCGCGGTACTACTACTTTTTCTTCTTTATAATTTAGATACTTCTTACTAGTTTGTAGGTGGTAAGGGCGCTCGCGAGCGCGACACGTGTGAGGCGGTAGGGTCACCACGCGCGAACATAATAATAATTTAATAACTAATTATTTTGTACTTCTACTAGTTTACATCACCTGGTGACCAGGACCAGTTTAAGGTCCTCTTACTCCACGACGAAGAAGATCTCAACATCTTCTCAAAAAACTCAAATCCTTATCAAACCAATCAAGAAATAGAAGATCTCGTTTACCACATCAATCTCCCAAAAAATCCCCGACTACTCCATCAAGAAAGAAGATCTCAAATTCCCAAATTCCCCGACAATTCCTCGCCTACAGACACAACAAGCCGCTTACTCTATTGCACCGGGACAGCGGATGGTGCCAAAGTCACTCGTTTCACATGTTACACAACGCTTACACGAACAAGATAAGAAGGTATAATCCAAATCTTCTGACAGATCAAATGATCAATATTGTGGAGAATGAGAAGAAGATCTACGATGAGAAGATCTACGTTGTCTACGTTGATGAATACATACAGCACTAAGTAAAACAGCAGGTTAGTTTTCACCTCCACACTCTTAGGCTTATCCCATGCAGCAATACACACTATGCACATGTCGTAAAATAGAGATCACGTTATTTGTTAATACTAGGCACAACTCGTGGTCGTGCAATAGAGATCTACAACTAGTTTCAATTTGCGACTACTCTACTTTCGGTTGTACAACTCTTTCTGCATTTACAAACCTTCCTCTCCTTGACCTCCTTCTTCAAGATAGTTTTTTTGACTTAATACTATCTACTTCAATCGAGACCTCTACGGTCACCATGAACGGTGATAACAGGGACAACAGCATGCAATCTACTTCTCCATCTGCTTCTAAACCCTAAACCCTTAATAAGCTGCTCCCTCTTCTAGGTTGCTAACGCCGAAGATCATTTTTTTGCTTAATCATACATTCAATCTACAACTTCCGCTTTTTCATATCCTTCCTAATATTCCCTCTTCTTCTAGGTCAACGGCTGCGCGGATCAACAGCAGTATGGGCACGATCAGTGGTCTTCAGGGTCTTACCAGAAAGGGCGTTGGTCTTCCGGATCTTGGGGTGGCGGTAAGCAAGGCGGCAATAATTCCTGGCAGCACAGTATTAATAACAACGGTTACTACAACAACAACGGACCACATCAAGCTGGAGGTGGCAATAGTTCCCAATACAACAATAATGGTGGCGGAGGTGCAGTATCAGGCGCTAGTAGTCGCAGCGCCTCTTGGAGGCAAAATTCTATGGACTATTGCCCTCAGCAGGCATCAAACTACAGGAATCAACAATGGGGAAGCCAATCGTCCAAAGGTGGAGGCAAGCACAGCTCACCCCAACCATCGCCGCAAACAAATTATCGCGGAAGTCAAGCCGGGGGGTCTTGGTACTAATTAAACTTCTATTTTATTTTTACCCCCTACTGTAATCTCAAAAATTCCTGATCATAGATAATACAATTCTTCGATTTCGAATGACAAAATGTTGTTCACGCGCAAGAACTCCTTCCTAGATCAAATTTGGTTGACAAAGTGTTGTACACGTGCAAGAACTTCTTCCTAGATCAAATTTGGTATTTGGCAAAAAGTGATTCTGATTTCATCTTGTGCATCTCTTCTCAATCTCACCGCAGGCACAGCAACCGCAAAGGCGCTAGTTCGACTCAGCCAGAGCCTGCTGCAGAACCCGGTAACACCACTACTACGGCAACCGAGGTTGTTGCAACAGCAGACGTGAAAGCTTCTGGTGCACCAGTAGCAGTAGAGGACTCTACAAGTCAGCAAACAACAACTGCTCCAGTAGCAGAGGAGAAAGAGAAGCGTACCTCTACCCCAGAGGTACTGGAGGAGAAGGAGATGTCTACAACGGCACCGGAAGTTGTAGAGAAGTCCCATGGTGATGTCGTCAAGACCGTCAAGACCGATGTAGTCTCCGCCAAGGTCGCAGCTGTGGAGGAGAAGAAAGCGGAGGAGAAGAAGGGCCCATCATGGGCTGACAGGGTAAAGAAGCCAGAACAAAAGGCTACTGCTGCTGCACCTACTGCTGCTACGAAAGTAGCTGTGCAACCCACGGCTGCGAACGCAATCTCTTCCTCCTCAATAAATAAACCGGCGCCTACTTCTTCTAGTGCCTCGACAGTACCTACTACTGCATCGGCGGCATCAGTGGTCGTGAAATCCACTCCTGAGGCAGCGACAAAAACCCCTGTGCCAGAGGGCGAAGCATCTCCTTCTGCAAAGAGTACAAGAACTGCCGAAAAAGAGCCGGCAGAAGATGATGAGTGGCAGGAGGTCAAGAAACCGAAGAAGAAGAATCCCAGGAGTACAGTGCTCGAAAGTACTTCTTCTATTGGTTCCTCTACTAATACAGCAGTGGCTCCTGCGTCCGCAAAGGAGACTACAGCTAGTTCCTTGAGTACAGCAACGACTCCAGCTAGTTCTAGTACTGCTCCATCTTCTGACGCCGTGACATCTTCAAAGCCTGCAGCAAAGGTGGTCGCGAAGCCGCTTCCGTGGGGTAACCTGACGCCCAACAAGGCAGGTGAGGCGAAGAAACCAGTATGGGGCACGACACAGGCTACGCATCGCACCTGCGAACCATCCTCTGATTTGACCCACAGTTCACCATCATCCTCGGACTTGGCGGAGGCTGACGGGGCTAATCATACGACAGCATCCAGCACGACGTCAACGTTGAAAACAGACGTTGTAGCCTCCGCTGCGACAGCTACGCCTACGGTTGTCGCTGAAAAAGTTGTGGTTGCGAAGCCGGTCGCTGATGCCGCAGTCGCAGTCGCTCCAGCAGCTGAGGCTGAGAAGCCGTCTCCGGAGGAGTCAGCTACTCAGGCCGCGGAGACCTCGGACAACAAGCCGGCGCCGGGTTCATGGGCAGCGCGTGCTGCCGCTGCAGCGGCTAAGCCGGTTGTACAGAGTCCGGCCGTGCCCTCTGCATCCAAGGCCTCCCCGGCTGGGAAAGGCAGCAAGAAGGGTTCCCCGGAGGAGAAGGTTGGTGACAAGGCTCGCGGCAGCGCTAAGGGCGATGCCACGCGAAAGGACGGTGGCAAGGACCAAAAGGGATCCAAAGCTCCCGTGGCATCTACGCCGGATGGCACCAGGCAGCGTACCTCCTCCCTCAGTGGAGGCAAAGGGCGTCGTAGCTCCGGTGGTAGAGGGAAAGACTCTACTGGCTCTGCTGGTGCTGGCCGTAAGAGCTCCGTCAATAGTGCTGAGCAGGATGCAGCTGCACTCTCTGCCGCAGATGGATCCGAAGCGACTGACGCAGACCCGAGTGTGAAGGCAGCTGCAAATCTCTCGGGACAAATGGAGGCACAGAGTCAGTCTTCTGCAGTACAATCTGCACAGGCGGTTCCGGATCTGCAGAAAGACTTCCCCTCCACATTGGGTGCTAGCATCTCGCCTGCTGCGCCGCGTGGCGTTTGGGGCGCACCCCCAGCAGCAGCAGCGAAACCACCTGCGGGACCATCTTCTGCTCCGGCTGCAGCAAGCGGAGTCCCTTCTTCTAAGAAGGGAACAAAAGGTCCTTCCTCTTCCAGTGAGGGAATTGCCACAACGCCGCAGCTATCATCGTCTGCTAAAACTGGTCTAGTCGCAGAGAAAGATACAACTTCATCGACCTCTACTAGTAACAAGCAAGCTACGTCAACAAGCAATGCGGACGTTGCGCCAGCCAAGAAGGCAGCAACAGATACTGCTGAAGATGAGGATGATGGCTGGACTCAGGTCCCGGCCGCACCTTCGGTACGTGTAACGCCAGCTTCGAAGCGGGCATCTAATCCCGCTCCAGTACAATCTACTAAGGCTTCTTCAGGAGGTGCTGGCGTACGAAGCAACATCTTCAGTCTCGCACAGGACGAAGACGACGAGGACGAATCTGGCACGTCTCGTGAGTCCAGCAAGAGTACGTTGGACGGCTCAACCAAGGATGCGCTAGAAGTTGCATCTGCAGTTGCTTCTGCGGAGATGAAGGGTCCTAGTGGTACAATTACTTCTAAGCCGCAGCACCATGATGTCGGCAGTGCTCCAACCGATGCGCCAGTGATGCCCTCAGAAGCGACAAGTTCTACGACCTCCGCTGTCGACCCATTAGAGCACTCAACTGACGTTGCCGCATCTGCGTCCTCTTGCGCTGAGGACGGCCAAGCTGCTGGGCCATCCGCGAATGGCGCTCTTGATGATGTCGAAGAGGATGATCAAGCTGAGGAAACAAAAACAAAAACACAAACTACATCTGATGCAGTTGTACCTGATGTAAAAACCAAGAAGAGTTCTTTTGTGACAGCCGCGCCGCCACGTGCTGGAGGATTCGCTTTTTCATCATCCGGATTCAAGGTGAGCGACTTCTTGTCCGGAAAATTAGCTGCTGAAGACCTACCCCCAGAGGTCATGACCAAGAAAAACCCCTCTAACGCTGTGAAATCACCCTCTATTGACGGAAATAAATCCTCTCTCATCGACGAAGCAGCATATTACGGCAGCCCTGATAAGTACTTTCCTATTTTTGACTTAAGTACTTTGTTCTACAATTCATCTTTCTTCATGATTTAGATCATGTAACTCTCTTCACCAAATTCTTGATCTGAATAGGTTTTCCTAACGATTCCTACCTCGATTCTCGTCATTATATTCAAAAATTAAATTTCGTATTCGTCTAAGTACAATGAAATTACCACTGTCGCTCCATCCACAACTCTATCACCAGGTTAACCACAAGCAAGGGCACTAAAGATACGCCCGATCGCAGCCCTGAGCCCTCTTCCAGCGAAAACCCCGATGACGATTCTGATGTCGAGGAAATTGACAGTACTACTATTTATTCCGATGTCGAGGAAATTGACAGTACTTAAATACTAAATTTTTAGATTCTGTAGTAGGTACGCATTTGCGTAGCAAGAACTTCATCATCAAAAAATCTGGTTCTTAGATTTTTGACTTATGACATTCTTCACAAGAGATTCTAGATGAAGAGATTTCTTGGAAAGCTAAAATTCTTCACATTCTTACCCTCACCCCCACCACCTACAGCCGCAGAGCGTCGGTATGACCCAGAGGTTTTGAAGCTTGCTGGAGCCAAGCCCTGCCCGTCTGAGATTCCAGTCTACTTGCGCGCCAGCAACAGGAATCCTAATGCGCCTCCGTCGGAGCGTATCTATGCCCTGAAATTCATGAAGCAATTCATGGTACTTATAAGATGAAGTTCTTTGATGCATTCACTTGCTTCTACTCAAGAACAAATTTGCGATGAAGATTCACGTTTTCATCTTCTGTGTTGCATATTATCGACCTTGTTTTCGATAAAAACTTAAACTTTTATTCATCCATCAAAGGACCTCCTCCTCACCTTAACAGAATAAGGCCAACTGCCTGGTTCTTATTCACCCATCAAATCACCTCCTCCTCAACAACAGAATAAGGCCAACTGCCTGGTTCTTCCTGCTGGGGTTGCTCTTCCCGTCGCGATCAGCAAAGATGCTCGCAACAGCACTGTATCTTTGGGCGCTAGTGGTGGCGGCGACGCTCAGTGGGCTCGTGGTCAGAAGCTGGCCGAACCAGTGCACAACAAGAAAAAGAGGCGCGACGATCAGGAATGGAGTCGCGCCAGTGTTCCGACACTCGCTTCCTCCGAAAACAGCTGGAAAAAGAAGCAAGCTGGAGATAGAGATGCCGATGCGGAGGTACTTAATTGAATTGTTTATAGACACTGAGGTTTCACAACTGGTTGGCCTCACGAGTAGACACTACTAGCTACATAAGAGGCACCATGACATGACATGAAACATAAAGTACTCAGTTGATATTCCCAACAACTGGAGACAATATATCCTACAAGTGGGAGAACTACGAAAGTCATTTCACCACATCACTTCTCACCACATATACAGTTAAATCTTCCCTCCTTCCACACCCACACCATCTATAATCAGGTCGAGCGCAAGATCAAGTCGATTTTGAACAAGTTGACCTTCGAGAAGTTTGATAAGCTCTATGGTGAGCTCTGCGCTCTGGGCATGACGAAGTACTCGCAACTCGAATACCTCACTCACGAGATCTTCGAGAAAGCGACAACGCAGCATCATTTCATCCAAATGTACACGAATTTGTGTAAGAAAATCACAGAAGATGCAGCGTTTGAGGATGCATGCTTGTCACAGGAAGGTACGACCTCTAGTACTTCTAGTTTGCGCTCATGTCGAGCATATATGATCCATTGATATAATCGATCGCTCCAAAAAATACCATTGATTGATTGATGTCGAGGACCATATGATCCAATTAGACCAGGATTTTGCTCGTTGCACACCGTCCCAGGGATAGCGAAGGGTGGACTTGATAAGCGCCGCCAGAGGAGGTTGTTCGTTATAGATCTCCAAAATTTGAATCTGGAGGTCCATCAGATCACCGCTCCAAAAATGATTCAAAAAATCTTCTGAACAGCCGACGGCGAGGAGCAGGAGGAGAACGCTGAGCAGCAGCAAAAGCGCAATTTCCGCAAGATGCTTCTTAGCATCTGCCAAGGCCTTTTTGAACAAGAGGAGGAAGAAATCGTCGCCGAAGACAAGGATGAAGAAACTGAGAAATACTTCGCTTACAAGCGTCGCCGGTTGGGTAACGTCAAGTTCGTGGGTGCTTTGCTGAATGCCAAGTTGCTGACGGTGAGGATTGTGCCTCACATCGCACAGGATTTGATCGAGAAACAAACGGAGTTGAGCTTGGAAGCTGTGTGTTGCTTCTTGGAAGTGATTGGCGAACAGATGGAGGTACAACTAGAGATACTATACTCTTTTCTATTTGTTCACATCAAAGTTTCTCCTTGAACAATTTGTTTGGACAGTTTTTAGAGAAATTTGAGAACAGCATGTCTCCAACTACCGGAAAGATGATCTCCCTTCACACTCCACCTCCAACTCACTATCACAGTCCGACACTACTACCAAGCAGCCAAAGAGCTGGGCGGGAACGTTTGCTCATCTTGCCGACTTGAGTAACGACAAGAAGTTCGGGTTCCGCTCAAGATCTTTGATCAAGGATCTCCTCGATCTTCGTGCCAGCGGATGGAAGAAAAACACGACTATCAGTACTAGATTTCTACTTTTTTTCTTTTCTACTACTACGCGATAAATCCCTTGATGGGTTTGTCAAAGTTAATAAACACTACAATGTTGAGTTTTCTTCGTCAAGAACACTGCTGACGAGACTACTTCTAGTGAGCAGCAAGAACTTGTATTCCTTCAACAGTCAAGAACTTGTTGTATTCCTTAATATTATCTCAATCCGTTCACAACACCACAGTGAAAGAGCCCCTCAAAGCCGGCAAGTTGGACGACGTCAACAAGGCTCTTCCCGAAGCCGACAAGCAGAAAAAGAGCAGTCGTGCCTCCAATAAACCCGAAATTATCCAAGACGCTGATGGCTTCGTCACCAAGAGCTACGGAAGCAAGGGCAATAAATCGTCCTCCGCCAACTCGTCATCGAACAACCTGTCCAAGAGCTTGTCCTCTTCGTCAATGTTGGCAGGCAGAGGCTCTAGTGGTTCTCTTGGGCCAAGAACGAACAGCAGCGTTATCGGCAACAGCTTTGCGGCATTGGAAAAGAAAAAGAAAAAGAAGAAGGAAGACGACGCGGTGGAGCCACTATCAAGGAAAAAACGCTCAGAACGAACGGACGACGGATCCACCTCACAGACGAAGTACTTTTACTGCTTTTTGAATTGCTAAACCCTGAGGACCCTTGTTGACTTTAATGCTAAACGAAGCAGTTTCCAGCAACGACTCTCTCTGATTTCAAATCCTTTTCATTCAACAAGAATAACAACAACATCAACATCAGCCTCTTTTTACCAACGACTTCCTCATCACTCATCATCCTACAATGAATCAACCTCTCTCTCAGGGAAACCACTACTTCTTCGAGTCGGAAGTTGGAATATTCAGAAGCCAAGAAGGAGATGGAGAAAGCAATAAACGTTTCCTTCCTGGAAGGTATGCCATTTGCCCTGATTCGCGAAGAATATTTGGACAACTTCAAGATGGAGAAATCGTACTAAAATTTTCATTTTGATTCTCCGGTTTTGATGGAGAAGCTCTGTTAAGGTGTTGTCACATCCTCTTTGTGGTGGAATATTGAGAGACATTCGTTGTCCGATATCGTTCCTACTCGAAACTCCTTTATCTGTTCACACTTCACTGTTCAGTTTCACAGAACAAAATTTCTTCTTCAACACAGGGACTACCAAAAGCTCTGGCTGGAGCTCTTCGACGCCGCCGTTGAGAAACGTGAGGCTGAGCGTGTTGCTACGCTTCAGTTTTTACCCGAATTGCTCATTTTCTGGGACAAGGAGTTCAAGAGTCATGGTCGCGCGTGCTTCAATGGTTGCATGAAGGCCTTGATGGAAGACGAGGAGATGTGGGAAATGCGCAAGGAGGAATGTCCTAGACTGCATGTTTGGCTCAAGGACTACGTCATCGACTTTCTGCGCGACAAGTACAACGTCAGCTTCGACGAAGACGTCGAGGCATTGTTGCAGGAAAGAGGCTGTGCGGTGGCAGGACTGTGAGGCTGTTGATGTAGGCTATTCGATTAATATAGAAATAGTAGTAGAAAATTTATATTAGATGAATAGACTGCTGATTAAACTAGAAGAACCTCCTCTGTCCAAAGTCCCCCCGTGAAAATTTGAAGCTTTTTGCACCTAAGTAAGTACTCAGCTCTTGAATCAAGAGTCTTTCTCGCATTCGATTATTCCCAATAGAAGAAAGTGATGGTTTTCGTCTCCGATCTGTATTTTTTTTGTTCCACAGCTGACTGATGGAAAGCCAGTCATTGAAATGCCAATAGAACATCCTTCCATGAAATAACACAACACTCAACAGAAGGAATTGCCGAACTTCTTTTCAATTCTTCTACAAGAATCTTGTTCAACATAGTGTTTATCTCAGAGTTGTATGAAAAAGTTCAGCTTCATGGTGTCGAATGTAGTCGTGTGCATACTTAAATGTTGTTATTCCTACCATGACCACCAGATCCGACTTGTTATAGTAGGAGCGACCGTCGAGGAGCTTGATAAGTACTGCAAGAAGTACAACGAACAACTCGTCTCTCATCTAATAGAGCAGCTAATATTTTTTTCATCCTTGTCTCGGAAGCTGCATACTATATGATCCAAGTTGAAGGAACAACTTCTTGGCGGAAATACTGGATGAGGTAATTTGTGAATTACACAACACGAAGATGCACAATTGAGCGGTTTACACATTGATTCTTAGCTTTCTGCATAACAGAGATAAAATTGCATATGATAGAAGATGTTGTTTGCTATCGAGGATACACCATGTAGTATTTTGGATGGCAGTTGTCGTGCGATCTATCTTGTTGTAGTGATATTGATATTCAATGTTGGGGAACTTCTATACCTATAATATAATATGAGCTAGATGAACTTCTGCATGATACGGATTTGCACTGATATCGAGCCTACAACAAGTCCTAATACTATATATTGTAAAACAACTTCTAGCCCAACACGGTAAAAATACCTACAGGTACTTATACTTCATTCTTCAACTAGAGCAATACAGTATAATCACTTAGGTTCACTTAGGTACTTCTACTTCTTCTTCGACGTCAGGCAGCGTGGTTCTGGTTCCTTGATGAGCAGCTGACATGAGGAGAAGTGCTAGAAGTATTAGTATTAGTATTTGTGGAGGCGTAGTTCTGAGGAGAAGTCTTAGTGTAGTTGCATTCTAGTTGTTGCACAGTGCAGCTCTTGTTACATGTTGGTCCTTTTTCCCTCGACTTTCATGTTGCACAGAAGCTATGCATAGTGCGGACGACAAAAAACTTGATGGTAGCTTTCTCCTTCATGTTGTCAATTTCTTGATGGTCTTTACTTTCATCTGATAGTAGAAGAAGATCCTGTTGTGGGACTAAAACTTGTACTAACATCTTGGTGTTTGGCCGCTGAACGCTGACATTAAGAAGAGATACATATGTATGGTTGACTGAATTACTATCTATTCTTGCATGAAGATCATCTGTTAAGAGAATTATTTCCGCTGTCGCGGTGAGCGATGATAAATCAATTTTTTGGAATCGTCCTTGTTGGTAAGAACCATTTACTGATACAACTGAAACTGATAGGTTTATTTAATCACATTCAATTTCAACTACGCATGATTCCGCTAATCAATTTAGCACTCTTCACAATGCACTTTTTTTTGACAATTTAGCACTCTTCCACAAAATTATATGCGATTGTAAGCTGATGATCGACACGGGATTTAAATTGCTCATAAATTATCATCGATTTTTTCGTTGTATCCTCTCGTTCCTCCAACAGGTAACATAAGTATAAGTATTTCACAAAGTAATTTGAAGAAGTTTTTATTGATGATGTCCTGCTTAGAATCCTAAGAAGCTATTAAGTTGTATCCATAAGTTGTATCCTGTTTGTTTGATGAGAGTCCTATAATATTGGAGATCGTGTTGTACCACTGATGTTGAAGAACCTAAAGAATCTGGGACACTCCACGAAGACGAAACAAGCGATAAAAATCCGTCATGCAGATCAAAAAGTCCCCGTTTTTTTTGTGAGCTTGTTTGTTTCGCACCTGCTTGTCTTGAAAAAAGTGTTGTCGTATGCTATTTCTAGAACCGTGATGATGTACTGTAGTCGTATACTATAGATGTGAGTAGAGCTCTATCGTCGCATATGCTGCTCAGGAGAAGGCATGATGAATACTATTTTGTCTTCCGACCTAGATGATCTGTCTCAGTTTTTTTAGACTCTAAATTGCATGCATTCATTTTCACTAGAAGATGGGTTTGTTGTTCTATTAGAAATAAGTACTTATCTTCATGATTCAGGCATTCACAGCACGAAGATCATTTCTCCCCCGTACCACTCTCAAAACGCATGGGGAGTCGCGAGACCGCTAATATCATGACACGCACCTCTTTTAAGATTGATGATTTCCACATAAAGTGTTTTACCTCTCGAAATGCCAAGGGTCTCTGGTTGCATTGTCACAACCAATGTGTTTGCTCTCGCAGCGAACAGAACTGGTGCGCTGGCCCTTTGGCCGAAGACTTTGTTCAACACGGTGTTTTACACGGTCTCATATCTTTGCGGCTACCTCATCTACCAGGAAGGACTTGGATAGACGATCAACGATGCTGCATGATCCATGATGTTGGTCTATCTCTATGGAAAACTTCTAAAGAAGATAAATTCCGTCTCAGTCTCCTCATGTTTGCTTTCTCTGCGCCCACCGCTGCTGGTGCGTCGAACTCATCGAAAAGTTTGCAATTGTAATTGTAATGGTGCTGGTGAATTCTAAAATTTCTAAAGAATTTAAATCCAATCTGAATGGGCACGCCTCGCCTTCAACCTGCGTTCTCGTTAAACGGAGACTCTCTCTATGCCTTGTGAATGGAAATCATATGATTGCGCAAACTCCATGTGGATCCAAGGTGCCCGTGCAACCGAACATCAATCTGAAACAGCTATAGTCCAGAACTGTGAAATGTTTGCTTTCTCTGCGCCCACCGCTGCTGGTGCGTCGAACTAAATCGAAAAATTTGTAATTGTAATTGTAACGTTTTTGTGTGTGCTCTCCTGCTAGATGGACAAGGAAATGCACTCGAGTAAAGCTTTTTTAGAGCTGTGTCTTTTCACTTATTCACAGCTGTAGACTTCTTGTCGGCAAGCCCTTTCGTTTTTTCTCAAAAAGTGAACATCTTCAAAAAAAGCCATGAGCGTTTCGAGCATCGGAAGCATATTGATATTATAGTTGTCTACATTGTAGAAACGGATCTAGAACATCACTAGAGCACTATCCCTTACTCTGACAGGCCTACACCTTCAACCATACTCCACACACCCTTTTTCCTCCACACGCTTTGCGTTGGCGGCTTTTGCATCATCGTTTTGCCCGATTCTTTCCTGTAGCTTATCTTAGCTTTTGCTTCTTAGCTTAGTACATACTAGCTTGCACCATCCTACTCGCTTGCATACTAGCTTCTAGTGCACATACTAGCTGCATAGCTCACCTTTTCAAAGCTTATATACTAGCTTTCCCACCTCTATCCAGAAAAGATGTCCGGTTCCATCGACAAGGCTGAAAACCCGCTCGCGGGCATTCCCCTCCCAGGATTCTTGACGAACAAAGACCAGCCAATCGGTAAGGACTTGCCCATACGAATGCAAGAATGAATCTACTCCAATGCACATCGGATGGTGGATCCAAACTCTAAGTTACCGACATTCTTGTACCGCACCACATCACAATCTCTTACTTACCTCTCAGTTGCTCCAATGGACCATTCCAAATCAAGATCTCTCTCTCTCTCTCACCTAAGAAGAAATCTCTCAACACAACTTCCTTTTTAGGTTGGGCTTTCTCCAGTTTCGTCGAGTTTATCCAAGACAGCAAGCGACTGCTCCAACGCTGCACCAAACCGGATGCTAGAGAATTCAAAAAAATCGCCTTCGCCTGCTCGATTGGATTCGCTATCATGGGATTCATCGGGTACTGTCCTCTGGTTTCTCAATTTCGTTTTTTGAAAATTTACAAGAGACGCGTACAACTTTACAACCTCTCAACACATGACCTGTTAGTGTCATGTCTCAACGAACTGAACGTTAACACAGGTACATTGTGAAGCTGGTCTTCATCCCGATCAACAATATCATTGTGGGTATGGGGATGTAAGGTGGAAGCGAGCGGATGTTGAATGAAAGGCAGATCATGTGGTACCTCTAGAAGCTGGAGGGTACACCATTAGCAGTGGTTGCCGCTGCGATGTACCCTATGTGATCCCTCTCCTTTCCCAGCGTACTTCTACAGCCAGAGAAACACCTCAATTTTATGTTTCTCTTGCAATGTTGTACCCCCCTAGGGCTTGGTGCTTTCATACTACAGTGCTCAACCAGTTTAACCAGTGCTTTCCCCCTCATGCATCTTCATGCGCGCTACATTTAGAAAGTAGGTACTAGACCATCTATAATTTAGATTTAGATTTTACATCAACAATGCTAACAACTTCGTCTAGAGGTGGTTGCGGTTGGATTGCTTATTCGAATATTTTCAACTTATTCATAACGGTCACTTTTAGTACACGATTCATTGGCATAGTTTAGTTTATGTACGTTTTCGTTGAGCTGCTGCGACAAATGTCATACTAGTCGTTCATCGTCGTCGTCAAATCAGATTTACTAGAATCTTCGCAATATTATATCCCAATCAATAGCAAAAACGCGGGCGGACACAAGAAGCTTCGGAGTAGGGCGAAGTGACTTGTTGTCTTTTACTTCAGAGTAGGGTGAATTACTTTCAGTTCGTGATTCGTTATCGATTCACTTCAGATGGTCGTTTTACGATAGGTTTATGTGTAATCGAAAGCGTAGTTGTCGGAGCAATATCAGTACTGTTAAGGGAGATACTCGTCAAGGCATACTGTTGAATCAAGTATCAATGAAATCTCCCCCGAAATTACAAAAACAAGGACAGCTGTGACGACATAGATTTCATACTCGAAGTCGAAATAGTGTTGTTGAGGAGGTATAAGTTGGTCACATCCACGCACTATGTGGTTATTAAGAAAGTTCGTTTGAACAAGCTGGTTACCAGATTGTATTAGCAGTGTTCTGCAAGAATATTTGTCACTAGTGAAGTGCAGGGCTGGGGTGAGAGGCCCGCTAAATCTAAGTCTATATCATTACATGTTTCCAGAACTTATTGCTTTAGACAAGCTTTAAGTCCTTGTGTAACGTGAGAGAGCGAGTGTAGATGCGCTGAGGTTTCTGCTTTCCTGAGTGCTACCTGTGCGTACGAGGATTCTGTTTTCCAGAGTGTCGTCTGTGCGTCCGAGCGAATGATCCCCCTGTTAGTTTCTGTAGATGCTGTCTGTGTCTCAGAGTGTGCGGCGCTTGTGCTATAAAGAGAACTATCTGTGAGGGGGACTGTGAGTGGAGAGTGTTTATATTGTCTAGGGCTTACGTTTTAGGACTTCCCTACATTGTAGGCTCAGTGAGAGAAGTTACACCCAAAAATTCCACTAGGAGCCAGAACCTATAGAAGCTGTTACTTCTTGTAGATGAACTTCAGAAGCTGATTGAATAAAAGAAGCCCCACACAATATAGGCTGCTACCTCTTGGAAGAGACTACCCCTCCTAGTTGTTGGAGAGAAGAAGCGGTCGGTGCCTTCAATGATTCAGAACTTGATATCGGTTAGTAGCTTCGCTTGCCTGCAGTTGTCTTCTTGTCCCGCGACTCTCGCAGAATTCGGTTATGAGATTTAGCTTGGGCTGTTCGGTGGCAAAACTAGGGCTTGTCTGTCTGAGAAGAAAATGACAAGGGACAGACATGCACAAGGAAACCCAGACACCAATTTCCCCACATGATTCCAGTATTCCCCATGCTAAGATGAACTTAAAGAGAACTGGACTAAATCTCTTACAGAACGAAAATCCGAGACGTAACTGATAGTCATCAGCGTTCATAAGACGCCACTTCCTCTGCAAAGTAGCAATAATATGCAGAACAGCGGTTGTATTTCTCACAAAGTCGTAACACAAAACAAAACTTAGGAGGGGCAATCACACGACGCAGTAGGGGGTACCAGAGTAGAAGAATTAAGCGGCCCAATGGGGCCACAGTTCTCGAGAATGGCCAGACATATTCTTAATAACACAACCAAGAATATTGCGTACTAGATCCCGCGCGTGGAGTTTAAATTCCTACGGGTTTCGACCAAAGTTAATCCAGTAGGACTACTTGTTGGCACTCGTCGTGCTGGCCTGGTACGCCTGAACCCCAGTCCCTAGTTCTACGTAGACGAAAATACACACCGAGACCCGACAGCATCGTGTAAGGAGTTGCATCAGTAGCCATCAACATCATAATTAAAAAAAGCCGAAATTCTTCTACTTCGTCGGGGTATACTACCCCTTCTACAGGAGCTCTAGTAGTACTTCTGTCTGCCCGTGCCCTCGGCCAAACTCTGTATGACAAGACCGCGCGTTCTTCGGTTGTAAGTAGGAAATTACAAGTACTCGCGCACACCATCACAAGTACACGCACTACTGTTCTCAGCCAGACAAGTGCGCATGGCGTCGGACTAGGACTAGCGGCATCAGAAGTAGATCGCCAAGATGGAGTACACAGCGACCAGATTCACTGTGGCGGAGCCCTATGGGCCAGAGTCGGACTGGCAACCGATAAAAGGCAGGGCGCTCGTCGATCCCAGCAATCCTGTTTATCGAGCAAACTGGCCGCGAGGTTTTCAGCTTCTAATCTATCTCTATTACCTCCTCAGGCTTTCCTTGGGTTTGCTTCTGCCGCGTTAGTAGTGTCTTTTTGTCTTGCCTTCCCAGTAGCAGTACATCCGCCGCGTGCCGTTTTTTTCGGATCAATAACGCCCGCCGCCACCTGGTTCCTGCGATTTGCGTGGCCTGGGGAGATTCTGACAGCGCACCGAAGGGCCGCGGTCCATGGCGTGGGCTGGCTTTCGATTGCGTAGCCCCATGAAGGCACCGCCGGAAGCGCCGGGGGCGTACAGTCATTGCGAAGCGCCCTCGAGCGCTCGCGCATTCGGCTCGGCGGGCGCTTTGCCAGTCCGCCACGCTTGGGTGCCTGCGTGGACAGGACACGCCAGCCGCGTGGCGGCCGTGCGTGGTTCCGCCTGTCGTTTCGCGGTGAGAGGTGGGGGCACTTGGTTCGCTTCTTGTGCCCTTTGGTGTCCGCGGCGCCGCCGGCCGGAGACAGCTCGCGCAAACTGGTGTGGCCTCGGTCGGGGCGCGCGATGCTCCTGCGGGGCGCCGTGCATCCGCCGCAGGGGCGGCGCCAGTGCGGGGGCTTTTGTAGTGGCGGGGGGTTGGCACGCGGGGCGGCTTCTGAGGCTGGGTCACTTGGATGGGCGCCCGTCTGCTCGCGGTGGTCTGGGTGTTTCTGCGAAAAGGGGGCATGTGCGCTGGGTGTGTCGGGGAGGGGACGGGGGGCGCCGCTGGGCTCCGGTCCGCCGCGGGGCGGGCCGGCTGCCCACCGCGTCAGGGGTAGGTGCGCGGCTGACTCTCAGGCGTGCAGCGTTGTGCCCCCGCGAGATCCAGGGGTGGGCGCAGCTTGCTGGTTTGTGTTTTTTTTTCTCTTTTAAGTAGATCTTGGCGACAGGGGCCCGCCCCCGGCGCTCCTCGGTGCGCGTTGGCGGGCGGGGACGATAGGAACTCGCAGGGGCTTGTGTGTGTGTGTGGGCCGCTCTCAATGGGTGGGGCGCGTTGGTTTGGGTCGGCTATTGGAAGGGCTAGCGGGTGTTCTGGGAGAGTATTTGCGGAGTGCCGTCCTCTGCGGGCCGCGCCGTTTTCGGTCGCACGTCTTCAAAGCTTGCGGGTTTGCTGCCCCGCTTTCTCTGCCATTCTTTTCGCTGATTTCTTTCGGGCGAAGCTAGTGGACCACGGAGCGGTGGGAGGGCGCTCGGGCTTGTGTTGGCCTCTTGTCTTGGAGGCGGGGGGGCCGCAGCTCGCAGGGCCTTCGGGCTTCCCTCCCCGGGGAGATTAGTCGGGGGGCGGGGGTGGATGTTGCTAGAATACGGGGGGCGGCAAAGTAGTGGTTGGCGCTTTCTTCGCTTCCCCCTTTTTTCGTTTGCTTGCCCGCCGCAGTCATATACAGCGCGCGCCGATGGGGTGTACCACGCGTCAATCAAGCCACCCCCTACTCCTTTGGCGCCTCGCTCGCCCCCCCCGCTCTTGGCACAAGTGGGCGCTGCGCCCATCTTAGGGGCGGGGCGAAGGGAGGGCGGGGGCGCAGCTGAAGAGGAGTAAAAAAAGGGCGCTGTACCTGCGGGCCAGCGGTACAACAGGGCCCCTGGGCGGAGGCGCGTCGCAGTGCGCGTCTCAAAGCTTCAGCGCCATTCTCTCTTTGCTGCGGCGCTTTGTCGCGCGATGTTTCTGGCCCCGCCTCCGTTGTTTGTTTCATTAATTGTGTGGCCGAGGTGCTGCCGCTAGTCTTGTCGCCCCTTTTGTTTGCTTGGGCTTTCTTTCATGGGGTTACTTAGTTTGTATGTGCCGCCCCTTTTTTCGGGCTGGGCAATTAATATCGAATAATCATTCCTCTGGCGAAGCTTCTGAAGCCTCATCCTCAGGCATCTTTGAACATTCCTGCCCAACACATTCCTAAATCCACCGAATAGGAGAAACACGCGATCCAAAACTCGCCACCGGACTCGATTTTCCACGAGACCGTCGAGAAGCCGCAAATGAGGGATTCGACCGGACTTTTTTTATCGCGGAGCACGAACCCAGTGCCCCCTTTCAACCGCGCACCCCGCTACCGAGCTACCACTCGCCTTGGCAGTCCTTGCACTATCGCTACTACCCGGAGCACCCCGACAAAAGCCCAGAGAAATTCACCAGAAAAGAAATCCGGACGATGCAGGTAAAAAGCGGCTAGGGTTGGAGTCACTTATTCCCATTTTATGATGTCCGTCGTCTAATAAATTGCGATATATACAGGATACATTCGCTTTCCAGGTTCCGAACTGCAGGGCTAGCAGTTTCTGACCCATGTGCTCCAGCTACAACACACAGTTTACTACAAAATCCTTTTTCCAGGTACAGCAGAAGTTCGCTGTGCAGCAGCAGAAGATGGATGAAATGTTCGAGGCTTTACAGCGTGCTGCTCTGGACACCCTAGTTAAGGCTACCGCTGGAGCATCCCCTTAGGCCATGATCCTTGGCCTCTTTTTCAAGGGGAAAAAGAAGCGTCCAAGGATATGGGCCTCGAGGAAGATGCAGCGCGGGAGCTCTAATCTAGTGCACGGGTCTCTGCACATCAAGGAGGAGGACTTGAACAATCTGCAGGAAGCAATTGTGGTTATGACTTGGAAATTTATCCTGACACTCATCGCATATTGGCTCTGACATTCTAGCTCTTCTTAATTTAAGTAGATTTACGTTTATTGGCTTTGGCACTAACGCCCACTGGTCCTTGGATGCTCTTCTTTGCTGTAGTTCTCAGACGACTGACTATGATTCACGAATTAAAGTAGAGTCGTCATAGACGTTCCTCGTTAATATTTGATTATTCGTCTTACTATGAAATTACAGAGGACTGTGGATTACGAACTTGACACAGTCCCCTGGTGGTCCAGCAATGTTGCAACTCAACTTTTTTTCATCTCTATCATCTAGATTCTCTAATTTCCCCCTTCGCAAAGTAAGGACAGCCAAGCAGATGGATATCCTTTGGAAATACGAAGATTTGCTCGCAAACGCCCGTGCGCAGTACGCAGCCATGAATTGGGACTGGCAAGTGATATTGGAGTCCATCACCCAAAGAAGTGAGGAGCTAGCGAAAAACAGGAAAGTTAGGAATGAAGATTGATTTCGTCGTAAGGTAATTATGTTGACCTGGTTTCGTCGTAGATGATAAATTGATGAAGTATGTAGTTCATATGGAGCCTCTAACATGTAACGAAAATTAGCGGATCAGACCATGGCGCTGATATGCATGCAGTTGTGCCGGGTTTGCGATCATACGCTGAAATACCTGCATTCCGGTGGCAACAAGCGACAGCCAGCTCAGCCAGGTGTTGTTCTCTAGGATGAAACTGTATTTTGCTTCGTAATCATCTCAAAGAGGCGCCGCTTCATTCAACTAAAAGGTACAACGTTTACAGGCTACTACGATAGTAAATAGCGAGTAGAACTACAACAACATTTTACCAAGTAGATAGTAAAGTAAAGTAAACTACAATTAGAAAAACGCAAGAATCAAGACAATTGCAGTAGACGACTGATGTAAGTATTGACGAATGAAGATCATTATGAAAATTTGCTTGGCCATCATGTTGCAGCACGGAGCAGCTCTCGCCCTTTTATCAGGTATGCCCCCTGCAGAGCAGGTGTGGACGAGCTTGGAGAAGGACAGGATAGCGGAGCGAATAGGGGTAATATTGAACCACGTAGATCGGCTTTCAGCATCGGAGGTCGCGGCGAGACGTCCAGAGATCGATCTATATCTCATCGGCACTCTGGGTCTCCTCATAGAGCGATGGCTTCATGAAGACGAGATCAAACTCAAGTGGTTCGAATCGAAACAAGCCGCGGCAAGTACTAATTTTTCTCTAGGTACTGTAGTAGGTAGTATAGAAGTTGCATCGATCTTGTCGTCATGCTGCATGTGAAGAATTTACAAGGTTCACATACGGAACGTAGCACGTAGCGATTGCGGTGTTAGTGGAATTCACCAGTTCGTTGTCTCAAATTATAGTTGAAAGTCTACCTAAGAATATTTTGGCCATTGTTCTACCATCAAATCAGAGCGTCAAGGAGGCAGTTCTGACGGAGGAAATACGGCACAGTCATCACCGTCTTCTCGCACAAAGAGTCCAGTGTCAAGGGCAACGAGCTCTGGCGCAGCAAGAATGAGCACTGGAGCACAATATACGACTGCAGTTTTGTTACGGCTGATCATCAGACTTCTAATTACCTATGTATAACTTGTATTGCATCAGTCATTAAACATTGAGTCAGTCATTAACTTTTATTGAATCAGTTTTAGCCCGACTAGTCATTAAGCATTCCATGGTAACCTAACCTAACCTATCGTTGTCCTCGTAGCACGACTGCTAATAGAGTAGTGTCGTAGTAAGTTAGGACTAGATCATCAAGTTGTTCAAATTACTTATACATTTCTAAATCCAAGTGGCGATGCGACAGCGAAATTTGAGGCACAGATGGCGAGGAGGCGAGAGGCCACTAGCAACAAGTACATGCGTCTTCTATGCGAGCTGTTGACAACGCGAGCGAAACAAAAGGAGCACATGGTGGTCTTCGCAATACTCAAGGTACTCTTGATGTTCTACTCCGTTTATCCTTCTTCGCGTTCCTTTTCCTAAGTATAGCTCATTTTGGTCCTGATAATCATACGCTCTTGATGACGTACTACACTTGTTCCAGTTTAAAAACATTAAAAACCTCCAATCGACCTAGTACTCACCTTATCCTTTAATATTTTCAAAAATCCAGATAGCACCATGAAAAAGATGCGAGCTGATACTATTGATGCGAACTGAGACTATTCGTTTTCTATTCTTATTTTCTAGGATTAATATTTATCTGATTTTTATAGGTGCGTCGTCGTCCACATCCACTCCAAAAACGCTCATTAAACCCAAAGGTGTTTCGTTTTTTAACGCGAAGAAACGACGCTTGTGTGCGCATGGTGGAGGTCACGAGGATAGTATGGGATCTTACCCGCTTGCGAGAACAATACAAGTTAGCGTCACCCAGTCTCGGGAAAGCAGAGCACGACAATGTCTTCCTGGAGAGGAAGAGTAAGCAGGCACCAAGCTACATCCTGCCAAGGACTCTACGAGCTCTGCCAGATGGACAACCTTTATGTTGAATTTTTATTGATGGCGAGGATGTTACTGTAGTTTCCATTATTGATGATGCTAACCTTGTTGATAGTGACCCTTTTCTCTTTTATATCTTCCGCTGGTCTGTCTTTTTTCTAGTTAGGTCGGCTCCACCACAAATCATTGATGCTAACCTATTTATTACTCCTGCCTGTAATTCTTGGCTCTTATCTCCTGCTTACCACTACCAGTTATTGATGGCGATGTTACTGTGGCTATATTTTACTTCGGCGCTGTTAGAAGGAAGGATCTCGGTGCTGTTAGATAGTGATTGTAGGAACAGAAACTAATTAGTAAGAAAAATATGTGTAATCAGTAACAGTGATCACAGTAAGAGTAACTTGAAGGTGGATCCTCATCTAATGAAGATTCGTGTGAACCCTATGATGCAATATGGTGTCTACGGATCTCGTGAGGACGAGGCGGTGTCTCCAGCCCACAGTGGTGTAGCTTCATCGAGGCATCAGCACAGCAGTGCCTCACTAGGCGGGGGAGCGGGGGGCGGAAGCATGATTATGAAAGTAATTGATATTGATCTTGACGTTTATGTTTATATTATGCCGGTGGTGAAATCTTTGGTCTGCACCTGTGTAAGGATGAAGGTCATAAGTTGTACATAAGCTGTAGGCGAAGTTGTAATGACGAGTCTTAGCTCATTTTTTATGAACAAAGTACAAGTATTACTCAGACGTGGGAAAAGTAAAAAAGAGCTACAAATCCATTTTCTTTCTCTACTTTACAAACAACAGTTTCGTTATCTGATTGATTCTAAGAAACACAGTACCGCTTCCGGCACGGCAACAGGCGCTGGGGGCGCGAGTTCCAGTAGGCTGACCGCATCTCCTAGTCAACGAGGCACGGCGTCGACGAGGTCAAAAGCCAAGTCGCTGAGTCAAGCACACCTAGAGCTGCGAGATGGTCCCGAGACCTTCGCGCGCACAGTATCATGGACTATCTTATGGCTTAGAATACCTACAGTTCTTCTTCACAACAAGCTATCGTCCTGTCGTTCATAGACCTGTCGTTCTTGGAATATGGTCTTAAAAATCAAGAGAATGCATGGTCCAGTTCTATTTCTTCATCTAACTATCGCGCGGAATCTAGAGCCAAAACCGAAGCCACCACAGTGGCTCGCGGACGTCGACACCCTGCGCTTCTTCATCGTGGAAATCGAAAGGAATCTACGAGAGTGCCTCTACACTGCACCGACCTTTCCGCTGTATGGGGAAGACAAAACATGACGCAGGTCGATAGTTCTCTCAACTACGGATGGACCAGCAGATAGACAAGACTGGTCGCCAGCTAGGCCAGCAGCATAGATAGCAGTTATCGTATAAGTACTCAAAATTTAACCGTACTCGGTGGAGAAAAATCAATCAAAATCAATCACGAACATCAATCAATCACTGGAATTGAGTCTCACATTGCACGACGAGTTTTGAGCTATACTACCTTACATTTAGAAGTCAATACACGACGAGAAATTAATCATGATAGCTGCCTAATAAGTGGCAATTGCAGCAATGAGAATCAAAATCAATCAATCAAGACAACTGCTCGTCACGAACGCGATGCTTAACTACTAGCCAATCAAACGCAAGCGACCATTCACATTGATTCTGTATAGAGACCTAGGTGTATTTGTGCATGCAGATATTACTGTAGTTGACCCACTTTCAACATGGTCATAGAAGATTACGACTGAAACCGGAGAAGTGCCACGAATACCCCTCATCCCCTAAATTTAGACGCAGAGTTGTAACTACATAGATAAACGCTGTTGATACATAACAAACTGCAAGTTGATGATTCATGTGTCCGAGATCCTGTAGTTCATTCCGGAACTACATCAACAGAGACATGACAGGTAGATTTATGTTGATGAACCACATGTAATTGATATTCAAATTGTACCTATTGAATAGTTCCAATCGTTGAGATGCCAAACCTGCAGCCACTGCGCAACTCGCGCAGGAGGAGTTCCGCAAGAACAGGCAGATTCTTTGCTACATATTCTGTGCTACATATATTTATATGTTCCAGGGCGCGGGGCGACGGCTCCCCCTAGGTGCGGCCCTGAGTCATAATTATGATTATTTACTTGTTGCTACATATGCTATATATTTGCTGCCCAGCGACTTCATGCGTGAAACACATCACCAGATGAACTTGTACCCGAAGCTGCACACTATAAATTTTCGTCTCCATCATGGAAGGGCGAGGAGTTCGTTCTGTACAGGTGGGTGGCGAATGCTGATCGGCCTTTTCTCTGATTTCTTTTGGTTTTTCCGTTTGTGACGAGCGAAGCCTCCTACTTCTAACACTGCAGTATGATCATTTCTAGTCAGCTGAGAGCGTATTGGATTCGAAGGAGATCACCGAGACGGGATTTTTGCTGAGAAATAGTATGTTTTAGGAGAATTATCTCTGAGAGCAGATGATTGTATGTTGAAAAGATAAGCAGGTATGAGTGACATTGACATGAGTGACATAGAGTTGCAAGAACGGCGAGATGAAGCATAGTTATAGTTCTTCCAGAAGTTCTTGGTAGCACTTACCACTGAAGTAGCTTCGCATATCCTGCGAGTGAAATTAAGAGATTTTTTTCTTTGTCGTTTCTCTCCGATCTACACCAAAGGCAAAGTATACGCAAGGACGGAGAAGACCTCCATTCACAATAAGCCAAAAACCGATTTTTATCTTGCTAGCTCTCTGAAGTAAAACAGAGCCCACATAAAAAATCAGATGCCACTCTCACACCAACAATTTCCCAAAAAAAACTCATAGTTGTTTTGGTGGTGCGGCTGCCGGGCTTCCTCCTTCTGGAGTCTATACTTGGAACACTTATTTCCGAAAGTGAGAACTTGTGTGGGTTACTACAGTTTGGTGTAGTTGGATCCCAAGTCCTTGTAAGTACGTGCTTAATACGCAACATTAAGTCTTTCATTTTTCGCATCGAAAAAACTTCTTGATGAATCAATTTTCTGCATCTTATTTATTAACACGATAAGCGGATTTTGTTGAGATCATCTTGTTCTATGTGAAGAGCTGTCGAGACGATGCGGCAAGTAGTCTATAAGGAGACTGGACGAGTCTATAAGGAGACTCGCGGGAGTCTAAATTTCAAAAAAACGAACCCGTTTCTCCACCCTCTCTACCTGCCGTCCACGAGGAGAAGTGTCACGACACTCGCTCACAAAAGCACACGGCCAGACGGCATAACATGTGGACTACTAGATGTCGCAGAGCGCCGCAGAAGTCGACCAAGTACACCAGATACAACTATTAAGGGCTATGCTAATTTGCGTTTCAAATAAGGTAATTTGAGTATCTTTTGTCAAAAATTATCTCATGGAACTCCTCGTTGTGAGAGTGGACGCGACGTTTGTTGACCCTGCCGCCTCTAATACATCGAGCCGAACGCCTTCAAGTTATGAACGAAAGAAACGACTTATGGTTGTGAGCGTGGGGGCGAGCTACTTAATTGAATCCTTACGGTCGTCAGGATTGAAAGGGCGGTGGCATATAGTCCTAACGCAAAAAAAAAAAAGAATCCTTACGGTCGAGTGACGATAAGGAACAGGGAAACACACATGACATTCCCGCTAATTGAGGCCTCCAACAGCTACGAGAAGGCATGAGGGCAGCCAGCGTGCGGCACCATCCACGCTTCAACAGAGGCGATCGATTTTCGGTAGTGTATCGGATCCACCTGCTGACGATGTCGATGTGCTATGCATCGGAGCGGGGATCATGAGCTCATCTGTAGCTCTCCTGCTGAAGCTCCTGGAACCTAGTTGGAAAATTTAAGAACGATATCAGTCTATCATTCTACATCTGGGTCACAACCTAATACTTTATAGATCTTCAAACAATTAGAAATACTTGGAACAAGTCTCGAGTGTAGAATAGCCTTGATGTGGTAAAAACAAGGACAGATATGATTAAAAATTACTGTGCATACCCGTCCAAGGACTGGGTATATCATCATCAATATTCATACCTCACTCGTCTAACAACAAGGGTGTCCCGGTCGTTCACTTCTTTCTTGACTCCGGTAGAGTAGGCCAGATTTCTTTTGTGTAGATACATGGTTGTACCCGCGAGGAATTTCATTCGAGTGATATGGTGTTCTACGTAGTCCCCAGTCGACGCACTAATTCTAATATTATAAGACGAAAGTAGGGCAACACCTCTAATTGGTTTGGGTGCACATCACTACTTCCGATAAGCATTCTAGTGCTACTTTTGATAAGAATTCTTCTAGTTTACCAAATCGCTACGTCTGGAGGAATTATCATCTTCTAAAGAATAAAAATCGTGGAGAGGCTGGAGGCCCCAGCCCTGGAATCTTCGGAGGCCTACAATAATGCAGGCACCGGCCACTCCGCATATTGTGAGTTGAATTATACCCCAGAAGTCCAGAGGGAGACTGGGGCTGTTGACGTGGATGTCTCCAAGGCCATCGAGATCTGCGAAAAATTTCACGTATTTATCGTCTCGTACTTTGGAAACTATGCATATTATTCATTAGTTACTGTGTTGACGAGTACTAGCCAAACTTTTTAGTCCTCTTCGAGATATAGTGTGTTACGCTTACGTAATACTGGCCTCGGCTATCAATATCATTCTACTGGCAAGGCTATTCCTTGTCCTTAACTAATCGCAAAAGTGTAGATTCTCATCATTATTAGTTACTGATCTCTACTAGTAAGTACTAACTACAACTCTACTATCGCTCATCTGCTGGCTACAACTGCAAAGCCCAACTTAACTCTAACTGCAAAGCCCAACTTGACTCTAACTGCAAAGCCCACCTTAACTTTAACTGCAAAGCCCGTCTCTTTTACCAGAATGCACCTCCCCCACACCTGACTCTAACTGCAAAGCCCGTCTCTTTTACCAAAATACAACAACTCCCACAGACCTCGAAACAGTGGTGGTCGTACTTGGTGAAGGAAAAGATTCTTGATATCCCGGTAAAGTCCTGGAATAACCCTACGGGTCATATGGCTTTTGTACACGGAGACAAGAATGTCGAATTTCTTAAGAAGTTACGATGAAGTAGCAATGACTGGAAACAAGTATAAGTACTATAGCTATATTAATGAACCGCCCGAGGATAAGTTAGCACTTGAATACGAATCCCGGTCACGAAGCGTCCCAACTCATGAAAATATGACATATCTTCATGACAACGATACGAGGCGATGAGGCGCGAGCCTCTATTCAGCTCGATGCAATACAGCGACAAAGAGGAAAAAGTCGCCGAATGTTATGCCCTCACTTTCAACAATTTCGGAAAATAGTTTCATGTTGGTAGAGGTCAAAGAAACCTTTCGCATGGACCTGGTATGTTCTTTGAGCTGAATTAGCAGTACGGCGTCCCGAAGAAAGTCAAATGACATGTTGATGTGGACCGTGTCCGAGTCGGGTTCTTTCCTTTCCACTACTCTAACTTTTGGCGCCACTATTGCTGGATGGAAGAGGAGTAGGGGAACCTTTGGCAGTTACGATGATGGATTGCGGAACTGATAACGATTGGGGAAGCCTCACAGGAGGTAAGTGCATCTAAGTACATTTTTTAGGGGACTGATTGATAATCTTTGGGAAAGCCTCGCCAGAGGTGACTTCTGGAAGTAGTAAATCTTTTTTCCGTTTCATGTACATTTTTTGATTCCACATTGATTTAGCACCGCTTTACTTGGTTCCAATATGTATCAACGTAGGACTCATTACGGAGCAGCCATCTTTCCGTGATAATATCCAGTACTACCGTAATAGCAACGTACTGAAATGAAAAGGAAACGGTGCCATTGGAACCACTAGTACCTTACGACTCAAGCTGCTTTGGTTCCCATAGCAAAGTTGTGCCAACGCACGTGACCTCTCGGACGTTCTGTGTCACTTTATTAAACTACCATCAAATATACTAAAACCAAATGTTGGTTGCTTAATTCGGGAGCTGTTTTGTTCAAACTTTGCATCCACCGTAGCTCCCGAGCTATACCTTCACTAACTGTCTCCTTTGACTCTGCTTGTTAGGTGGTTAATATGTGTTAGTCGTGTTGAGAATAGCTTCTAGAGGCGGTCTATAAATTGGCTTAGAAGTTGGAGCTCCCTGTGTTGATCAACGCTAGAAGCTTCATCTGTCGGCCAGAAGACCTGAGTATTCTCGTGCTCGTTTTTTGCTTCGTGCCACTCATCTCTTGATCTTTCTAGTTAGCTTGGATAGAAATTAGCGCTTGCATAGAGATTATCCGAGTACAACATGTTCATATTCGATGTATTTAGCACCTTTTAATACCTGGCTACCCTATCGATTTGAGGAGCTAGTGACCGAGTCCTCAAGACTGAGGCCGGTTGCTGATATCTATCTAGTGACCCAGGTGTGTACTCAGACGTCGACAGTCATTATACGCATCAAGATGAAGTGACTCGGGTGTCTATCAGCAGTGCGAAGCGTGTGCGCAAGATATCTATTTAGTGATCGAGTCAAGACTGAGTCCGGTTGCTGTCGTCTGAGTAGACATCAGGGTCACTGATCGGGGAGGGTGCTTTAGCTCTACATTGATCTATGTCTATTGTAATGTTCACCTATCTAATAGATATTTTGTTCATGGCTATATTTGTAGTCTGTTTTGGATCTAGTCATCGCATTTCCGTACCTTGACCTATACAAGACCACGATTAGTCAAGAGTAAGTATTATACTTCTCATACTAGTATCTGATAATCCACCAAGTTCAAGCACGATTACAGAATTCGTTATGGTTCTAATTTAATATTTTTAGAACTCTAAATTAGAAAAACTAGCGTATCTCTTCATTTTACCCTCACAGGTTTAACGTCTGCTTTTCTTCGTGCTGGTGGGCAGCTAGAAACCAATACAGAGGCGCAGACACTAACAAAAAACTTGGACGGCACCTGGACAGTCAATTGCAGGAGCACAGTGACTAAGGCCATCGCGAAGACAGGCCATTTTGTTTCGAGCTAGTCATACTAATTCTTACAGCCAGGAGATTGGATCTATATTTAGATAGATGTTGCTCACCGAAAAGCAGCTCTCGAGCTTCCGTGTAATGCTAGAAGTGCGACTAGTATCGTCGCATTTTTCCTCTCGCTCTACGAGGCTCTTAGACTACGTACGTAACCCGTGAAGGCCAGCCCCTTCTCTGCATTACCTGGCAAGACAACCACAGACAAGCCAGGATTTGACTAAAGGCCCAGGCACTCGAGAAACTTGCGTAGGGATTAGCAGCCAAAGTAGCTTCGTTCTCCATCGCTTCAGCTCTAACCTAAGTGGAATGTCGGCGACCGGCCTGCCGGACCCCTTCGGCTTAGGGGCCAGAGAGCAGAACACAACCCGAGCGAAGTTTGTCTATATCGGCGCAGGTAGAGTGTGTATACAGTTATAGTGCACCGTCTGCGGCCGCTGCGCGCTCACATAACGTATTCACAATGGCCCACCGCCTCGGTGAGATCCCCCGCGCAGAGTGCTACCATATCCTGCATCGCCATCCAATTCCCAACATCGGAGGGGGGCCGACGTAGATCGTCGCACATTTTCGGGTGCTAGGGGCGATAAGTGAAACCTTGCCCCACGCGATCGCTGGGCGCATCAAGTCAATCAGGCCAAGGCCTGAGGAGCGAAGCAACCCCGAGAAGAAATTATCTGAGAACCTGCACGGGGCGCGCGGGGCTTGCCTTGGTCAAGGATATGAACGACAAAGGCCCCGGCCCGTTCTGGCTATGAGTATAGCTGGCAGAGGCCCGGCCGCCGACTCCAAATTCTATTATCCTGATTTTAGAGCGACGGCGCCGCACAAAACAAAACAAAAGAGGCGCAGGCACAGCGAGCGGGGGCATGGGGTGTGCCACTGCGTGACGGGGAAAGCAGGCAAGCAGGCCCGTCGAAACCTGGGGCCACTCACTGCACGCACCAGTGAGGGCGCCCCCGCGGTGTGAAAGGGGTAGCGAGCTCGGGGAAGAATATGAGAGGAGGGTGCTCGCGTGCCGCGAGGGTCTGGCGGATTGTTTCGCCCCGCGCCACCGGGCCGCCTGCCTTCGCCTGCGCTGTCGGGTGGGGGGTGGTTGCGCTGCGGGGCTTCTGTGTGTGCATGTGGGGGCCGCGCGGCTTGGCCTCGATGTGGTGGCTTTCTGCGTAGGGTCGTCGGTGTCGCGTCTGGGGTGAAGGAGGTGGCGGGGGCGGGTCTGCCGCCGCGCCGCGGCTCTGCGTGGAGTTAGCTTGCTGCAGGCGCAGCAGTAGCAAGCGCAAAATCTGCATGACATGCAGCGAAGGACGAGGGCGAGAAAGATAATAGAAAGAGGGAGGGGCGAGGAATGAGAAAAGGGGCAGGCGGCGCCGCAGGGGCGCGGGCAGTGGGCGCCGCCGCCCCCTCGGCTCGTTCGGGGGGTGAAAAAGCGGGCGCAGGCGTGCCGGCGTTTGTGGTCTGGGTGAGGGGCTGGCGGTGCTTCGTGGCGCTGGTCTGGGGGGTCCGCGGGGAGGAGGGTGGCGGCCCCGCGTTGTTTATCGTCCGCTTGTGGAGTCGAGCTTGAGCGCCGCAGAGTCTGCCAGGGCAGGAGCTTGGGGCCCGGCTAGTGGAGGAGGTTCGGGAGCTTGCAGCACCCAGGGGGTGTGGCTCAGGCTTAGAGAAACTGCAGAGAGGCTGGTAGGTGCCTACAGTCGTTGTGCTCGTGTGCTTTCTTGGACAGTTTAGCCACCCCGCCCAGAAGTCGGCGCATGAGTCCCACGACTATTGTTTATTGCGATTCTGCTTGTTATTGCAATTCACTCTTTGATCGCTGTACGTAGCTAGCTGTTCTTGTTGTGCAAAATTTGCAGGTGGTGCCTCGATTCAGTTGCTGCAGAAGAGTGGTATTCCTGAAATCAAGGGGTATGGCGGGTTCCCAATTAGTGGGCAGTTCTTCGTTTGCCGGAATCCCAGCGTAGTTATGACATAATCTCTCAAAACTCCACACTGATGGAGGATACAACTCCTTGTTTTTCCCACCAGCATGTTCTTCACCACGGCAGCTTGCCTTGATGTTAGAAGGTGGGCAAGCATTTCGCTTCCCTCTTCATGTATTCGTTCATTGTATGGTTTGAACATGCTTTTCCTTCTGTCGCTGATTCCTCTAACATTGTGCAGCGTCATACAGTAAAAGCGTACGGGAAGGCGAGTGTGGGTGCGCCTCCGATGAGCGTTCCGCATCTAGACAGGAGATACATTCGAGGTGAGGAGCTCCTCCTCTTCGGACCTTTTGTTAAGAATTTTCCAGTTGATGGTTCTCACTAGAGGTCCAGAATGAGCACTCTGACTCTGAGTAACGTTTCTGATGTGAGTACCTGAGATTAAGTGAGCCCAGAATGATTATGCCCCTGCTTTTCTATCGAGTTGAATTTGACCTTTTATCGATTTTATTTTTTATTTGAGCCGTAGTTATCCAGACGAAACGCTCATAGTTTCGTCAGGATTGCTGGTGCACAACTAAAACTAATCTGAATGCAGGGACATATCGATAACGGTGATGACAGATCAATAACAGTTTTCGATTTAGTAGGTTCAAAATTTGTACATTCAAGTTCAACGACGCTCTCCTCTAACGTGCCTGGTTTCTCGCCAAACTTCCTGAAGCGCGGCTCTCCGCTTGACCTACTCAGCAGTGTGAACCCATTCAACGTACTATCAGTGTTTTTCTGGTTAAATAAGTACTCGCACTATCAGAGCTTATCTCTGCGTGTACTAGATGAAACAGTACTAATATCAGGAATACACACATGACAAGGCAAGTCTTGTTTGAAAGCGGTGTATTAGACTCTCTACAACTAGTGCTATGCCAACCGGGATCCGCAACCCTAATATACTGCTCTGTAATATATCACTTCGCGCTCTTTCTTCTAGGTCTTCTTTTGCCCAACGTCGAGGCACTAGGCTCTGCCTATTCCATCACACTGCTGAGGACTACTAGTTCAAAAGAATCATACAGATGAAGTGTTCTTGCAATCATTGTTCTGTGTTTCAAAATTTAGGAATTCTAGAACAGGATCTCGCAAGATTTATCCATTCTAGAAGTAGCTCTCCCCATGATGTTCTTGCACTCAATGCTCCATCCCCCCAACATGATGATTCTCAGTTAATCCCGATGGCTGCAGCGGGTGGCCAGAATATCGATCTCAGTGTTTACCTTGCGAAGGAGCTTGCAGCCACCAAGGAAGAACGAATGGGGTCTTTGATATGGCAGGCTTTCTTAGATTAACTACTCACGACATTCACACACATGAATTTACTTAGACTAATTCAAACTACAGCACTCACTTCACATGAGGCTCGCTTAGACTACTTATAATTTATATTTAAATTACATTCACATGAATTTCCACTCACATGAACTACGCACTCTCTAATGTCCCGAGAATTCTATCCGGCAGCAAGATCAGAGGACTGGGAACAGATCACAGCGGGGCAGAGGGTACTAGTTACCATTTTTATGTGTGTGTGTGTATACATATGACTTCATAGACATACTTACCCTTACACAGCAGGGTCGATATTACTTCTAGCGATTTTTCGTCCTCTAGCTCTGTATTATGTAATAGTTATTGTCTCAAAACATAGTACATTAATTATCATTTTTACACTGAAACATAGTACATCTAAATGACACGTGGTTCTTACGAGTTCTACCATCATCGAGGCAACCACAGTGAATAGCACACGAGGATGATGATGTACATATCAAGCGGTTGACATGTAGAAGAGACGTCTTGATCCCAAGTTACAAACTAGAAATTGTGCCACCTATTTTTTACATTGTGAAGCTGGTCATCGTCATGCCCGTTTTCAGGTTCTTTCTCTAAATGACACGTGGTTCTTTGCAGGCCTATTACCTCCGTCATCAAGGAAACCGTCATGTATTAAATGTAATATTATTGTCTTTTCAAAATGAAAAATGCACTACTACAGGTTCAGATTATGAAGGAGCACCCGTCCAAATATGGGGTAATCCAGTTCGGAACCGAGATCATCCAAGCCGGAGACGGTACACTATCCGGCCTCATGGGGGCCTCACCTGGCGCGAGCGTGAGCGTGCAAGTCGCTCTAGATGTAGTGGAGAAGGCCTTTGTTATGGACAATGTCTAGTACAACTGCTAGTATTACTCGAAAACTGTAAATAAGCGGAAGCACAATGTCTCTAATAGTTTACAACTAACAGGGGTACATTTGGAGAATACGAACAATGTCTAGTACAACTGTACTAGTTGTAGTACTTATTTTGGAGAATAAGCACAATGCCTGTAATAGTTTACAAGTAACTAGTAGGACTATTAGTAGGTGATGTACGTAATGTCTAGTAGGTGACGTGATGTACAACTAAATTGATGTAACTATGAATGTGTAAGTATGCAGAAGCTGTGGGAGATGGTAATGGGAACAACAAGAACATGATCCAAATCCTCTTTAAAGCTGATCAGAGAGAGTCACCATGAGCACTCCTTTACTTTGAAGCTGGGCAATAATTGGTTGCTCATCTGGTTTGTAGTAACTTACAACTAGTCGTATTTACAGTGAATGACTAAAGTTATTTCCTCGTCTTTTTATTTATGTTTTCCATGCTTGGCTAGTCTTTCTTACTTTGTCGTCGTTTTTCTAGTGACTTACATGTTGGTGGAGGAGAAGATGGAGGAAGAGAGATGAGAATGAAAATATGAGGAGAGTAGTCAACACGAGTCTCGATTAAGCCCTGTCTCTAACATGTGGCAACTAGCAGCAGGCAAGTGGAAGGGCAAGCTGGAGGCGATGGTGCCAGGATTTAAGAAGGACCTAAATTTGGACAAAGACCTCTACGAGAAAATCGTGCTTGGACCCGGAGGCACTCATGAGACCTTAGGAATTCGAAATTAATCCAGAGAAGACGAACGAAGAAAATAAAAATGAGCGATCGCCAGCGGCGCTAAAGTTATTATATTTTTTTGACAGGGCCACGACAGCGCCGGCGCTTAACTAGTAGTAGAAAAATTCTTGCCTAACCTTTCTTTTTTCGGTTTTTGTTTTTTCTAGTTAGATATGCTCCACCAGCGTTATCATAGGGAGAAGATTGATGATGACTGATACTGAAGCACCTAGAAGTGATCTCACGCGTTGACTTAATCAAGTGAGCGACCCGATTCACATACGCGTCAATCATGATCACAGCCGGAGCTTTTAACGTCATCGTATGGATGCCGCTAGAGTTGTAAGACTTGAAAAAACTCTTTCTCTTGCTGAGCCAATGGTAGGCCGTTCATTTCCAATTACGTAGTTGATCGTAATAATTGTTCTTACTGTTACTTTCTTACGAGTCCCAGCTATTCTTGCTATCGTTACATTGAATCATCCTTATGCCTATTGAAGAGCCGATCATTACCAAAATAAAAACCACCACATCATGTTGGTACAAACACAACACAAACACATGTCCTTGAGGAGACAACTTAGAAAATTGACCTTGTGATGTCCATTCATTCCCTATGACTAAGTAAGAGTAACTCTGTAACTCTGACAAGAAGACAACCACTTCTGCGAGAGAAAGAAGATAACCACTCGAGGAGACCAACCTACACATAAAGATACCACTCTGTACCACCAAGAATACCACCAGTGGCAGAGAAGGGCCACCAGAGATGCCATGATGATGAAGCAGGGGGCCTCTCTCCCATTATTCGTTCTGCATGGAACGAAGACAGAAACACCTGCTCGCAGAGTCCGCTGAACTCCAGCGTCAGATACGCATCTACTTGGAGCCGTCCAACTAGAGGTCTGTGGAGCCGTCCAACTAGAGGTCTGTGGAGCCGTCCAAATAGAGGTCTGGGGAGCCGTCCAAGATGTCTGTGGGGCCGTCCAACTAGAGGCTGCCTTATTGGAAATTAGCGCGACGAGTCTCGACTAGATGCTTTTTCGAAACAAGTCGAGCATCATGATGATGATTCGAAAAGAAGAACCGAGAGAGGGGCAGAGAATGAGAAAGAGGGAGGGTCTGTCTGGGTGTTGTTTGGGTTTCTGCGGGGCTCTTCACGGACCGCGTGGCGGCTCTTTGTTGTCTTCGTTGGTTGGTTTGGTTTTTCCGGGTGTTGTTTGGGTTCCTGCCGGGCTCTTCACGGACCGCGCGGCGGCTCTTTGTTTTCTTCGTTGGTTGGTTCGGTTTGTCCGGGTGTTGTTTGGGTTTCTGCCGGGCTCTTCACGGAC